GCGAAAGTACCCTCAGTGTCCTGCTTTAGGACCTGTCCCACAAGTAATCCTACACCGCGAATGTCCTGCTTGAGGACCTGTGTCACAAGTAATCCTACACCGCAAAGGAATTCTCAGGGGCAAAACTGTGTCACAAGTATCCTACCGCAGAAAGAGTTTCAGAGTCCTGCTTTAGGACCTGTGTCATAGTATTCCGTTCCTACCAAGAAAGCAACCTCAGGGTCCTGTCACAAGTAATCCTACTAGGAAAGTAACCTCGGGGTCATGCTTTAGCACCTGTGCCACAAGAAATCCTACACCACAAAGCATTCTCAGTGTCCTGCTTTAGGACCTGTGTCACAAGTAAGCCTACATCACAAAAGCATTCTCAGGGTCCTGCTTTAGGACCTTTGTCACAAGTAATCCTACACCGGGAAAGTACCCTCAGTGTCCTGCTTTAGGCTCACAAGTAATCCTACACCACAAAAGCATTCTCAGTGTCCTGCTTTAGGACCTGTGCCACAAGTAATCCTACACCGCGAAAGTACCCTCAGAGTCCTGCTTTAGGGTCACAAGTATTCCTACACCACAAAAGCATTCTCAGAGTCCTGCTTTAGGACCTGTGTCGCAAGCAATCCTACACAGCAAAAGCAACCTCAGTGTCCTGCTTTAGGACCTGTGTCACAAGTAATCCTACACCGCGAAAGTACCCTCAGTGTCCTGCTTCCTACACCCCCAACAAAAATTCTCAGCGTCCCTGCTAGAGTTCATCACCTGTACCGCTGTCGTGATAGTACCCAGGCGTACAGTGTCCCTGTCGTCTTAACCAGCCTGGGAAGAAGACTGCTGCAGCATGTTCGGCAATCTCCGTGTATGGGATCCGCGCAGCTTCATCCTTGAGGAATCGCCAGCGCAGGGTACTACCAGGACGGCCATCCTCGGGCAATCAGCCGTCCCCAGTCGGACCGGCATGGTGCGTTTGTTGCGGAGGGCATGGATCGCAGAAAGGAACACTGAAAAGCCCAAAAGCCAATGTACTCACAAGACTTAGCCACTCAAGTCTTGATCGGCCACTTAATGTATGTTTTTTTTTTGGGGGGGGGGAAAAGGGCTGCTCATCTTCGTCTTGCGTGCTTTTGCCAAGCGTCGTTGTCTGCTACCAGTTGTTGCAGCTTCAAGTACCTAAGCTTCGAGACCAAAGCAGCAAAGAAGTTTCAGTGTGATTCCATGCGGGCCCCACATCCGCGGCCTCGCCGTGGATTGCCAAACGAACTGTCTATAGCTCAAAAAGAAAACACAACATTGAACAACGCATTGGTGATCTGATCTGGGGAGACATGAAAGGAGACCAAAGGAGATCCCAAATTCACCCAATCTCTATTCCTGGATCACCATCTCATCCCTTCACCTCGCTTCACTCCCTTCACTCCGCGTTTCTCGCCCTGCCGACTTGCCGCCACAGGTGACCTCGTAAAGAATTGGTCCAGCGTTTCGTGGTACCTTCCCGAACAAAGAGAAGCTCCTGGTAGGTCGGTGACGCTCAGCGAGCATTTTGGGAGGTCAAAAACACACAAGTCGAAAGGAAGCAGTCCACCCAAACATTAGAGGGTTGCACAAATCTATATAACGTATGCTGCAACCCCTGCCACCCCAAAAAAAGTAAAACTCTTCACTCTCCTATTATTTTGGGACGCTTCGATTCTAGGTGATCCTGGTTGTGGTTGGGGAGCTGCCGCGGCAGGAACCTGCAGTGCTTCGCACGGGAAAATCCTCGGAAGCTGGCGCTTCCTGTGTTTGCAAGGGTGTGTATACAATACATAAAGCTGCCAATGATCGTTGGGCAGGGTTAGGTAAGTTGAGGCGGGTAGTAATGGTAAGTAGGGTTGTTTTGGGCTTAGTGTCGTTCTGTTGCAGACTGAAGGGTTTAACGTGCAAAAGAAACCTGTCGCAAAAGACGTATTTTGTGTCAAACGTGAATTAATGATATGATACAACGCTTCCTTTCCTTGCAGGCTACTTGGCACTTCGTTCCCTCTTTTGTCCTGCCTTCTTTCCGTCCTTCCTTGATGTTTTCCTTGCATTCTTGGGTGCTTCTTGCCTCAATAAATCAATAAGGAAACAAAGCAAAAACGTGACGCAAGCAAAAGAAGCCAAAGGAGCAGGAAGTACAAAAGCAGCAAAGCCAAGAAGCAGGAAATGCAATGGCCAAAGAAACCAAGGAATCCCACAACATAAAAACAACATAAAACAAAAGACATACATTATCTGGACAAATTGCCTTCCGTACTAAAGCCCTCACATCTGGACATCATCAACCCCTCCGAAAATACTCATGATTCAGACTATGCATTGTTCAACATAACCAAACAAAACAAAAAAAGCACTATCTTTGGCTGGGTTTTGCTCCCTCCAACATAGGTATGTTTATCTTTTGGTGGTTACATACATCCACCCTTGTTTTGAGATACAGTTCTTTGGTATTTTGCTAAAAGACTGTTACCTTTGACTGCTAGTGCGACCACTCAGATTATGTGGCATCACCAACCATCAAACACCTAGGAGTCGTGTCCTGAAAAAACCACCTGAAAGGAGATGCCTTTCTTATGGCACACATTCTTGATCATGTCGGCGGTTTGGGTGCAGGTCTAAAAACAATCAAACAAGTATCATATGCAGTACTAACAGTGACATCTAGGACCTAGGTCATCTACTCTGAATTACTGCAATCCAGGTTCAGATCATGACCGAGAAGACTGGAGTCTCGGTGAGTTTTACATGACCTGACCCGGTGAGGACCGAATCGCTTCACCAATACATCAGGGGGCCCTCGAAAAAGCGCGGTCATCTTGAAGGTCCTGGATAGAATGATATTGATATAACCCGTACACTCCGTGGGAATGTACCTAGAAAAGGACGTGATCGAACAAATTAAGGGGTCAAGAAGAAGGTCTTTCTCTTCCAGTTCCCCTGGAGTGTCAAACAAAGTACAGTAATCCATTCACCATCTTCCCATCTTCGAGCTTTCGACCTGAGCCCCCGCCCTCCTCGCCCTCGACCCGCTCCTGAGCCCTTCGCTGGGAATAGCGGACCTAGTGGAAGATGAGGACTCGTGACATTTGATGACACGTGTAGCCATGCTGAAAAGTTGGATGGCGAGTGTTTGGGCAAAAACAAGTTTTTGCAAATCATGTAAAGGTTCACTCGGTGAGTTACAGTTAGAAGATACTTATCCATCGGAATGGTCGAGTTCTTCCAAGAATACACGCTTTGAAGACCAGCAAAAGACCTGCAGCTGAATTCAACGCTTTGGTTCGTGGTTGAGTCACCAGCTTTGTCGGGTCATAAGCTGAATTGGTCATAAGCTGAATTATATCATTCACAAGCATCATCTCTTTTTGTTGGGCAAACAGGAGCACTGCTTCCCTTTTCTCCTTTGCTTCCCTTTTCCTTTGATCCCTTACTTACATCACATTTTATTGCATCTAATTATCTACATTCATCCAAGCATAACAGCGCCACAGCGTGCTGGCTAGCCTGAATGTAAGGCATTTGAAAGAAGGAGATCTGCCCAGTGGATGTGAAGTTATTCTGCATGGAAAAATCAAAGGCCATGGAGTAGTAGACTCGTTGCATGTCGTCCTCAGTGGTTCTCCAAGACTGCCTTTCGCAGGCGTCAAATGGTGTTAGTGACTCAAGACAACGATCGGATCGATCAAAGCAACGCCCAATGACGCCGGCCAACGCCGCAAAAGCCAGTGGCAACGCCGGTGGCAGTGCAGGTCCTTTACGGCTTAAATTTCCTTTGCTAGTAATTACAATGAAATTCTTCTTGTTACTACTAGTAAGGCACTTGTTACTAGTAGTGATGCACTTGTTTCTAGTAGCGTGGCACTTGTTGCTAGTAGCTACGGTTTAAAGTCTATTCTACAAGACGTATCCTTCCTTATCACATTTGAGTGGACATTGAAGTGCTCAGTTGGTGACTTCTACAGAGAAGTGTTCAGAAAAAAAAAGCAAATGAATTGCGTCCCCAAACATGTTCATCACGCTTGTTCCAGAGTCGGGTGATCTCCCAAGATCAACGTTAAAACAGGCAATGCCTCTTCTCAAAAAACACATCTATATAGGAACCCTGAGATCATTTCCAGTTAGAGCTTAATTATTAATCTATATATACGTCCTTTCCTTGTGCACATGAATAATTAGATCATATCGGATCCAAACAAAAGGCTGATATGAGCTGGCGAGCTCTGCCTAGTGGCTTGGATCAAGAAGGCCTTGCCATTCCCAAACTTCCCAAAAGTGCGAAGCACCTGTTCATGGACCCAGCGAACATTCTCAGGGAACTCCAATGGCAAATCCAAATCCTCCAAAGATCCGACGCGAATCGATGCAAAGCGAAACAGGTCTCTTGGTCCAGTGTGAAAGACATGGCAAAACGGAAAACACCCCTTTAGCCCATTAAGATCCATCGAGCAATGGTGGTCTTCTGTAAAGACAGGTTTTGGGGTGCGACCCACACGACATCACACCACCATATCGACCATACCTGTACCAACTGCCTTGATACAAACTCCACGGTCTTTGTAGATATTCCCACTTTTCCCAGTCTCCTGAAAGGTCAGGCAGTGTGCCAGCAAGGGCAGCGTGGGCTCCGCTTGGTGCAAAATCAAGCAAACCCACAAAGGCCTTATAGGCGATCATGTCTGACTGTCACCGGTTCGACCCAGAGGTATAATTCTCGCATGGACAAGTTCTAAACCTACCACTAACTGGAGCCCCTCCTTACAATACAAACCAAAACACACAATAGTCATAAATATATACATTCTATGGATAGTTAAACTTACATTTCTGGACACCTTCTCAACCGACCCTTGCTGTGATCATTGTTCTTGGCTGTTGCTATAGGTGCAAGTAACTTTCTCCTGCCCAAGTAGCCCACCACACACCAGCACTGAGCCTCACTCGAATGCTGAAAACAACATAGAAAACCATATGCTTACCCAGTTCCTACCCAAAAGTGTCATCTTCCTATTGGGGTGCGAGAAACGAAAGGCGTATGATTCCAATGGAATTGGTATATATACGTCTAGGCGGAATAGCAACAGTGCCGTGGGGAGAAAAAACACGCAAATAATTGACCCTGTTAGTGCCCATACAAATCTGACAAACAATGTAATTGACATTATTTGAATTTTGAAACTACACAACATTTGCCTCTTCAACTCTCCCCACCTACAATACTTCCCACCCTGGCAGGGGACGCTCAGCCTTCAATAACCTGCCTGCGCTATGACAGGAACCTTGTGGGAGCACAATATGTAAACCAACTCTTGCACAAATATCAAAACAACACATGTGGGACCGTAGGAAAAAGCACCAATGTCAAAACGTGCACAAACAACACATATAAAGAAAAAACCATAAAGGATATGTTTGTTTCTCAGGCGAGGAGCTAGTCTTCAACCGTGTCGCCAGTTGCTTCAGAGCTCCCCTGACCACCTCGAAGGTCACTCGCTGCCAGTCACAGCAGTAGCCGTCAATGAGCTCCAAAGGCCTGAATGTTGGCTGGACGAATCGGGGCCGAGCAATGAATTTGATGTTAGCAAACTTAAACGAAACAACGAAACAACACCATGGGCGGCTGTCAAAATGTTTTTTTCCATATTCAGCTCTAAATCGCAATTCCGTGCTACCAGCGGATCCTATCTATCTTGTGCGCATTGGCCTTCTCCCAAGCACCCTGAAAGGAGCCTCAACTCCGGTGCTTCCAACAAGAAAGGCTCCACCAGCGGCCGGAGCTCATGGGACCTCGACACGGTGTGTGGGCAGTGTGTTTTCGCATTTTTCAGTCCAGGTGTTCGATGAACACTTTCCAGCAATTCCGAAGGAGTGGCGTTGAGATGTTTTTTCGTTCCATCCAGTGAGTGGATGTGCTGAACACCTTGATGGGCACTGAGCACCCTGATCCTCCATATGTAATTAGGAAAAACAAGGACACGTGGAACTGCTGAGCTTGAACTCTTCGAGTTGAATTGCGTGGATGTTGCTTTTGCATGCGCCAATTGCCCAATGGGGTTCACTGGAGTGTTCTTTCCAAGCGAATGTGCTGTGGAGTTCGTGCTCTGAGGATGACCCATGTTCACTTCTTCACACATGTTCACACACACACACAAACAGGGCAATATAGGGCATCAATCCTCTCAAATCCTCTCACAGATCTACGCCTTTTCCGTTCGCCCCCCCCCCCGCCTGGGCAGGTTGTAGCCGCCCAGGGGCGCCGCCCAGATCTGCATCGCCAAGGCTGGGAAGCGCCAGAGCCTCGCGGGTTCCGCGCTGCGTGTTTCTTATGTTAAAACCGTTATAAGGGCGCCTTATAAAAGGGCGCATATATAAGGGCGATATACGCTTATGTATTACGGTTCTTCTTAACAACGCCTTACGTATTTCGGGCACATATATATATATAATATAGATCAGTTCTTTGGATGTGTAATGCAGGCCAACCTGCATTTTTTGCTCCAGCAGTATATGCCTTCTGGGACCAAAGAGATTCCTCTAAAAAGGCCAAAGGGGTGAGCATTAAAATATGACTTCCCAAAGACCCCCCTGGGAGAAGGGAATTAGACCAGTCTACCCATTGCTAGGGGATCTCCCGCCAAGGCTTAGGCGTGGGACGGCGTGGGGGTCTGGGGGAGAAGCGGAGACAAAGAGAAGCTGCCCATGCTTTCAATTTGTTTCATTTGGTCGGTTTCTCCTGTTTGGTTGTTTGTTTTATTGTTTGGTTGGTTGGGGCTGAGAGCATCTGAGAGCTGCAACTGGTGTTGGCACACTTGGTACTGCCGATTAGAAAGAGGGATTAATTCCTTTTAATTGAACATGATAGGAACTCAAAGAACTTATAGGACATTCAACCTTATTTTCGGAGGTCTTCCCCTTGATCTCCTCCAAGGTACAGTAGACCTGCCACAAATTCCGTCACATACCACACAGGCATAGCGAAGAGTGCCACCTGTCACAATAAATTTTGAAACACTTGATCGTCTGGTTCATCTGATACTCGTGACAGCCCTCGCTGGTTCGTGCATACACAAGTGCCAAGAGATGCTGGTGACTTGGCAGATATGACCCAGTTCTCTGGACTGGTGCAATTTTAAGCACTGTATATTCAACTTTGAACAGGAGTTGTGTTTGCCGACGTCCCTTGCATGTTCAGCATGTCTTCCGAAAATATCAAGTATTAAATATATCAAAACAAAAGGCCATCATCGGCTCATAATTGAACGGTTTGTTTCTGGGTGTCTGGATGAACTCTCAAAATGCGGATTCATGGCCGCTTCAACAATATTTTTTTCGCAGAACCGAGCCGAAGTGAAGACAAACCGATACCGAACCGTCAGGGTATGCACAATACCGAGCCGATACCGAACCGAAGCATTCACGTAGAAGCCGTACCGCAACCGAACCGAGCCCCCGAATGTGGAAAAAAAAATGTCGGGGCCTGAAAAGTGTTTTCCCACATGTGCCTTTCCTGTGGGATTTGGGCGCTGGCTTCTGTGAAGCCTCTGGGATCTTTGAGTGGTCGATCGGCATGGTAAACAATCACTTCTGTGAACTCCTACAATGACTGCGGAAAAAACTTTTCGGGGCCTGAAAAGTGTTTTTTTTCCACAAGTGCCTTGCTTGTGTGAAAAGGAGCTAAAGGAAAAACATCCGAATTGATGGTCATGGCCCTGGCCCTTGCCACAGGTCTTTGGTCACAAGAGCAATCGCGTAGCCTTCGCAAGTGGCGTCTTTTTCGCACGTGGCTAGCTTGTGCCCGAAACTATAAACAAAGAAATTGCATTACACAAAAAAACTTTCCAAGGTCCGAAAAGTTGTTTTCTAAATATGTGTCTCCGCCAGGCTCCGCCACCGTTGAAAAACCGAAAACATGTTCAATACATCATACGAACCGAACCGAAACCGAACCGATCCCAATACATGTCAGCAATAAATACCGAAAAAATATCGCAACATGCGCGAACCGAACCGAACCTAAACAGCCATGCGGATTAAAACTTTTAAATGGCCCATGTTAGTTAAATAACTAATCTGTTGAAGGCAAAACTGCTGAAGTGGAAGGCCCGGTGTGGGAACAGGAACCTCAATTTCGTATCACTTCTGCTGCGAGGAATGTGCGAATCCACGGGAATTAGGATGTCAAAGGGAAAAGTGAATGTTCAATCTCAAATCGTCAAGGGGGTGGGAATCATATATTGTTTTCCCCAAAACTATTCCCACACCCTGAATTTGTGACCCCTTTCATGTTCAATCATGTTCACTCGGATCACCTCCACTGGCCGGCCGCGCACCACTGGGCGAGGGCTGTTGGCGTAGCTGGTCAGCGCACCCGTGGCAAAGCCCAGCGCCACCTCATGGTGTGCGGATGGCATAGCTGGTCAGCTCACCAAATGGCATGGAAACAATTATTAACTAAATACAAAACACGCCGGTAAACTCCACCTGCACGAAGCTGATTGTCGGGCTTCCACAATTTGAGCTGATCTTTGGTGCCTCAAACTACACTGGAAGGTCGGATCCCAAAGCTCTACAACGCACAGTCTACACTGCACAGGCATCAGGATCGGAAATCTTCGTTTTCGACTCTCGACCAGCAGGAATTCAGTTATTTGTCCGAGGTAACTTGACCTCCGATTCCAAAAGTTCAAAATCTGTGCGCAGGACTCAGGACAGACATATGAACAAGTAGGCAATATATCGTTGCTTCATGTCTATGTTCTTTCTGTTTATATGTAATGACAAGCAAACAACATATCGTTGTTTGATGCTGATGGTGTTTACATGTGTCTACTCCAAGTTAAGTCGGCAAACGCCATTCTCTGAGTCACGTTCCGCCTGATAGCTAACATGGAAGGGATATTGTCAACAACTTCACAGTCTGCGCACTTTACTGTGCTGCGATAAAGAGTAAAAGACTTATGCACTCGAAAGCAAAAATGCCCTTCTCCAACGCTTGGTCAGAAATGCGGCTCCCTTTGCGTTGGAGTAGTGTATGGATCTACTGATCCCACCTGTCCTTGGTTGCCCTTAGCACTGTGCTACCAAGCAACCGTGTGCCAGGCAGAGTTTTCCTCCCCACCGGATCCGGTCACGGGATCATGGTTGGGCTAGGTATCTAAAGGAAAAGTTTCCTCAGCAAGCAGGCGAGGGATAATAAAGATATAGTATCTTCACAAGGCCTGGGAGTACAGGCAGTCAATCATCTGGCGTGAAGCCTGCAAAGTTCGAATGAGATAGTTCATCCGCTGTAGCCGGCGGAGGCGGGAAGTAGAAACGGGCCACTGCTCCTTCGGAGTGGTTTCCTCTTTCATCACGGCGTCCTCATCCCCCACCAGATCGGGGCCATAGGCACCCGCAGCGCAGGAGGCAAGCCATGCTTCATTTCCAGCACATGCATTGTTTTTCCCTGCCCCTCAACCTGCGCCTGGAGGTCCAGGCTGTCCACCTTGACCTGACACTACCTCAGTGTCCTCCAGGAAAAGAAAGGAGCTCTCAATGGTCGCCCAAGACGCCATGGCAGTGTTCGGATAAAAGATGCGGTCGACTCCAGTCGACCCAGCTTTTTCACGAATTGAAGTGCAGGGGAGCGTTTTGCTTCACTCACTTGAGCCCCAAATGTCCCAGTGGAACATTTTAGTGTCTTATCGTGAACAAATGAAGGCCAAATGCAAGGATCATTTTAAAAAAATGAAGAGGCTCTTCGATCTGGAATGCTTTTCTATTTTTGATCCGAGTTTGATCTTATGACATTTGCCTAGGCGACTTTCTTGGTTCTGAAGGTGTGCCCAGGTGTCCATCTTTGCGGTCCCTCTATTTTGGGGACCCCCTATTCAAAACACAACGCCGGAGTTGTTTTATCAGGGGGGCTGTGTTTGCCTTTTAAAAGGTGGACAGGATTTTTCATCGATATGTAGGAAAGCTCACTGTGTTCCCATGTGTTTCCCACACAATGTTGCTGAGCCTTCCGCATGCTTCCTAATAATTCCTAACCATCCGCAAGAATTGACTCACAGTCAAGTGCGCAGCCAAGGGACCTTCTTCTCCACGGCTCGCCGAAAGTGGGACGACAACGACAAAGCATGCCATAAATTCTGACGAGCATTCTGATACCTTGGAACCGTGGTTCGTTGTAGGGTGGTTGGCTCAAAAAAGCAGCAACGTTCTCCGGTTGGTGGTACAAATATCAACGAAACCCGAATCATGATGGGCTCTTCTTGGGTCTTGACCAAACACGAAAGCATACGAAAGCGTGCTCTCAGTGGACAGGAACCAAACTTCTGCAGAACGTGGAGGAATATAACACTAAATGAACGTAGGATTGCAAACATGAATGACAATGACTGAAAGCTGATTTCAGCGCAGCAACAAACTCCCCATCTTGCCCCATTCTTGATTATATTATATATTATATAAGCCTATCATGAGGAATCATTTCATGTCAGCCATAGGCACTCGGAAGGGAGATCCTCTGCCATCCCTCGCCATGCTCTGAAGCTCCTCGACATCTCCGGTGGCCGCGCGCCACTGCTGGGCAAGGGCGGATCGGTCACGCCCACCCTGGGCTGCACGGAATTCGGTGAGGCCATCGAGGCCATCGAGGCCATGCACCCGCGGCTGTCGCGAATGAGGCCACTCTCGTGGTGAACCATGGGCTTTCCACGGGTTTTCTCCCTGGTTCTTCTCTGCAAACCCCAATGGGCCAATATGATTCCCATGAGGTCTATGGGGGTGGCCGGTGGTGCACCTGGGTGTCTTTTTCCAAGACCACTCTCGTTCCATCTCGTTCCCTTCCCGGAACCCCCAACCACCACCTCGACATCCATCCTCGGCCTCAGGAGGTTCACATCGAGGTCGAGCGAGAGCAATCCCCAAGTTTCTCGATCCAAGAAATCCATCTCCCGACAGGAGCCCAGCATCTGCGAGGCCAACATCAAGTCCTCCGCGGATGATATTGTCTAGACGGTCCGAGGGGCGGATGTGGCAATCGGATGTGAGGCGAGTTCCAAGGACATTCGGACATTCAGTATGAGATCCGGGTCGGAGCCTTTGGTCCCGCCAACCGGCGACCCTCTACATTGGAACCAACTCTGATGCTGAGATGATGGTAGTCCAGCTTGAACCAAAAGTGAAAAGAAGCGGTCGCAGCCAAGCTTCGGCAGAAGCATCGGAAGTGGAGCTTGTTTGCGCGCTTGCCAAAGAACCAGCTCGGATGTACAGGGCAACGACATATCCAAGATAGCAAAAATCACGTTTCCAACGCACAAAGTCCTCCTTCTCCCAAACTTTGTCATCTTTCGGCAAGGTCAACAAGTGATATGGATGGAACCCGCCTTTGGTATCATTTGCCAGTACTCCTCGGCTCACATCTACTGATACACCACAATTGTGTGACACCTGCACTCCCTCCGTGGTGATTTTGGAACCACTCAACATGCTCAGCCATTGCTGTGCAGGAATCCTCCAGCGCTTGATCAAAGCCCGCGCTGTCCTCAGATCTGGTGCGCCGCCACGACGAAACGAGACCCCAGATCATTCAGATCTTCAGGTGCTAACTTGACCTCTGGAAACAGCCTGAGTCGATCTAAGTCATTTGAGTCTCATGCCGGCCTAGTCGACTCAGCAGTCCCTATAGCTAGCTATCCAATGGAGATCGACTACCCCGTAAACGGCGCACCCCTGGGTGACCACGTCAACGGCGCCCCTTGGACTGGTACAAATGCCACCATTCTTGTGCCTTCCAACTCCACAACTCCAAATGACCGAACCCGTCACGCTCAGTGTACTTCTGGGAAGAGGCATGCTGCGCCATGTTGCGTTAAGCTTAAACACGCCACCCCAGGGTATGGTCTGTTCGGTGATGCCATGATGATAGCTACTCAGGTTTTGAATCCAGTGTCAAAACAAAGGAGAGTTGTTGTTATAGAGTCGTTTCCAAACATCTCAGATTGACAATCGCTCCAATACATGACGAGTGGAGGACAAAATAAGTTGCTTAGCTATCTACCAAATTACCCCTATTGGTGGTCAGTCGTAATTTGGACACTTGACCGAAAACATTATTTGGCCCCCCCCCTATTGTCTTTTTAATTCAATAGGAACACACAATTAGGCAACATCATGAAGCATCCCTTCTTCAGCACTCTTGCATAGGATCGCTACTAATTTTGTTGGAACACATCTTTCGAGCAACTCACGTGTGATAAGTGATAACGTTCTATCTCTCGGCTCAACCATCGACAAACCTATCCTGTGTCATGTGGATACCCTGTGAGTCCAAAGGCGTTGTATTAACTTGGCAGTTTAGGTAAGTCGAAAATTAACTTAGCAGTGCTCTGGAGGCGAAGCTATCTCAGCCAAGGCAAAGTTCGAAGCCTTCTTCTGGTTTCCATTCCCCCATGTCAATGGCGAATTCAATCCACGGCGTCCCACACCAAGCTTCTTCACCAGCTGCGGATCCGTATGAAGCTCCACGTCCTTCGCCACCACGCGCGCCCGGAAGGAGCTCCATTCCGAGGATCCATGGCAGGCAGCCCAGTCGGACCGTGGGACTGGTGCCACCGTGGCCAAGAGCAAGGGCCCAAGAGACCCGCGGGCCATCTGCGAGCCCAAGAGGAAGAGTTCCGCGGCGCAGCATCTTTCAGTCGTGACCGGTGCCGACATGATCACTTCAACATCAGACGACGAAAAACGCCTCGACGACTCATGAGAAAAAACGTGTGACATGTGTTTTAAATGTGTTTTCATGTGCATGAGATTTTGGACGTATATATTGGCAGTGCGTTTGTGACGTTTAACATCATTTAACTAAACATGTCTCGGTTCACATCAGTTCACCGTCTGACACTCGGACACCTTGGATGATGTCCGCTATAACCCTGCCGGCTAGCGGCTAGCTAGCTAAAAGCAAATGCTTTTTGGGGGGGCATCTTGCTGATGCTTCGGCTATGAACGAATCAACACGAAGGCTTGATTGGTTTCTTAGGTTTTGATCTTCAAAGCCTTCAAGAGGCTTCAAGATGCTTCAAGAAACGAAACCCAGGACCCGCAATTTGTGTGGTCTAGTCTATGTGTTCTTTGCAAAGGGGAGTTTGGGATCACTCCTTGAGCTTCTTCCGGTAGAAGAAGTCATCAGCCCAAATAGGCCTGTCCAGGTCGCTCTGCCGTCTCTGACGCCGAACGGCTTGCCACTCGATCTGGGTCAAACTGCTTGCAACAGACTTGGGAATCAACAGACTGACGGGAGCTTTGGAGAATATGATCTGTTTGATATGGGTTAGCTGGTTCTGACATCTTATAGTCCTAGGGCAAGCAATGAGTGAGTCGTGATCCGTCCTGCTTTCCAAGTGAGGATGAATCTACATGTCTTCTGCCCTAGGTTTTAGTCTTAATTACATTACACGGTTTTACTATTACTTGTCGCATAATTCCAGTCCAACCCCCACAACACATCATCCGGACTCGGCGACTCGGCTGTTGTTGCTATGCGATATCTGTGGGTAACACACAGTGACATCATTGACAAAGCTTGACTTAATGAAGCAGTACCGTGCTAGAATGACAGTGACTTCAACGGCTGACCTAGTCCTAGTCTCACCAACTATCGAGCTGCAGACCACAACATTCGAATCTACTACACCAGCATGAAAGCAAGGTTCATCCCAAGGCTCAGGTCTGTCGGTAACCAAATGTCTCGACGTGAGAGATCAATCATGAAACCTCGCGCTCGGACCATAAACCTCGCCCCATGGTCCAACGTTGGAAGCGTCTGGCGTTCCATCGGTGCGTCTGGTGCGCAAACGGTCACCGCTCGACGGGGTCCCCAAAGGCCTGTTGGACTCTGTGGTCGGAGTGCTCTTGGGGGCTCTGGCCAGATTCACTTTGATCCTGAGCCCGCGAAGTCGCTGAGGTCGGAGGTCCCCAATCACTGTCTACTGTTGATCCCTTTTTTTCCGTCCGGGACCTCCTCTTTTGGCGTCAGGGCGGCACTGTGATGCTGCGTAGCTCGGTTCCTACATATAGACTTATATTCTTCACTGCTTTGTCATGTTTACATCTGGTCTATAAGGACATGAATGTCTCATCTCCGACGGAGCCATATATGTCTCATCGATTCTCATCTCCGCACGCAGCGATGCTTCATACGTCATACCCACGCACGCAGCCACGCCGCAGCCACGCACGGCTCCGATGCATGCTCCGATCCGCAATGCTCCGATGCTCTCTCTCTCTCCATCTCCGCATCCGAGGGGCACTCGCCCATAGAGCTCCGCATGGTGCATGTTGTCAATGGCATCCTCCCGACTCGAGGAACTCACCGCGCTGATCCGATCGAAGGAAACCGGTGACGGTCGCGGCACGTCGACACGACGAGTCCGAAGGGTTGGGGCCCGAACGGTTCACGGTTCGGACGCGACGGTTCTCGTCTTCAGACATGGTTGGAATTGGGTGAGAGAGAGGTTGCAAGTGCGAGACACGGGTGAGACACGAGTGCAAGAGGAAAGAGGAAGAGGGTTGGTGGACTGATTGTCAGGATAGGGAGCCTTGTGACACTGTGAATAATTTAAGGTCTCGATCTGGGAAATCTACGAATTGCCACAGTTTGACATGCTCAATTGAGATGTTGGAACTGCCACCCACCCACTTACCCACCCCTCCCCTAAAAGACCGCCCATTCATGCCACTTCAATCAATTCACCACAGAAATCTACATACACTATGCACCACCAAACACCACAAAGAACAAAGAACACAGGCACCAGCTCAAACAAATGCAAAAAAGAACAGCCTCTCAAAAGATCTCAAAAGGAAAGGACCCGAACAACCAAAAACCAACCAACGACCCCAAAAACCCGGGTCAATGCGGTCGCGCGCGGCCACGCACCGCCCCGGGACCTCCCCGTCGCCGCGGTCACCTGCGCGTCGTCGAGCTCCATGAACTCCACGAAGCCGAAACCTCTGTGCCTCAGGGGGTCAAACGGCGATGAGTCGAACGCCGAGGAGAGGATAGGGGAGACAAATAGGGGTATACTTGTACAAGTGTTTCAGGGTACAACTAGGCATAGTAGATGATAGTATATAGGGGTTCAAACAGTAGTGGGGATGGTGGTTTCTACATGGTGGCAAACATGGTAGTTCTACCAGCAGTCACGTTCGACGGGGGGGGTGCCCGGTTCCGAATGGAGGAAGGAGGTAGTCGGCGCCCATGATCCACGGCCACTGGATGGGACTACAAACCACACCGACATCTGACTCCTGGTACAAGTATAATGTATACTCACTTAGTTATCTGATATTATCTGGATGCCATATTATGCCTCGGAAATCTCAAGGGGTGATGATGGCAAGTATTTTTAGGTCAGGCGAAAACGGGTCAACAAAAAGGTCACCTGATGACTGTCGGACACCAACCACATGGCCACAACTCTTCCGTAATACATTTGCACCGGGACCCCGACTTACCAGTCTTCAAGTCTAAAGGAATCTCGACCTTGGCTGAGCAAAACAATCGCCACTGAAGGACGCAGTGAGGATGGCACATGCGCAGTGGTCTCACGGAAAAGAAGCAAACAACTCAAAACAACACACATTAACATAACAAATATGATATGAGATCAATGTGTACGGTCACATCTGTGATGATCTGTGATGTAGGTAACTGGTTTACACCGCGCTTACACTCAACTACTACACAGAAGCTCTCTCTCTCTCTCTCTTTGCAGGCATCTAAGATATAGATTGACTATAGCTTGACGAAACTGGACTGTCGACCAGTTCATTGCCTGGGGCGTGGGGCTTGTCAGAGACTCTCTCACCTCTCGCTAGGTGCACCGGGCCGTTTTGAGCTCTCCAAATCTCACAAAGGCTTCTTCCAAAACCTTCCGGTCGACCTGGCCGGCTCGTCCCGCCGAAACGATGCCAGCAGCGGATGAGATTGGATTGGAGTCGTCCCAGCACCCAGGAAAGTCGAGTCCCACAAGAGACTGGGATTGACACGAATGAATATCTGAATTTATGTTACACACATCTCAATATCTTCTCGATAATTGTGTTACAAATTGAGACGAATTAATAGCAAGGTAGCCTTGCAAGGTTGACGCAATGCACTTGGGTTTGGTGCTGTTTTCAAGACACTTCGAGCATCGCTTGTCTACAGCATGTAACTTAGAGTGTCCTAAGATGTCCTTCTTTTGCGGGCCGATACACCCTGATTTGGGGGTGCCAACTCCGGACCACACCAGTTCACCACATTCCACCACATCTGAAACGATGTTCATCAACAAACTGCCTGCTCATCAAGGCCACCAACGTAAACGGTGCGCTTCAGGATGTTCTGGCCTAGGCACGTTGATGTGTTTTTTCGCACTGATATTGGTGAACGGTTGTTGGACCATTGAAAGCGGTAGTGCTCCACTGCATGCTAAGACTCAGCATCCTGTCTACAGTCTACATCTCAAAGCAACACACCTTTCATGTTAATTCACTGGTGGTGCCAGGCTGTGATATGCAAGGTCCCTTGTTGTTGTTGTTGTGCCCATAGCCAAGATTCCGTTGGACACCCGAAGGTGGCACAATAATCCAGTCCTTTGCCTGGATTCTGCAAAAGTTGTCATGGGATGATTGGCTTTGGTTGTGTCGCAAGGTAGGCATCCCCTACATTCCCCTACCAATTTGGTTGTGTCGTAGGTGAGCCCCCAATCTGTGGTGTGTGTGTCTGCGTTAGTCTTTCCCTTGAACCAAGAGTCAGGGAACAACTTCCCTATCCTATTGCCTCGACCTTTTGAGACACTACCAGCAATTTGGATGATACAGTTTCACTCTGGCACTGGCAAATGATCGGCACTATGATCGGTCATTCCTGGGCCTGGAAGTTCACCCTCTTCCACATGGGTTTCCAGGGCGGAGTAGAACCATCCATAATGGAATGATGCCTCTCGACACTTTTGGGTTCTACTTACTTCCAACAAACCAGCGATGCCGCATACCACCGTCACCACCGTAACCAGCCTTCCCAGTACGCGCCGTAACCACGTGCCGCCAGGCTGCTTGCCATCCCTCTATTGGTGGCGCAGCCCGCGTCTTCCCGGTTTGAGCCCGGTCCGCCGGTCCGTGGGGCTTCGTCGCTTCCCAATGAGCGGAGCCCCGGGGTCGGGCTAAGGGTTGGCAGGATGAACGAAGCAGGGCATGGGTGGATGGTTGGTTGGTCAACAACTCGACTTTCAGGATGAATGATCTTTTTCAGAGGTGCCCATCAGTGCCGGAGTTTTTTGTATGGCTTCAACTTCAGCGCTTCTCATGTTTTGAGCCCTTCTCAGTGAGTCCGCGTACATGCCACACACGCACACACACATACTGATTCTTACCTGATACACTGCGCATCACTACGCAAATCCCATGGCAGGCGATGGGATTCAGATTTGGGTTGTCTTGCAGGCGCCAGCCCAGCGCGCCGTGGCGTCGTTTCGGATTCTTTCAGGGGTCGTCTTTGAGGGGGTTGGTCTGTTGCCAATTTCTGCTCCTCGCGGCCGGCAATTTCTGGGGCCCGGGAGCTTTAACGCATCTGTACAGGGGGGCCCTGTGAATCTGAGGACGCCGCTAGTTTTGTCATTGGATGTGCATTCAAAAGCAAAAGGTCGGAGAAGATTGTCAACTTATGTCGCGCCTTTTTGGGTTTGACAAATGAAACCTCCGTTTACCTCAGATTCACCAGGGCCAAGCTACTGTGCACATCAGCCAGACTTCCTGCACGGCCTTGTTCTTCCTTCTTCGAACAGTCACCTGAGCGGTGTCAAAAACCATCCGGAACTTTTATTAAGATTATAACAACCTTTCGCCAATCCCTTCGCAACTCTTTCGCGGCTGCATGTTTTGCTTTCGCCGACCCACTTCACCCGACAACCTCTTTAGCTAACCCTTTCGCCGAGTTTCTGCTACTTACATCTAAGAAAAGTATCAGCATGTATCAGCAAAGGGGAATCATTCCTAATCTGCAACCACTGCTTTCGCCACATCTTCGCGAACCTTTCGCCAACCTTTCGCCTGGTTATCATGAATCTTTGGATGACATGCTTTGTACTGAAAACCTCTTCGCCAACCCTTTCGCAACAAAATCCATTCATCAAAAAATCAGAGCCTTTCTCCAAACCTTTCGCCAAGCTTTCCCCAACTGCAGTTTTCCTTTCGCACAGATTCATAATCTTAAGTCCTACCTAAATTCTTTCATAGAGGTTTATGACGTTGCTCACCTGGTGCAGTGCAGTTTCTGCGCTTCCAGACCTGTTGGGCCTCAGCGGCCTCGACCTGTTTTCCAGTCCCAAGTTCCCTCCGTCCTCGGCACGTCGACGCGGCCCCCGAAGCTCCGTGCGTAGCACTGGTGTTTGCGAAGCTACGTCGAGTCAAATCACGCTGCTTGACCGAAGCCCGGCCCCAAACACAAAAAACAGATCATGAAGACAAGAGTACAACTGTAGACAACTGTACACTGTAGACCTATAATCAATAATTCAGTTGGCTGTGAGTGGCTAAAGACTTGGTCAAACTGTGTGTGTAACTTGGACTGAGGGATCCACCACTGGTTCAAAGCTCCAAGGCACTCCTCTTCGGCCACTTCCACTCTCATGTGCTCGACCAAGTGCTCCTCGCGAGCCATCCTCTTCACGCGCACGGTGGCATAGACCACTGAGACCAACAAGCTGCAAAGCAGCACGCCTCACGCAAAGCAATCCACTGGAGATGCTGCACGGCTGGATTGCTGCGAGTGCGCCAGTTTTGGTGTGGAACTTAGCTGCTTGAGGTCCTAGTCTCATCAGTCTTCCCAAACCATTCCAAACAAATGGCTTCTTCCACAAACCTTGAATGATGTTCAATTAGTTTCAAGCAATTGAAAGGCCCACACCGTCACATAATATCACGTAGCGGCCATGTTCGGGCTGCAGGTGGTATATGTTCCCTTGATGTCCCTTCTATCTGCCCCGTCTTTCTGCGCCTAAACGCTTGGAATTTACACATGCCACGTGCCGAACGACACCGGAGTGCCAATGACACCCGAAACCGATCTAAGGCGTGAAGTATTGGAAACCCAAAGGCTCCATGGTACATGATCTCCTCAAGTATATAGTACTATTTTTTGTTGACTTTCGTGGGGTAGAGGTCGACTTTGGACCACGCTTTTCACCCTGCCTGCCAATTTTGTGAATCTAATCTCGGCTGCACATGAATGATCGCAAAAAAAGCACTGAACAGGTCGCCCTGTTCTGTGTAAATCATCGCGCGCGAGCAAACGAGAATCGTTCAACCCACGACCGAATCGTTCACGGAATGTTCCAAGGCTTGCCTGCTGCGAACTTTCCCATTGACCTCAGTTTGCGGGAGGGGTCATGGAACATTGCCAACGAGTGGACGACCGTGCCAACAGGTGAAGATCGGACACACTGGTGGACCTCAGGGTGGCACCTGGTGCCTGCGGATCCGTGGATCTGTCAGTGGGTGCTGCTTTTCGGTGTGTTTCTTTTTGTTTACATGGCCAGGATCCCCGGATCAGATTCAAATCCTGCGGCGGTTTGCTCCGGTTCTTCGGATGGATGCCGGTTCCGGTGTTCTGTCTTCCGGGTTTGGCGTTCTTCCGGGCATCGGAACAGGACGGAGAGCGAGACTCTGGAGTCTTCCTGGTACCCACCTGCAGTAATATACCCAAACACGACTAATAATGGGACTGCCATATATATGCCGATCAGTTGGGGTGGTTGACTGGGGGTCAATTGATCGGCATATATGGCAGTCCCATGGTGTCGCGACATCTGCCCAGCTGCTCTTGCCAGCGGGTCTCCGAGGCCATGCCCCGGAGCCGCAGGGCCATGCCGATGGTGTCCAGGTCCTGCTTGTGGCGCTCTGACAGCATGGAGACCGAGGTGCTGAGAGTGGGGTTTCAGAAAATGGATCTCATGTAGAACAAAAAGCATCATGGTTGCTTGACAGGATCAGGATCATCCCCCAACCATCCAGTATTTGGATGTATTCTTGACCGGGGTTCATGTGGATTCGCGTCCCCTCCAGCAGTCTCCACACGGCGGACCATTGTGCCCTCCGATTCCACCGCCCAAACCGGGAGCGGTCGAGGGGACCCCTGCGGCGGTCGAGCGGCGCCTGAGTCTTTCCCACCGGCTCGGCAAAGCCCATGCGACCCTGGTCAAAGTCGAAGGAGACGACAAACCTCTCCAAGAACATACCTCCCAAGATCCACAAATCCTTAGTTGGCTGAGATGAAAACTAAGCTTTGTGGATCTTGGTCTGTGGGTTTGTCCTTTCGTCTTGGAGTTGCTTCTTGGCCAACTCGTCGTTTGCAGTATGGTGCCTACTGGACATTGCAGGATGCGTTTAATTCATATACTTTGATGCTGATCTTCTCGCTGGATCGAACCATGTCCCAGTCTTCCCAAACCAGAATCTGGATCTCCCTTCCATTAGGATCCACCCTTGGCCCATCCAAGTGGATCCACTTCTGGGTCCCTCATGGCTCATCCAGGTCAAACTCAAAGGGCATCCCAGGTTGAGGGATGCTGGTGGGTCTTACAGTCCCAAGCATCATCTGCTGGCTCCTCCTCTCCGGCGGGATCCAATGGAATTTCCAGGATACCTCCCTGAGCAGTGAAAGAAACCAATGAAGCGAGCTGGAAGAGGCATTTGGGACAATCAGCTTGGGTCCAGCACTCTTGCCATCCATGGGGTGAACTCTGACATACCTGATGAAAAGGAGGATGTATAGTTCCCCATGATGACGACATGGGACTAATCACTCACTGGTGGTATTGACTCTTTAGAAGAATGACTCAAAACGGCAACCATCATCTAATGTCGGTCATCTGCAAGCATCCGCATATGAGACACATTCAATCAGTCAGGACACCAGGCCTTAATGAGGTCTCTAAACCTGATCTCTCTTTGAACCTGGGAAAGTACACGTGGGGGTCAAGAACATTTCCCCTTCACCAGCAAAGCAATCCACTCAAAACAGCGCAGGATGGTCCATGTCTCAACGTGAGTCTAGACCATTCTAGATCTGCAATCATCAAGTGCAACTCTCAGCGGGTAACCTGCTCCCTGCTGTCTGAGCTTCCATGGGCACCACCAGCTGCAACCTACGAACGTCACTACCGGGTTTGCCACAATCTTCTCGTCCTCAATACCGTGCCCGGAGCGAGGGAGGCTCGTAACCACTCAAACACCAACACACGCGGGGGTTTGCCCCAGCATCTAGCCTCATACGGTTTTTCCACGAAAAAAGCGATGAACATCAATGCTTTGAGTGAGAACAAGCGATGAATTGGGAAAGACCATGACCGAAACGAAACCTTCTAACCAGTCCCTTTTGGAGACCGTCCGATGACTTCATTTCGGATGACTTCATCTTCCATCATCACTGAGTCTTGTGGCGTCTTCCATTAAACCCCAATTCATCTTAATTGATTCAACTAAAGTCAAATGATTGAAAGAGTTTGAAAGGTGTTTAACATTGTTTAACTGTTTAATGTAGACTCTTGGATTAAAACCCCCATATGAAGAGGATATTCCATTTACAATTGGGTGCTTTATTCATCAAAGAGTCTACATTAACATACATTAACTGTGTTTGTTATGTTGTCTATTTCGATTTGATCGAACTTGGGAGTTTGAGGACGCCCCATTTCGCCCATTGAGCCTCTCCATTTCATCTCCCCCACCCGAGCATCGGCTCTTCACGTGGCCGTTCTCTGTGACGGTGATGTACCTAGAGGGAACGGCCACGGCTGAGTCGAAAGGAATGGCCGGTCCCAGCCGTTTTGCGTGAAACGGTCGTACGCAAATACGCAATCCATGGCCGGGCTCCAAATCCTTGCGTTTCCAAGCCACATGACATGAGAAACTAGAGACTTCAGGAGCACATGACATGAGGCCTGGACCTCAGTCCACCCGCTAGCGACTATGCCTACAAGTAGCTGCTCATCTGAAGTCCACATCAGTCCACCCGCTAGCACCATCGCATAACATTGGACTGTCAAACCGAGGTACAACCCCCAACGTATATATTGCTCATTGCATGCCGGGTACAGTCGTGACGCTGGCACTTGCAACCAACGTTATATGTATAATATAACCTGTTTACCACATCCCCCGACCCTTCTTTCCGGGATGCTCAACGTGGGGGCCCACCCTCCAGTTTTGTCCCGCTGGCTTCAGGCCCCCCCATGGCCCTCAAGGCTCCCCAATCACGGCCCAGGCGCTTGCACACGGTGCCATCAGGCCGCGTGCGGATCTCCTCCCTCACCTGTTCGGACAGGACGCCCTTGCCCAGCTTTCCGATACCTCGCGCGAGAAATATACATCACATCACAACACAAAATACTGCCATCATAAGTGGTTGGTGGGGCATCTACAAAACAGGGCCACAGCAAGTTGTTTGGTATTGAAGCATCTTGACCATGATCGATGGTGGCACGTGGTGGAACGACGCATGTTGGACCCAGGAAACAAGGTGGGAGAACAACCATCCTCTCTGCACAATGCTTCCGTCAGGGCAAGGGGTGCCTGTGAACATCTAGTTGGATCGGTTTGGTATCTTGATCCTTGGAGCCATGTTGGGTGCAAGAATCTGCCAACCTCTCAGGTGATTATGAACCAACACCCTTTCCCAGAACTTCCAAGGCCTCCCAGAAGGCCCCAGCTGGCAGCAAGTCATGAACCACTCATCCACCACTTATTCTTTATAGACAAACATGAGTTATGTGACCTGAAACTTTTGAACCCAAACCAAGTATCCACCATTATCCACCACTTATTCATTGGAAAAAAGCATGTCATGCGCACCTAATAATCAAGCCCAGCTCGAGCCCTCAATACTACACCAATTTGAAACCTGAATTCCACATTTCCATCACCCTAATATTTTGTTTCTCGGCAGAAACCTCCCTTATTAATCAAGCCCAGCTGTCCCCAGAAATAAAACAATATATAGTTCATTAGTATATTGTTTAAAGCTGCAATCTAAGCTGCGAATGTTCTCCCCAGCAAGCTTTGGTCCACAATCCCCTAGAAAACTCTCTGGCAAAATGCGTTCATTTTCCCCCATTAAAACTCTATCTTAAACTCTTAACGTTTTCAAGCTCACAAAGGGTACCCCTCACACAGGCCTCAGTGTTCACACAGAATCCAATCAACCATCATCCATCATAAGGTCATCACCTTTATTAAGGGGATGTGGTCTCCAACACTTTCAATCTCAAACCCTGTTGACCTTGAAGCGGGGAGGGAGGGGGCCGTTTATTGATCCGTGTGTTGGCATTGTATATGAATATAACAATGGGTTGTATGTGATGTTATATAACCTGAAACATCCTGAAACTAATCCCAAACCAAGTCACCCAAACCAAAGGGCTTCCCATCAAAGCCCGGGAACTTCTCATCGAAGCCCGGGAACCCCGCTCCAAAGGGCGAGGACGCAGCGCCCGATGCGCTCGGTCCGGGTGCGCTCAGTCCGCTCGCGGCTGGGCTCGGTCCGTGGCCCAGGCCGGAGCCGCTGTGGCCGAAGCCAGGCAGACCACCGCCCAAGAGGTCGGGAAGATCGAAGGGAAGGTTGAAGCCAGGCATCTTTGGAAGAAGTCCTGCGACTTAACTTGACTTGAAGCGAGTCAGTACTGTCGGTGATATATAACTCCATTGAAAAAGACGAGTGCGAAGTCCATGGTGAGGAGATTTCAACATCAGTGAAGTGCCTTTTAAACCAAACGTGATTGTCATTGGAACACAGATGGCTCCATGGAGCCAAAAACCATCCAAAAGCATCCCAAAAGCATCCGCTCACCCCCTTGAGCGGAACACATCCTTTGCTTCGCAACGCTTCGGAAGAAAAAGGAACGAACAGCAGGGCGCCCGAGCCCGAGTGCTTTTTGTCGTAAACGCGGCGTTTGACCGACCAACCTACCGACCTCCAAGACCTCCGAAGGGCAAGGGCATGGGCATTGAGCCGCTGGCTTCCACGTTCAAGTTGTTGGGCTGCACGGCCAAGAGGCATGCCTCCCCTAAGTCGGGCCGAGTCGAAGCGAAGAAGAGATGATGGGCATGGACAAAGCATGACAAAGCATGACAAAGCCGTGATGATGGAGGGCTTAAGAAGGAAATGGATGGAAATGGTATGAAATCTGTGGTCCAGCGTTCACTAGACTGACATACTGAGCCTAGCATCTTTTTGAACACAGGAGAAATGTGCGACCTCGTCATTGTAGCCTGAAGCTCAGAATCATGCGGAATCAAGATGTGCCCCAAAGTGACCCTCTGGTAAAAAGCAATGTCGGCTTTCTGAGCGATCTCCCAACCCTGACAGTGAAAATCCATATCAGCTCCAGGACGGAATTTCAACCAGGCCTCTTTTTTTTGTGTGTGTTGGTCTTCAAGGCCAAAACAAAGTGAGTGGTTCATTATGGTTGATGGACACCCCTTCCCACCAGCTAATTAGCAGGTTTCCAGACCGACCCAGATTCCAGGCATGAAGAAATTCGATGGGATTTTCAGCTTTAAGGAACCTCTAGTGGACACTTCTAAATAAAGAAGTTCCTCAAAAGAACTTCAAACATGATGTTCTGATGTTCACTTTGTGGTGCCTCTAATTGATCAATCCCTGATTTTTCACCATGGAATTTTCTGGCGAGCAATATTAAGGCACCTCAGGTGGTTAAGAGACATACCCCAGTCCCACCCAATTTCACCAATTCCAAATCGTCCTGTATCATCATAGTCCTAATTCATCATCCATATAGTTCTGAATCATCTGCATTCATCTGCGCAATCCGTACCATATGCCCATCGGCAAATACCCGACTTGCCACCAAACACGTCTCTGCACACCGGTCTGCACGTCTCTTGACCCGCCCGGCGGACCCGCCTCGGCCGTCCTTCGTGGGGATCCGGCTGAACATCTCCCCGATGGGGAGCTCAAAGGCCCGGTCTGCCAGGAAGATCTTGAGCGGCGGCAGATCATGGGAGTGTGCCACGATGGAGCAGTCGCAGAAGACGGCTCCTGACAGGGAAGGCGAGATGATTCCACAGCGTTTCAAGGCCGGAGGAGCGCCCTATAAATTGCGGCGCTCATGATATCTCATGATCCGAGGGAAGAAGTCCAAACAATGTCTCTAAACATGTTCCATTGAGAAGGAACGCAAGGCAGTTGTCTCCGCTATCTCCCTCGAAGACTAAGGAGGTGTTCTTGTCCTGGACACTTTTCGCATGAATACGGGCCACGTTAGGTCTTAAGAGTGAACCTGTAAATGGTTTAGGTCAAGATGAATTAATAATACCTTTACCTTTTCATTTAGTCGCCAGAAACATAGTGAACAGTATCCAATGTGAAGAATTGTCCAACATAGTTCAATGCTCCTCCAGCCATCTCATCTATACCACAAAGCTCATTAAACCTCAGATCAAGTGCGACGCTTTTGCGACGCAGCTTGCGGACCAACTAAAGAGTACGAGTGTTGCTTCTTTGTGTGGACCTCGTGTTGCTTCAATCAACAGCTTGCTCGGAGCAAGGAACTCACAAATGTCCAAATGCGGCTGCTGCCCTCCAACACCAAAACTTAACAGAATGAACACCAACAACACGCAACAACACTTGCCTCAAGCAATACCTCATCTCCTCGCCACTCACGTTGGTCTCGCAGAACCGAAAATGGAGTATCCAAGCTCCGTACTCATACGGCTACGCATATATAATATATTATGGCTGTGGGTCATGGCACCAGGCTACCAACCAATGGACCTGGAAGGTCAAGTTACATGGAGCAGGACTCCAGGTTTTGAACCATCCCCTTAAGATTGTGTAGCTCAAATAGGGAGATCCCCAACCAATGGTTTTTGAGGGCTCTATGTCCCATACAAAGACACCCCTAATTTGAGTATATCCCGTCCTGTTCCCTGTAACGGTCGAAGATTATGGTTAGGTTGCAGGCCTCTCCCTCTTTCTAAAAGAAATAGTTACAATTGTTTACTGACTGTCTAGGTAAAAGGGCATAATAGGACAAATGCAACCCCTAATACTAGTATATAAGGGGATGCCGGGATGCCCGTTTTCGTTCCTTCGTTGAACTCCCAAGTCGCCAAAACACACACAGCCGTCGTGTTTTTGCGCTGTTGAAGTCTAAAGCGTCAGACGACCCTGTGTTTTGGGACCTCTGTTAAGGACCCCGCGCCGGACCCGGCCGGGACACTTCTCCTGTGGGAGCACCGAGCGCATGATGCTCATGTACAAGTGCCGTGGTGCCAGAAGGACTTGGTTGGTTCCTGCAGGTACTCAAGAGGCTCGGAACCGACCTGCGAACGGTTCCGTACCTCATTGGAGACAATTCCAAGCTGCAGCTTGGAGACTGGGAGATGTAAGGTTGTGAGACTTGGTTTGTAAAAATAATTGACATCTGCTGAAGATGCACTGATGAAGTTCACCTATGGATGTTCATCATTGGCGGAGGGGATGACCATGGATGACCCTTTGATCTCGGACACTAGGGGAGGGGACAGTTCCATGATGCTGGACCGACAGCGTAAGCGGTGTTGCATCACCGACCAAACGTGCTAATCTGTTTCACTCCAGGGAAAAGTATCCGAACCACTTCAGAAATCCAGGCTATCCCACCATCATCTATAACATCATTTGATCATCATTCCATCATTTGTTATCATCTATATACAGTATTATGTAAGATTTCCCCACCAGTCGAATCTATTCTATCCTGTACAGTTATTGCTTCCATGTTCTTTCATGTTGCCCTCCTCAGGTGCGAGTGCCTGGGCCAAGCCCGTGTAGTTTTTGTTGTCTCGGTTGCTTTCAAAACCACTGGCCGCGAGGCCTTCGATAGCACTTCCATCCTTTTATCAGCCCCTGGAACATCCAAAACCCTATCTTGCTTCGACACCCCACATCCCCACCTTAGACACTCAACGCGCCCCTGTATCAACGCCTGTGTCCACCAGAAAGCGCGCTTTGTGCGGTGTCTGCTTGTGCACCGCAATGCCCCCACGGGCCACCCAGAAGCTCCGCCCATCATGGCCTGGCGACTGAGAGGCGATCCCAGCCTGTCGGTGTTGACATCTGAGAATCCGGGAAAGCTTTGAGAGTCTCTTGCGCCAAGAATCCGGGAAGGTTCTTGACCTTGATGGATGGAAGACTGAAAGACTTATTATAGTTTGGGTCTATTCTATTTCCAGGGCCCAGTGGATGATGATGGCTAGTTTCAGGCCTTTTTCAAAGGTTGTAAATTGTTTACTGACTGTTACAGGCAATAGGATAGACCCAAATTATAGTCTTATTATGCTTTGGGACGTAGCACCTGGGCCTCTATTCGGACGAACCTCAAGCCCCGGGCCCCCCCCCAAGACACCGACCGAATCGCCCTCGACCATCCGCCAAACACTCCACGTTCTCGCAAGTATACATTGCCCCGTAAAACCACCCCCAATGTATGTAAATATGATAAATATACCAGGACCTTCCAACAGGTCACCACCTGCGACTTTTAAGTCTACAAAAGCCTCCAGAGGAAACCTGTTGGAAGGTGCTGGTAATTGATAATATCTAAATACCCGACGGGTGTTTGGGTCCTCCCTTCATGACACGGTCTGAACTTCGATGCGGCGACGGTGTCCGGTCTACTCCCGAGCGCTCCGAAGCTCCAGCACCGAGGGAACCGGTGAGTGGAAGATACAGGGTCACCAGGGGAGTCAAACAGAACCACCCGAACTGGGTCGTCGTGGCCTTGTCTTTGGATGTCGTGGTCGTGGCCTTGTCTTTGGGGGAACACCATCCCTGGACAGACACGTCGTCCTTCGTCCGGGCAAACGAGTGGGAGGCCTCGTTCCAAAGGTTCAGCATCGGTCCAGACCTTGCATTCGGATCAACGTTTCGCTTAAGTGATTTATGGACCACTGGATGGATCTGACATGCCAACAAAGGTCACCTGGGTAGGACCCATCACCGACCTGGGAACCTATGGGATAGTCTCTGGGGTTCTTCAACCTCTGTTGGTGATCTTAAACCTATACGTTCCAACCGGTTTTGATCATACAACCCAATTGTTTTGTGAACTTTTGAACAACTGTCGCGGGTGGTGACCGGGTCATGGTCTCACCCAATCTTAAACCATCACGAGCCACGGGCCAAGGTCGATTGTGGTAACTGTAACGGCTTGCGAGCTTCTTCTCAAGTGTGTGGACAACAAGAACTGGGGAAACTTATGACAGCATATGAGCCGACTTCCCCGGCCCACACCAGGGGTGACCCGGGTGACAAACATTGATGTGCACAGCCAGGAAACCAAAGTGCCTGGCTTCACTGCGTAGTGCGGCACCTGTCCCAAGACCATATGAGCCGATGAAGTGCCCTCTGGGACGAAGGAGAAGATCGCCTGCGAACCATGAAAACGTTGATAAAACGTTGGGCAAAACTTCAGATCTATGAGTTCGAATTAAAGTCCAATTGTTAGCAAATGGTTAAGGTCCCTCAAACAGGAAATGTCCATGGTGAAAGCTATGTGTGCATGTTTGTTTTTGTACATGTTTAACTAGGGCAAATCGACTCGAAAAATCGGGTTCCACTCGACGTATCCCATCTCCCACCTTGCGGCCCTGATCCTGAAGCCGCTCGTAGAGGGGCTTCTCCAACCTTGATCTCCGGGAGCGCCGGATGGTCCCGGTCCGACGGGGAGCACCGGTGAATCGCATCGCATGCATTTTGCCAGGTGACTGTCATACTCACAGCCCTATATGTTAAAGCATGTTAAGCCATCTCTACATCTTGACCCAAACTAAACGAAACTATGACATTCGTGACATTTAGATTATTAGATGATTCTGTTTAGAACGACGCACCCCTATCCGTCCCATTCACTCACCTCACCTTTGTTCCAAGCAGCTGGGCGATGCCCTTCCAACCTAAGCCGCAAATGCCATCCCAGCCGCGCTGTCGAGGCAGCTGCGCATCTTCCACGATAATGAAGCTTTGATTCCTTGCAAACAACACAAACCACAAAGAGTCAGGAAAAGCGCGACGTCCGATAATGAACGGTTTTAATGCATTCCACCTATATCGCTTTGAACAGACTTAGAAAGTTCCATGATCCGTGAATAGCAGGCCCACTAAAACGATCTAAACAAAACGTTTGAACAAGAAAGAAGGCACACACGCTCCAAAAAGCCGATTGATCACAACCTCTGGACCTCTTCGATCTCGTTCAGATGCGAAGCACGATATCGACGATATCCTTATAGACGCGGTCGGAACTTCCGTCCCTGAATGTGACTGAGTGCCGCCCAAGAACTTAATTTCAGCTCCTCCAAACAGAACGGTATCCTCCACCTTGTAGCCAACGATATCACCTGGATGTGTCACGATATCACGATATCGCGAGCGCGTCACCGTTCGACTCAACCGAAGCAAGGGAAAAGGCCGCCTGCTCAGAAGGTACGACTGGAGCCCTGTCGGTACGGTACATGTCGGTATAATATTTAAGTCGGTCCGTGGCATCATATTCTATAAACAGCTTGTCTTATTCTTGTTCGTTGAGTTCTGAATTGACAATTGAGATGATCTTCTAATAATTATTGAGCCACTTATTGAGCCATATTGGGTCTTGAGTCTTAAGGTTAAATATGAACAGTACCCTCTCCCTTCTTCCTCCCTTCTTCGTTTGATCCCTAAGGCACCTGTGCCATAGCTCAGGTGCACGGGCACTGGTGCTTGGTGCCCAGAGAGCGTCTTCACCAGTTCGGGGCTAAAGGTGCTCGAACGGTCCGCATGGAAGAGGTGCTCAGTCCTCATCGGGTCGACTGGTCCAATGGGGTCCGAGGCAGGCAGTTGCTACACATCGTTCCATGTCTCTTTGGAAAACACACGTAGGATCCAATCAGACCTGGTCAGATCTGATCCACATGATCCACCAACACTTTCCCCAAACAGTTAAGTTAAAAAGTGTACCGCTTCTCCACCTGACCCAGGAAACCAGAAAAATCGTCCAGTGACGATCGCTCTGCGTATCTCTGCGTCGTCCCCCAAAGCCTTCGTTCTGTCTGGGGCGGGACGGGCGGCAGCGCTTCCAACTCAACAGATCCGGCTCTCACAACTCGATCGTCGAGTCAAGGCTCTCGCAACTCTTGCAGCGCTTTGATGGGATCCACAAATCTGCACTGCCCGTGTCCTCGGTGTCCACGAGGCGAACCGCCGACGCACACGAGGCTCAACACACCACAGCCTGCGCCCTCCGGAGGAACAAAAGGGCTCAGTGATCTCTCAAGAGAAGACCCCGTCGAACGGCTGTGTAAAAAGATGTGACTCTGCGTATTGACCAGAGGGGACCAATCAACCTGGACTATTATGTACCCACAGCTTAGCACTGAGCAGGGGCGACTGTGGGGTCACACGGAAAACAAAGTCAGGGGCGCCACCGCGGGAAGGGTCATTTAGACTTAGCCACTTCGACTCAGTCCCAGTAGTTACACCTGCTGGGTGTTTGAACATTCTCGGTACAAACGGGTATACACCGGGGTGCAAACTGGACGTTTAGAAGGTCAGTTGCTGGTGCCATGTCCACGATGTGTCTTCAATGGCGAGTTCAAGGAAACCAATACAGTTGGAGGTTATTTCATGGGCAGCATTGGTCAGTCGGTGTCACGAATTGTTTGTGGGCATTGGTTTCCAAAAACTCAACGCCTTACATGCACCTAGTAACTCGCCGAGCGACCAAAAGACATGACATCTTCTGCGCGGGTGTCCCAACCTCCAGCTGTGCCACCAACGCATGAGAACGAGTGATGCTGAGATCCAGTTGTTTCCTGAGGCAGGAAATTCACTTGTAACCTCGACTCCTACTGCACTAGATCTTACCAATTAATACTTGTTGTCGTCACAAAGGCATTGTTCTCCACAGTGGGGTATACATGAAGCAATGATCCACAATTAAATTTAAACGACCTTCGTTGTCAGTTGGAAACCGGACACCGGACCTACGGCCGATTCTTCGGTACGGTCCGGACGGATCGTCTACGGGGGTTTCACTTCTTCGGAGTGATTTCACTTCTTCGGAGTTTCCAGCACAGGTGTCCTTTTGGTTTCGGGTTCGGCCACAAGACACGCTTTTTCTCTGAGAAAACAGAAAAGAACCGTTTGTGGCAAAGAGGTGGTCAGCTCGACGCCGAACCAACCAGGCCCAGACAAATGAGCCGCACGAGGCAATGGCCAGGCATGACGAGGCAGATCGACTCAAACTCGAGTTTGTTCGAACCTTCCATGGCGATGCCTTCATCGAGTCGCCGAGTCATTGTTTTTGTTGGCGTCTTTCGTTCTTGCAAGATCGGTCGCATCTTTCAGCGGATGTACTTTGAGCCGAGCGTCTTCTCTAGGACTTTGGTCTCCTTCAAATTGCCCAACACACTGGTGTCCACCGTCGGCTTGTGGTGCTCATGTGAGATGGGGACCAGCCAACGCTGGGCGGTCGCTACACCAAAGAAGCAGAAAGCGAGTTGCAGGGCCATGGCGAGGGTCAGCGCTTGGTGCCTGCTTTGCTACAGGTAAGCCAAAGATGTCCAAGAAATTTATGGTGTGAAGGCCATCAAATGACAAGCACAAACACAAAGATTTGTGACGCTTCAGAGCTTTTGGGTTCTGCAACTCCGTGTGGGGCCATTGGATCGCTTCTATGCTGAGAGCCAAGCTTTAACGCAAAACATCCTACAGCTTGAAAATCAAGCCTCCACATTCACCACGGCTCTTTGCTGGGAATGCCTGATTGGATTGTCACTAGTATAACTTGTGGTATGACTTTACTGTGAACACCTTTCTTTATTTACAACAATATGGACAAAAATCCAAAGGTCCTAAGCACTGTCTGCCCCAACACGTGCAACTCACCATTTTCCAGCTACACAATATTAGACAAGCACTATTTACTTCATGTGACAATGAACAGAACTCTTGCGCATCATCAAGATCATCAAGCAACTCATGTATTCTTATTGTAGCTATCTACTAGATTCTACTTGTAGGCTTGTACTGGGATCTTTCTTCCGGATTTACCTCAACATGGGGAAGAATTTCTGAACCGGAGAAAACATCACGAAACACACGTCGTTCGCTTCAAAAACACACAGCTGCAGCCTTTTTCGTTCTCGGCTGCTCGTCTTGGGCCCATAAGATGAGACTCAGGGATCCCACCCAGAACATGTTCTATGCAGGTCTATGACATCCAAAGTGCAACCATACCTGGTCCAATGCCGGACCCTGTAAAAGTGCCGGACTGAAGATCTATATATAGGTATTTTGTACTTTTTATGATCTTTTGTGTTGTATCAATTGATCTCCCTGGATTTGGATGCTGATCAGCTATGTCCACCGTAGTCGTGTCACAAATCGACGTCTCATTGATCTACGGTACACGTCCCGTCGTCTCTCCCCGTGTGCTTGTCTCGCACGTCGGTCTCGCCCGTCGCTGCGTCCTCAGAAGTAGGAGCTCAGCTCAGCGTCCTGGCTGAGACAACTTGTGACGTGGAGTGTGATCCATTGATCGCTGTATGTCTTTTCTAAATGTGGCTTCAATTGATCAGATATGATCAGATTTTGTGCATTATATTTGTTTGTATGGAATAGTTGAAACAATCCGTTGACATCTGAGATTAAACATTTTGGGCTCAGTGGGGTTGATCTTGATTCAGTTTCCATTCACTCAATATGTCTGGAGGTATGGAGTTTGTAAATATATGTAAATGTACTGTATAAAGAAATACTACTAATAAAAAACACGTAAACTGACGACCATATACATATACCATGGATTCCATGCTACAAGCAAACCTAGTACTTCTGAGATTGGAAGAGTCTGGTCTGTTGCATGCTGAGGGCTTGGTCTGGCACCAATGAAACCCGCTTGCAAAACCGTGAAGCTCTTAAGGCCGACACGTCGCCCCAGGCCTCTGTTGTGGCCAGAACCACAGGAAATGACACTGATGGAAATACCCATTGTACCCAAACACTTGCCTCTCAACCTGAAGCCTGAAACCGCCATTTCCTGGCTGCCTAAATGGATCTACATGGTGCAAAGCTCTCACACCTTCGAAACAGACCCGGTGCCCTGGGCCATCGGTGCCCACGTCCTGCTTGGCCAGCTCCAACAGCATCGGGTCGTCAAAGAACTTGTGGACGGACACGTCCTGACGGAGAGCGCACCGGGGTTCCAGCGACCACGGTCCGAACTTGGCTGGTACAAACACCATGCAACACGAGCGTTTTTGCGTGCGTGCGTGCAAGACGCAGGAACTCGCGGTCTTTTGTGTGAGTAGAAAGTGCGAAGATGCTGTGGATCCCATAGCGTCTCGACAAAAGCCCTGTCACATGTCAGTACGGATATTATACGCGTTTCTGGTCTCATGGACCCTGAATCATGTCCAAAGAATGTCGAACTGACAAAACAAGTCTGTTTGATGGAGGCTATCTATCTATCGATCTATCTTTCTATCTTTCTATCTGTCTCTCTATCTATCTGTTATGCATATGTCACTGCTACACACCTCTTCCATTTCTCCCGTTTCGGAATTGGACATCTTAACGATCTTGCAACATCTTGCAACATGGATTCAACACCTTCAGTCACCCGGGCAAGAATTTTTGAGCAACGAGAGCCCTTCGCTTGGCATGCTCTTCCCTCTCCCTTGGGATCCACGGATGCGTACCTCAGGTTCGGTCTCCTGGCAACTGTTACAGTGTCTCCGTCCTACTCTCCGTCCTCACCCTGCTTCAAAACCGGTGCGTTGCCCGTGAATCCAATACAGGTCCACCGCCATTTTCGTGGGTGGGCTTCGCTACCCAAGCGCCCAAACCGCCCGAGCGCCCAAACCACCCGAGTCGCGCCTCGCTCAAACCCTTCCGCCGCCGCATCTTCAGCATGAACTCCCGCGCCAAATGGGGTGCTGGCGCTGGTTCCAGTGGACGCCTTAGGGCCACGTGGACACGGTCGGGTGGAAAAACGCGTGTTCATTTCTGTTCAAAACGAAGCATGAAAATAGGGCCGTGGACGGTTGATTTAAGACAAACAAGCACATGAAGAAGCTTTACAATCCAAATTTGGGGAGGTCATTTTATATAATCAATCAACATTAATTAATCAAGATTCATCAATAATTCTACATTCGGCAGTTGACGCCCGCTCACTTCACCCAATACGTGACCTGAGTGTAGCTGTAGCACAGTCATCCAATCTGATCAAATGGGAAGGTTTCATGCAAAACCACCTCCAGGACCCCCCACCCTACCATACCCAACCATCCCCTACGGACCGCATGCATACCCGTCCAGTCGATGGCTCATCATGCATCCAAGGAGCAGCAGAATCGATCGATCCAAGGGATCACCCGGCACATGCTCCCAGTGATCGAAGAAGGTTTGGCACATCGCCTGACGTCTGACGTGAAGGGCTTGTTCGGGGGTGTCTAAGACGTGCGCCGCGCGGTCGGGGTCACCGGAAAGGAAGGGATCGAACCGGAACAGGGGACCCACCGGAACATTGGGGTGTATGGTCTTATAGCATCTTATAGCTAAGATCTGCAAGTAATTGGGAAGAGTGAAATAACCATAAAGGTGGAGGCACCATGAAGGCCCAAAAAAACGTGTTCAGCTCATACTGAAGGATCAGCCAATATCTACCCTCCAACTTCCAATCTCCGCCTGACCAGAGGTGTGCGTTCTCAAGTCCGTTTCGAAGCCGAAGGATTCCATGGCTGGCAGGTAGGCATGCACCTGAGTGAACAGGAAAATCCGACAAAACCGACGGAGCCAGCGATTCGCAGAACCGAGGAATCTGAGGGATGTTCATGGTGAAATCCCTGCTTGCTAGCTACTACTCCTACTGATTTTTAGCACAACAACGCAGGTATACAGGTTGATCGATCAGGGTTTGTGGGCTCTTCAAAAAAAGCAACAACAACAAACAAACAAACAAACAAACAACAACAGTCAGTTTGGCATGTTCATGCCGCTGCGCTGCGGCACGGTGGTCCTTTTTCCTAGTTGTTGTTGGCAATCTTTGGCATGATGGTTGCCATGACCGCTTGGCCATCTTTGCCACACCACCCAAATCATTGGACCCCAAAATTTGATGTCGTTCACCAATGGGTGGTTCATTGCCCCCCTACCTGCCAATGTATGGCGGAACTCGTGAAGGCACCCCCGCAGTTCACAATGCGGCCTCCAAAAACATCTATCTGGTCACTACATTATATATAGTTATATATATATATTTTTTTTTGTTTGGTTATACTGTACATACGTATACATAAGTAGCAAGTTCAGCAAAGCGTTTGAGACCAGTCACACCTATCAACACCAATGTTCATCCTCACACCCGAGACTCCCGGAGACTGTCTCCGGGTTGGACCCCCCCTGGGCCGCCGGCCGAGTACATGGGGCTTCCAGGCTTGGGTAGATCGCGGATCACATGGCCGCGCCTGACAGTCCCTATGGATCCACTGCCACCTTCTGAAGGTATGACTACAAACCTACCAAACCTAGAAACACAAAATAGTCTCCAATCACCTTCTGAGAAGGTAATTACTTTGATCCCTAGGGAGATAGATAGATAGATAGATAGATGGATAGATAGATAGATAGATAGACAAACAAACAAACAAATAAATACATATGTATAAACAAATGCAAACCTGTATAGAGATGTATGTACAGTAATATACATGAAGCACGGCAGAACTCTGACACATCACATACAAGTTTCTTCCCAACTCATGTCCATTTCATTGTGTGTCATTGTCTAAAAACTCCATCCTGCAACCTGTATGGCAGTGGCCCCCGGAGCGGAAAACGCCGCACCGATACGTCTTTTGCCTTCGGGAGAGGACGTTGTAAATGGCCGCCACGCAATCGGCCGGGCACTCGATGTCCGAGAACCTCGGTGCCGGCGCGGAGCGCTTGGCGCGGAGGGCGTTGGTTCGGGGTCGTGCTCCGGTCGTGCTGAAGTGGAAGAAGAAAGACACAAAAGTGCCAGATTCAGCCAGGCTCACCATGTTGGAATTGGTCTTATGGTATAAAATGTACAGTATAAACTATATATATAATATATAAGTATAATAAGTATACTGACCCATGATGATTCAAGAAGATGGGTCATGTCATCTTCACCATCTGTCGTCCCACTGGGCCGCTGGACATCACGGGCTCCATCAAGCGAGGCGTGGCCAAAAGGAAGGCCGAATAGGCGACCTGTGTGTGTCGGAGGCAGCGGCCGCGTTTGAAACCCGGTGAACGCCTCGTTGTTCGGATGAAGAATGGAAGACTCCTTATTTGTTGTTATTGTGGATTACTATTGGTATACCTATAGCTATAGGCTATAGTACAGGAATGAACAGGTAAGAAGTGATTGCTCTGAAACCTGAGGATCTGCTAAGTATGCTTAAGCATAGCAAGCAACGACAGCAACACACAAAAAAAAAGCAAACAAACAAACAAACAAACACAATCCAAAACAACAAGCAAAACAAAACTAACTAAGCAACAAAAACCTCGCCGAATCGTGGCGTGCTTTCTGAGGTCCCAACACGTCGAGCCGTTGGGATGATCTGACCTTGCTGGGAGTGCTGTCCCGTGCTGTCCGGTTCTGTCAAGAGAGGTCCAAGCATCGGTTCTGTTCGGGAAACAAACAACAAGCAATCGATGCTGACAAGCATTGACTGGTTCCACCTAACACAATCTGTTATTATGGCTTTTTGTTGGATGTTAGGTGGAAACCTTTCTGCAAACGATGCAAAGGTGACCACCTTTCAGCGGCCGATCTGAGGTTTGAACCTTGGCCTTTCACACGACGTGTTGAAATCGCTTGTTGGCTGGTGTCGTAACCCAGACCCAACCAGGGTCCCCAAAACCAAGCACCTCTCACCGTGACATGAAATACCCTCAACCTCCGTCGGCAGACCCTTGGCCATGCACAGTGCGTCCCAATCGGACCACAGACTGTCCTGCCACGCACCTTGCACCTTCTGCATCTCCATCGCAAGTCTGAATGGTGGCTTTTTGGTCCATGTGTTCCTTTGTCGCGCCGAGGAGCCACCACCCCGGAGCACCACATCGTCGGCCAGCTGCGCATTGAGGATCTTGAACTTGCAGCTGCGGATCTTCTCCTCGCAGCGCCGCTCGCGCAGGTCAACCGGCAGGTCATGCGTAGGACGCATATGACCGGTCGATGGAACCCCCATTGACCCTCGGCAAGCTTCAAGGTATATGCATGAGCTGTTTGATCTCATGGATGATCCTCAGTTTTTTCAGGGGCCCCAAGTCCTACCCCACCTCCAACCTGAGACAGTTCCAGCTGTTCATCTGCATCTGGTCAAAAATTCGGACCGCCCAGGTATCTACAATCCGAACATCTCACAACACACGAGCTCACCTCTGAAGCAATTCAGTGCTCAGATCTGCTGACTGCTGGTTGAGGGATGTCCATCGCACTGAGAAAACCGCAGGTTCCCGGGCCCTGGAGACCACCGCTGGAAACCACCTGAGGCTCCCAACATCGCACAAAGGTCCTTCCTTTGTGGCCCATTGGAAGCCTTGGATTAAGCCTCAGCCGGACCCGCGCTCAGAAATCTGCGCTCCGCGGCTCCGACCTGCCTCTTGGTTTGGTTTGGATTTCCAAGAGACACACCATGACAAGCCCATCCTTTTCTTGTGCTTATCAGCAAATCTCAAACCAAGCACTCACGAACATGCTCTTGGTCGCAGGCTGTCTTTGCTTTGGGCCAGAAGGCTCTTGTTCACCTGCACAGTTTATAAAGTATGCAAGCATACACCTGAAGAGTCAGTTTCAGTTCTGAGCATGGGATGAGTTGTATGGAAACACAATCATTAAACACATCCAGAGTCCTGAGTGAGGTATCATCCAAATAGATAGAAAGGACGGCCAAAACATGTTTGGGGGTGATCTTATTTAAATTAATCTACTTGTTTTCCGACCAAGAATCTATGTTTGTTTTTACTTATTTTATATTATCTTATAATTGTCTTATATTTTTTGTTTAAACAAGCATTTGATGGTGGAGCGACAAACACTTAATCCTGCCGAATCAAACAGATTCGCATGCAAACCACCAACATGTGTGCGCGCCCGCCTTTGCTCAACAAATAACATAAAACCTGAGTGGCCCCTAGTTTTGGACCACCAAAACACTCTAAGATATTGTCTTTGTCCTATCAAAACAGAGGTCATGTCATGTCTGGGCTGTATATGTTTAATCTGATTTCGGTGGCGTACATGGACTGCGTGCCTCTGTGGGTAAGCTATCGTCCAACAGCACGTTGGGGCCATTCACCTGGCGTATCCGCGCGTGGTCGTTTTCCTCTTCTTCGATCGGCCAACATCGGAGGGCTCTTCGCGCGTGGGAAGTCTTCCCATGCGCCCCACTTGCTCCTGGTTCCAAAGGTGCGCATTGGTCCAATGCATTGGAGTCTCCAAAAATAGTCTCAGACTTGCTACATCTTGCTACAGTGGGGCACATTGTGCAAGCCTTCCCATGGCACCGGAACTCTTCACGTAGCTGTTTTTGGGCCACTTGGGTGGGGAGATCATGGTTGTTGACCTTTAGCAACTGCATTGCTCACTGTGACCCTCTATCCAACAATCATGGCTGGCTGGCCTTAGTGACTATAGCTGTGCCTCCATCCCTCGTCGTTGGTCACTTCGTCTACATCCCTCGATTCCACCGGTTCCACCGGTCGAATCACCGAGACTCGCCTCCGGGCCAAAGGCCCACACGGAGCGCGACGCCAGCAGATCCTCGCGCACCGGGCAGGTCTCGACCGTGGGTCACTTGAGCAATTATATACATATGGATGTCTATTACATATGGATGAGCAAAGGTATCTATATACTTCTATATCATATATGGATGTATTCTTTTTTCGTACCCATCTAAAGAAGCACGAGACAAAACACGGATGTGGATGTATATGAGCATTCTTAAAGTAAAAACACATCATGACCGGTATATTGTGTTGTGTCAGGTTAATTCAGGCTTTGCTCTGTTGGATCCTCGATCAGTGTCGAATCACGGGTTCAGCAGGACTTTGCTGCTTAAATGTGAAACGCTATGAAACCCATCAAACCAAGGATTGGAAAGTATACAAGCACACAATTCTCAACATCAGATTGATTAGACAGGTATAGAATAAATATTGTATATTATAGTTGCTTGCCTACTTGCCTCGAGCTACTATCTTTGAACAAGTTTGAATCATGTTGTGTTTAATATTGGACGAAGGGGAACATGCAAGGTGCCACGGCCACGGCTTCTACACTGCTTGTCCAGCTTCTTAGGTCAAGCAAGAAACAATGAGAATGCAGGTCATAGAGTCTAGTGGTCCTACACAAGAGACGATATCGAACATATTGATTTGGGATCCACTTTCTACCTAGCTGCTACTAGTGCTACTAGCTGAAGCTTGGGAGTTCTAGACTTGCTATGTAATTTATGTATACCCGCACCTTCAAGGGGTCAACAATGGAAGCCCCCAGACACTACTTAGGGGATCTCCATTGGACACCCCTTGATGATGCAGACTCTTGATAAATAATCCCAATCACAACACCTCCAAACAGGCCTGGGGGGATTGAAATATGTTGCCATATAGATTTACCGAGTCTACCCATGTCTGCAGTACATGATACTTCTGATACTTCAACCCAACTTCAGCGGGACCACGGCACGGACCAGCACGGGGACCGCGGAAGGACACGGTGGTCGGTCCCAATCGTAGTTCTTGGTGAAGAAGTCACTGAGACGGCGCTTGTCCCATTCGATGTTGACCTGAAGCAAGTGAAGCATGGTTTTTTTAAGTCCTCCTCTGAGGCACCACATGATGCTCAAACAAGAGACTTACACTATCTGGCTTGGTCCTGTCCATTCGTCTCCAGGGGGGGTTGAACTGCAAAAGCCATCAAAAGCAAACCTGGTTGCATTTCAAGTCATAGGTCCCTCCAGTCCAACCAACAGACTAACAGACCGACGGTCCACAAGTTCGGCCTTGCCCTTCTCGATATCTTCACCAAGACCTTTTTCCAAAGGCTCGGCGACCATGTAGATCCTCAAGGAATGCCAGGGGTTTTAGTCGTACCGAACCTGAGGTTCGGTGGGACCGGGGTGGGTTTTCTTGGAGGGTTCGATGACCTTCTGAGGAGGTACGACTGGAACATCGGCCTAAGCCCCGTGTGGGGAATGCAAGCAAAGTCAAACCGCGATAGGTCTGATCAGGAGGATTTACAGTGATTGATGAAGCTCCCACAGCACTGTCAACAGAGACAACAACAAAGCGCTGTTAGTACCAATCCAGCTGAACAGCGTGGATAGGTAGGAATTGCAACGCCGTGCCAGAATGGGTAGCTCTGCTTCGCAAGAGTGGACAATGAAGATAATGATGACGATCATCGCTACCACAATCATAGTTATAGGATGTTATACATATGTGCGTATCATAGTTATAGGCTATGGGATATAAATATAGAAACAACACAGGTCACCTCAAATATGGACTCGAATACTCCAGCCATTTAAAAATGATCTATAAATATATAGCATCACTATGCTTATGGCATCATATTTGGCCACTCTGGCGAAGCTTGTGCCAAAGCTTCTTGTTCTTCTTGTTTGGCGTCTCCGCGAAGCACTTCAGGGAGCTCGTCTCCTTGGTAAACATCCAACGGAGGAGACGGGAGACATGGGATGGATGCAACGTCTTTGCAACTCAGGTGGTGTTTAGAGAAGGTGTGTTTTCTTTTTGGAGGGAGGTTCAGGACAGAACCGGCATGTTGCAGTGGATAGAGCTACATGTTGGTGTTCAACTGCCCATAGGCCATCTGTTGCCGTAGACCTGTTCCACTGCAGCTGAAATGGCCGGAGCTGAAGCGCAAAAATGATTCAGCACCTACCAACTGGACAAAAAACAGAACAAGTAGATTCCACAGGATTCCATCAATTGTATGACAAAAAACAAACGGTGCCCGGCTAACAACATCTCTAGAGTCACTATTGACAGAACCATTCAATGAATGATTCCAAGTTTCAAGGACGCTTCAGCAAATATCAACCCCTGATGATCTGCACATCTCTGTGCTGATTCAGTTCCATGACCGGAAATTCTAAAAAAACCTCACCCAACTCACCCACCAACTTCCCAAAGACGGTGGGTGGTCTCGGCTGGTCCCAAACCTTTCAAGGATCCACCACCGTCTCGCAGAACTCCACCACAGGGTCGGCCACTTTGATCTCCAAATCGCCATACAGCCTGCCGAAAGAGAGGGCCGTTTTCGCCATACAGCCCGGGGTCTCTTGGATTGAACACCCGGTTCTTAAACTCAACCCTGTTTGTGTGATGGTTTGTGGCACTTGTGGAGCGCCACTTGGTTGGAACTTGGAGGCTTTTCTTCACGGGGGAAGGAGAAGTGCCGCTTTGAAGCCAAACATTCCAGAGTCTACAAAGTCGTCTAAGCAAGCTTCGAACGGCTGTGCTCAAAATTGCCTGCACTTGATCTGGTAAGGGAGGAGTCTTGCTGTGTCTGGGATGCTCGAAATTGTTTCAAGACATGGGACAGCTGTGGGTCATACCCCAAAGACAACGGTTTTGGGCCTGGGGCTTGACCACGTCACAGGATCATCTTGGATTTGTTTTTTGATCTAAACAACTATAAGCGAAGGGCGTAAATCCTCCCAGAACAAAGTATACTTAAAGGATCTTAAAGGCTTAGTAACTTAGTATTGTGTTTAACCCAACATAGGAAATAGCAAAGCTTGAGATATAGCTGCTGCAACTGAACATGTAACATTGTGGTTGCATGCTGAGTACTTACCATAACTAACTAACTACGACACGTCAGCTTATATACTTTGTGTTGTATCCAATGCAGGAACTTACTATCCAAACTGTAAGTACTCATGATAAGCGGTAAGCGTGTTAACTGTTAATTTATTACCACGCATATATAAATGAGTAGAACGAAAACGACAAGCGACACCCGAGGACAATGTTAGGGACACAGCGAGTGGGGCATAGCACCTGCTGGCGTCGTCCTACATCAGGGTGCGCCACCCCCTGCATTTGCCTCGTGTGTTGGCGGTCAAAAGGGTGAGTCAGCAGGACAGTTCACTGGATGTTATGGAAACGTGAAACATGTCTGTTTCCGTCAGAGATCCTGCGGTCTGCACTCGGGTCGTCCGATGATCTCTTGCCATAGGCAGTAGCGGAGAATCTCTCATGCAGCATTCCAGCCCATGCATGATTTGGTATGGATGAACAAGCTTGGCTCATTCCATGGATGGACAAGGTTTGCTTGATGTGGACAAGACGGACACAATGAAGTGCACACTGCCACCAACACGCTCATGAACTTTCATGTTGACCTTCATTGGTTGCATTGATGGACGACTTTCATACCGCACCATGAACCTCAAAACAAATCATACCTTTCATACCGCGACCTGAAAAAATTCTTTCAGACCTTTCATGCGATGCCACCCATGTGAGCATGTTGGCTGTTCATCAAGGTGTTCAGGTCAACACCGGAAAAGTACGCGGCATGGTCATACAGGGCGCATGCCACGGACCCGTGTCTTACGCCTTCCATGCCACGGTCTCGAACGTTGGAGATCTGTGTAGACAAGTATGCATGGGAGATCTACGGAAATGAGTGGTATGTTTGTGGAACTACATGTGTGCAAACCATGGTTGGTAGATGGTTGGTAGATTAAGTGCTTTGTTTGTGGAAGTATGTGTGTGGGCCACACAGTGTGGACGGGAGATCTTGGAAAAACGGTGTTTGCTTGTGGAACTACATACGGCACGTATGTGTGGAGAATCTGGACAGGAGATCTTTGCAAATAAGTGGTTTGATTGTAAAAACTACGTGTTTTCTAAACGTCTGGATGATGGCGCATGCAAGAAGCATGCGTCATGGACACACTTCCATGTATGAAGGAGGGAGGAGCACGATCCTCTGAAGGTCTCCAGCGTGTATGTGAGTCACGACATGGGAGTCCCGTCTTCGGGTGACGCCAGCTGCCGTGCACAGGACATGGGAGAGGGTAGATTTATGCCTTATTTAAATAGGACATTTAGCAAGTGCTGCAACTGCAAATAGCTAACTATGCTAAACGTGTTGTTATTTGTGGGATCTGTTTGTCATGTGTTGACTAACTGTTGACTCATCCCACGCCTGTGCTAATACACTTGCTATAATATGCCATTTAGAATACCTGCAACATCCTCCCAACACGCCTCAAGGTATTACATGTATCTCTACATCCTCCAAGTACATTTTCCTTCAAGGCGGTCCCGTTCCGGCTCCCAAACAACCCGAACGAATCCGAAGCTCTGAAGCTGCGCCCACCGAAGCCGACGCCGACGGATCTGTGGGGGTACAAGACCGGAGTGACAAGTTCCTCGCCTACGCAGGTCATGAAGCACGCAGTCCAGGTAGACCTCGCCGGTGCCTAGGAGTACATGCCTCGGCGCGGTCGCGGGGACGCATGTGGCGCCAGGTGGCTGGCGGCGCTTCAACGCCGAAAACATGTGTGGCGCTTCAACGCATGGCTGATTTCAACGACTTCAAAGGAATTGATGACTTGGAGACGTGACTTGGAACGTTTGCACATGTCGCACTGTATGAATCCACCTTGAAACGATCAAATGCCAAACATCCCCACATGGATATCTATGTATAGAAGTTTGCGGGGAAGGAAGGATTTCAGGCAGTCCTGCTGGCACAATCTAGATTGCATCAGGCTTCAAATGATGCTATGGCCGCAGAACTCGCAGAACTGTATAACCGAACAATTGCAAATCACTGGCCGCTGAAAAACTTCGTTGCTGGAGTCTCCTTGCAACATGTACTTTCCACTGGTACCACCTGTGTAACTTAATCAATGCGCCGACCATCCCAGGTAGATTCAGCCCATGAGTTCTCTCTACTGTAGCCAGTGTATCCTACCGGTTTGAAGTAGAACATCTCGGAAGCACTCAAATTCAGGGGGACTGTGACATGGGATTCCCATGTAGGAATCCGGATTCTGTGATCTATGACTATGCTGTTATTGTGTTCTTTTTCCAAGCTTAAGCCTTGCTTCTCAACCGAGAAAAAATAAACAAAGGAAAACCGCCGAGGCCCCGAATGACCGCCTTCACCGCCGACGACACCGCGGCCGACGAACACCGCGCAACACCGGCCACACGCGCGCTTACTACGAAACCGCGATCCGAGTAGCTCGCCGCTCTCTTCCACCTGGAGCGAAGAACGGTGACATAGTGAGTTAGCTATCGCTATCGCTATCCGCTTGCAATGGGCAATTATATAAAGTATAGGATGGTAATGGATGGTGGGTCTATACAGTGCTCCTATAGCAAAGGCACAAGTTCCAAGTTAAAGTGTTTGCAATGGTTTCTCCTAAATCAAGCTTACTACCAAAAGCCTTTCCAATGAATGACGGTGAAAAGGACACTCCCAGTTTGCCCACAGGCGCCTTTGTTCGGGACAAAGGATATGCCTTGTCGATCTTCCTGCGGGCACTTGCGGACTCGACGGCCCCAGCTGACTTTGCAGTCCACACAAAGCACCAAACACGCCGGATGACTGTCCAATAGGCGTCGAATGGACTACCCGGACTAGCCTACAATACTTAGGGATCCCATAGGATGACTCAGGCATCGACAGGAGACCCAAACTGGATAGTCCAGGTGTCAAGGTGTTCCACACTTGTTGGTCCAAACATCCATCATCGCTGAATAGGCACAGCGATGGATCTCTGTAACCAGGACCCCAAGAGGCTCTGTTCGGAGCACCCCGTCCGACTTCTACGGCGGAGTCCGAAAGAACAATGCCAACGGCCTCCGCTTCGGCCTCCGCTTCGGCCTCCGCTTCGGCCGGGACCGCGCCTGAGCCCATCCACCATCTTTGGCAGCTCGGCGGGCTGCAGTGGCTCGATGGCGACCTTGATCACCTGCAGTGGCTCCAGGGGCGAAGCGGAGTGAGAGATCACAGGCGACTGACACGCACAGGGGGGGCCGTCACAGGATTTGGGAGGTGAGGACATCGCCGGAGAGTTGGACCGGTGCAAAACAAAAAACAAAAAGGAACCACAAAGTAAGTAGTAGGCAGTATGCATGTTGTTGTGTCTTTTTTCCCCAAACCAATTGGCTTTGGACACTTCCGCTTTCAAGGAGAAACAGATGTTTTAAGTTTCATCCATATTTCTTTCTACACAACTATGTTCTGGACCTACCGGCACTCTCCCGGCCCGGCACTCTCCGAAGCACGAACACGGGCTTCCCCACCGGCGTGGTGGGGAAGCGCAGCGGCCGGAAGATCTCCACCTGTGATCGGAAGATCACCCGGCGCGGTTCGGCACCGGAGAAGTGAACTGGAAACTCAGAAAAGAGGGGATTCAGAAAGGGAAAATGGTACCATTGTCTAATCTTTTATAATACCTATGGTGATTATGAACGGATTATACCATTCATGATATGATACCATTCATACAATTATAGAACGGATTAGACAATATATATGTTATTTAGTCGATTTGTTTTAACATACCACTCATCATCACCCTAAGCAAAACCTTCAAACAAAAGGAATGACCCCACTTCGGAGTATCTTGGAGTGCAGTCTGGCACATCATTTGGATCAGGTTGGATCTTAAAAAATCAGAGCTGTCACACATGGGATGACGCCATCCTCACTCCCTTAGCTTCCCTTGAAAGACACGTATACTTACCTCTTTCCCTCAAGACTCCACCTGTGTGTCGCGGAAACCAATGCCCAGAATGGTTCAATATGCTTCACTTCTACAGTCATTCACCACCAGCGGCACCCCTCTCACAGTCTTCGCACACCACCCTAGTCTTCGCCGACGCGGAAAGCCCCGCGGAAACGCGCGCGGCGCGCGGCCGTTTCGGCGTTTCCGCAAGGTGCGTCCGTCCTCCTCTTCGTTGGAGGCTGTGGTGATGGTGGCCGTCTTCTTGATGCAGGTCTCAATGCCTCCGATCAAGACCTTGGGATCGGTGCCCGAGCCGAGCGCATCGGAGTGCGTCTGCCGTGTTGCCCCCGGTGGGGTGGTGGTGCCTCTAGAGATCAATGAAACCCGCTTTCCGAGTCGGGGGCCTAAAGGGCTTGTTCATGCTTGTTCTGTTCTGTGCATTGGTTTACCGTGCTTAAAAAAATAAATCAGGTTTGAAAGTTTTGCTTGAAAACAAACAATGAACATTAATCCAATCCAACATGCCCGTAGCTCAAAATATCTCTATATATATATGTGCAGGAAACATCAGGAAACTATATGTTCTTTCTTTGGGGGATAAGGTGCTGCCCAACCCCCATACACCACGAGCCTCTTAAGTACAGTTTACACGTTGTATCTCTACGCCGTACTGATGGAGTTGGAGCAGCCTCCAGCTACTCCGGTAATGTTTCGATTCTATATGTAGCCGTGCTGCACCTCATAGACTCTTAGACATTAACAGCTTCTCCCATGTTCTCCAATGAGCGACCCTGGCCATCCGCCCCATGAAACCCAACACCAACACCATAACCGATTCAAAGCCGAGACGCCCAGTTGCCTGCTGGCACGTGGCTGACTTCCACACGATAGCGACCCTGGCCAAGCAATTCAGTCGGTCGAACACAATCCGAACGGCATGGCATTAGCAGACTCCAAGACTCCTTTCACTGGCCCAGTGTATCCCTAGCTCAAGCCGAAATCACTGAAGGACATCGGCACAGTGGCAAATCAAACAAATAGACCTGCACTTGCACAAATTCTTAAAACATCCTTCCGCATTAGATGAGTCTATCTCTCTTTCTCTCTCTCTCTCTCTCTCTCTCTCCTACTCTAAATATGGAGCTTTTCTGTTGCTACAGAACATCACTCTCAAATTGCTACATCCTGCCTATACTAAGTACCTCTCAAATACCAGCCTCCCATCTCCCTCTTTCTCCGCACCTTCTCCGACGTGAGAAGTCCCCCCCCCAACAACCTCGAGGTATGGTGCGACCGGTGCGACCGGCGCCTCGAAGATCCAAAGGTTCTGAATCTCCTTGATGGCCATATCTTCGTCATCATCCAGCGAGTAGGTCTCTCCTACCGGTCATGTGCGTCCGGTCATCATATGTCATAGAAATAGATGTCCATAGGTCGGTCTCGTTGGTGGGAAATTGGCATCAACCACGAGAGTCAGAAGCAAACACGGTCACATGATGTCACATGGCATTGGACGATTGGACGAACCGATTGGGGATCATCCTCCCCAAGAAGACCTGGACAGCGACGTAGAAAGTCCGTGCCGTTTCTGCCCCGCAGAGATGTCGCTGTGAGGGAAGAAATCCAACAGCTGGGGGCTTTCTAGAGTGGACCACCAGACGGCAAGGTGCAAATAGGGATCAACAGGACCCCCAAAATGATGAACAGTTCGAAGCACCTAATTGACCACCTTGCAATGGACACATCAGCCCCAATTCACGTCGCCCCATGTCAAGACCATTCATCATCCACCCTCTTGGACCCACCCGCCGGGATCCGCTCCTAAGATCTTCACGCGATCTCCACGAAAAACGGTGCCCGACAGGACACGCCCGAAGACATCAAAGGCATTGCAGTCGGGCCGGTGGTATTGCTTGACCTCGAAGATCGAGCAAGATAAACGCACACGTAAGGAACCGTGTGGTAGTGACCCCCCAAAGAAATCAATAACTGGAATGGTTGCGTCAACGTCCAACCAACTTGAAAAAACGACGCTTTGGGAATAGTCTAAGCAACAAACAGGATAGAAATGCATTTTTAAGGACCACCGTACTGCCATCATGCTGAATTGCTATCACCGATCTCGGCGAACTGTCTGTGTTTTGCCAGCTTTAGAGCTGGCATGTTGAGCCAAGTGCTCTACCAATCAGCTTGCCACAGTGTGTCTTTAAAGCCTTGAAGGTTTCAGCATCAAGAAAACGGAACACGACTGCCTAGCTGCCTAGCATTGCCTAGCTCTCTCCCTTTCTTCCCACCAAACGTAGCCAACTGTTGCCACTTCATGCCACTACAATCGCTTCCGACGAGGCACGACATGCAGCATCAAGTAGCCTGTACGGCAACTGTGTTCATCAACCAAACACCGAAACATATGTGAAGCCCTGAAGTCACTGAAGAGAGAAACAACACCCAAACAGCACAAAGGTGCTAAGGTGCTTGTTGAAGGATTGGCTTAATTATGTTTAATTATATCAATTCGGAAGTGACATGGCATGAACAGCACTTGGTGCTTGGCCAAAATGGTGCAAACAAACGCCACATGCTTTGGCATCTACGTATTACAGCCGGCACCCTGGGGGGTGTTCAGGGGTCACCTGTCGCCGGATTCGCCTGTGGTGTCCAGGTTCTTCATGTCTTGCGCCACAGCACCATCTTGATCTCCGGAGTACAGCTTCTCCACCTGTCTGGGCACAACATGCTGATCTGCTCAGGATGGGCAGTCATGTCCTACACCCATCCTCCATCGCCATCCCAGGCTCCAGTGAAACATCTGCTCATCCCAGAACCCCCCGAAATGCCGGGGATCAGCGAGCCGCTCGGGTTCTTCAGCACATGCACCCAATGCCCGGGTGTTCACACTTTTTTCGTCATCACTCCGCCATCACCAGCTGCCTCCAGACCCGTCCAGAACCTCCAGACCCGTCCAAACCACCAAAAGAACGACAAAATTAATGAACCCAAATGGAGCCGCCTTGGCCTCTGCACTCTCCTGCACAAACGCTTGGTGGCACGAACAGGTGACCAAGCGAATGAGAGGCCTATAGGGTTTGAGGCTCTTGTTGGGGTCGAGCTTTTGCTCTTGGGCGCTTGCCATGTTTGTATGAACAATCATGATTAGCTGGTCACTGCTGGGCTTCCAGCTGGATGCTCAGTTCTTGTATTTGAACATGTTTAGTTCGAGTAACGACGTTCTTCTAGAATACTTTGGAGGGTCCAGGTATTGGTACGTAAAAGTACAACTCCTACAGTTTGCACACGTGTTGAAGAAGTCTTACTCCCAAATCCCCTGTCTAAATACAATGATTGATTTCATCAGTCATAGCAGAGTCTGCCATAGCTCACGCCCCAGATCTCAGCATCTCTCTGCCGCCAACGACGCAAAGACCACCGCCAACCGCTTCGCGGCGGCTCCTTGGGAGTGGGGATATGCCGCACCACCTGAGCTGCCGTCAGAGGCAGTGGCGGAAGGAGAAGTCGATGGACCAGCCGTTGGATCGAAAGAAGTTCGGCCAGCTAGGACCAGCCGTTTTTGTGTGAAGAGTTCACCTTGAAGACTATTGATATATAGATAGTTGATAGTTTAAACAAGAAACATCAGATACGCGTGGATACTTAACTACCACCTATGTCCATATGGTCAGCTGAGGTTAACCAAAAGTCCTGGGATGCTCTGAACATTGTGATAGAGGCATGCGACGCATGCCCTACATTGGCTACGTGCTTGCCAGGGTGCCATGTCAATAAATGATGGCAGGCCTGCAAACAAGACAAACGCACGGATGTCATTCAGACTCAAAAATACAATACTGAATCCATTCCTGGGCTGCGTTCTTTCACCAAGATTATATATAGTTATAGCACCACCTGATTATATTACTTATTATATATGATATTCATCTCTTCCAAGTGCCAATTCACTTAACGGCCTTCTCAACTCTAAGACCTCTTTGCTCTGAAGCCTTGGCTCACCCAGACGTCTATAGCGCTTTTGCAACAGCCTCCGGCCAAAAACAGCGCGGCCCCAAAACAGCGCGGCCTCCACCGGCGCCAAAGTACTGAAGAAAGACCTTTCGGATCAAGGAACGCGCATCCAACTCATAGTCACGCTTGTGCAAGTAGATGCCCACCTCACGAGGCCCCGAGTCGTCGCTGCGCTCACGGCGAAGCACGCGGTGGAGGGTCCTCTGTTGCCCTGTGGTTTTCTGGGATGTGTCCGATGTTTTCCCATGGCGTTCAGTGGCACTCATCATCCTTGTGTGAAAACGAAGGTGTAGCTTAGTAACTTAGTGTAGGATCTTGATGATCCTTCAGTCACACGATGATCATTGGACAATGCTGTTGTTTCGGCCAATGAACATTCATCCGTCATTGGCTGGAACATCTGTCACATGGATTTAAGACAATGCAATCACAATATCCGTCATCAAGATCTGCAACTCAGATCATCTCATGAAACATTAGGCGGGAACAAAAACCAGCCATGCCGCAAGCCATGCCAGCGACCACTATAGCCTAATGCCATAGCATATAGCCACCAGTTTTAAAGAAAAGCCATGAGACAAAATCGTTAGGACAAAATTCTTCCCCAAAAATCCAGGTGAGATGCGAACACATGGAAGTGACGTGTTGTGCAAAGGCGCTTGGGCGGAAGATTTTCCCGGCCTCTGCTAAGGTTTGCGCCAAATCATCTTTCTCCTCACCCAGACAGTGCGCGAAGATCTTATAGATCGGCTCCAACACGAACCTGCTTGCTGTGCCGCGTGGCGGCTGGTTGTGTTATGGACCTTCTGTTTTTCTGGCAGCGGCCAACTAGGAGGAAAAAAGGCTTGATCTAAAAATAAACATCACACACACATTCTGATGGCTTTTGGTCTATCAAACCTTCTAAAAATGAACGGGTGTGGATTACACGCTATGCTCCTACCCTGTTTGTTCTATCTACTCCAGCCAGGTTCTCTTTAGCTGTACTGATTCAAAATTGGTCAAAGACTTGGGTCGTAAAAAAGAACAATCTTCGGACTTCTCTATGGTTCAACTCTACCGTTCAACTCTACGGAAACAGGTCAAAAATTAGTCACTTTGATGCTGATCACAGAACCGTGACTCTTCACCAAGTTCTTCCTCCGCATCTTGGGCACCGAGGTGGCACACCCACCCACCCATCTATGGCGTCCATCGCTGCGCCGACGGGCCACACGATGGCGGCAATGGTTCAAGGGCTGCCTCCAATCTAATAGCGTCCTTGCTACTAGTAGTAATGTTGACCTCTGATTAACAAAATGACTACCGTGTTTTTTGGATGCTGGGAATTTGGGACGACCCTAAATAAAGTTTCCAAGAAAGAACGAATAATAAATTAATGGCCTCCAAACTATTTGCGATGGTCTCCAACCTAATAGCACAAGTGGCTTCAATTAGATGAGCTGAGCTAAAAAGTGCTTGGCATGCTCTGGTGAGAACATTATTTAGGGGATGAAGGCTACAAACAAATGTCCGACTTGGTCAGCCTGTAGTAGATTTCGATTGGAAGGTTGCTTGATTAGAAATGAACGATTCACAAATATGTTGATAAACAAACCGATGGCAACAAGCAGCCATTGCAACATGTGTTTAATTAACATGTTGAACTATTTACTACATAGTATAATTACCAGATTTGATGGAACCTTAGCAACCCGAACTGGGTGGTGAATGAACAAGCCACTCTCCTGAATTGTCTTTATATATCTTTAGATCTTTCATGTCTAGATCTGTACAAGATGTTCCCAACCCAACCCATCCAAACCTGTCGTCTTTATCGACACAAACTACGTCTAAGTGGCTGCACGAAGGACCGAGGCTGTTCGGCATCGGGAGGCGTCTTCGTGAACTTGTTGTCCTCCGCCTCGCCACGCCGCGGAGCGGAGCGATGCGGAGCGGTACGTCGCTTCTCTTGCGGTGTCGGCTGAAGAGCCACGCTTTTCAGGGCTTGGCTGCGCTTCCATTGGTCAACCTCTGGTTTTAAGAAAGACCTGGAGAATCTTGAAACAAAAGACGAAAGACTCCGGCAGACTCCGGAAATTTGAAACATGACGTCACGTGCATGGTTTCAGATCTTCTTCCTCTCTCACATCCTATTGCACACACACACTCTCTGGACACTCTTCGTCGAGTCTTGGGAGGTTTCAGACCTCCACGGGACTGTCACGTTCGTAGCGACAAAATTTCCCGGTGAAATCGAGTGCAGGGAAAAACCCACCACTTATGTCACCCACACCCCGCTCGTCTGCTCAAAGTCCAGGCCCAACCGGGCCCTGGAAGAGGACCCTTCTTGGTAGAGTCTGGTAGAGACAAAGGACCAAAGGGTTCGAACACAGTCGCCACGCAGATCGAGGTTGAAGTATATACTCTCTCTCTCTCACTCAACGCTGTTTTTATTCGTTTGAGGCCAGTTGCATTGTAGTACATATCTCCCCAAAGGCACTTGGCAAAGGTGAGATGGTCAAAACCTCAGCATGTCACGAAGGACCGCTCTCAGGCAAAGCAAAACTGCCTAACTCAATCACTGTTGCCGCGCCGGACTCGCCCAGTCGACTCGACCAAGACACTGAAGCCATGCGTTTCGGCGTAGATCGCCGCATAGGACTCCAAGGTGAACATCATTCCTTGCCAGTGAACCAGTGAACCAGTTAGCATGGCATAATGAATGTCTTCAAGCACTTGCTAACTGCTAACTGTTGCAAATTTATGCAAATGGAACTTTCACAAGCAGTCAGTGGTGCTTCAAGAAACACAGTCAGTGCGGACGCCTTTTGCGGGAAGACAAAATGAAATACACACCAAAAACAACAGGCCACAGGTCTGTTAAGATGCAATCCAAGTGTCTAAATTGGGCAGAGCTGAACAACACCTCAGCACAGCCACCATGGAACACAGCTGATCCAGAACTCATCTTTTATTCAGATCCAGCAGCACAGAACGTGAGAGCTTGTCAGTATCACTCATGGTGTTTCAGTTCCAGAAAGGGTGACACGAGAAATGGCGCTGGTTGAACTTGTGTTGTCAAACAACTTTGAGAATGTAGCAAATGCTCTCATTGAACAGATCCGCTCAAGTCAGTTACCACAAGTTAAAAACATGCCAAATATGTATCACACACATGGCCCAGAACAAACACACTTTCGGAAGGATTTGTGGCTCACCTCGGCTTGCAGGCCCATTTCACCATCCTTACAAACCTCAGATCTTTCCCGTTCCCACCACAATAACCGAGTCCCCAAATGGCAGTTGAGAAAAACGTTTTTTCCGCCCTTGGCCCACCCTTCTACCCTCCTCCCCCATGCGGGGCGCTCCGTTCCCATGGGTTTCCCGGCGTTCCCTCTCAACGGGGAGAAGTAGACTCGGTCGTCCACCTCCGTGCCAACCTGGCAAATCCGGGTCGATTAAAAACCGTACGCAGCGAGCCGTGACCGGCGAGCGCAGGTGTCGTTCGTTCCAGCCGTGACGTGTCGAGTTCCAAATCATCGGACCAGTAGCCGAGTCGTAGAGTTTCTCCATCGTCTCGTTGATGTCCTCGATGCAATATCTCAGCCTTGGCCAACTGACTCGGCCACCATCTCGTTAGACCCAGTGGTCGGCCGCTGATGCATTGAAGAAGTGGAGGGTTCGCATTCGGTGAATTTGTGACGGCCAAATCTGGCAAAAAAAAACTACAATATGTTCGGAAACGCAAAACACATTTCACGGATCTGGGCAACACCCCGGAATGGGCGCAAGTGCGCGCGCATCGCGTCGTGTCCATAAAGAACACATTTGACCACCCGTCACATCTGTTCACCAGGTTGCAAGTCGCGAAATTTTTTCCGTTTCAACACTTCCCATTTTTGGCGTCAAATTTGTCAATTTGCTTCCAGCACAACGGTCCAAATTTTTTGTCATTGCTGTGCTTACCAGCAGCGCAAACGTATGAGTCCACTGCTTGCTCCCCTACAAGGGGAATCCGAAACATATTGACACATGATTCATGATGAACCATGAAGTGTGACAGCAAAGTAGTCATAGAAAAACCTTCACCACATGAGAACAGGTAAGCGCTCTTTATGAGTGAAAACATGTGAAAACCACACATGATTACTTTTTAGATGAAACTGCTAGGGCTTGGCTGCTAGACCAATGACCCCCTTGCCCAGCTGATATGTTTGATGTCAAGATGCTTGTGATAGGCATCTGTCGGGGGCAGCTTGAGCTCCATGATCAACCGATCAATGCCGTTGATCACTAGCACCACCTGCAGGCGGTCACACCACATTCCAGCTGGCAAAGCGATCACGTGACTTTCCAAAAATTTATTCCAAACCGGCTTTGCACCCATCAGCACACATTTCTGATATTTTTGGCTACTTTGTCAGCGATCGGCGGCGACATGGCCCCGATCGGTCAGTTGGCCATAGCTTTGAGGCCAGTGGACATGCTGAACAACGCAAATCCCACTCTCGCTGTTGACAGTCACCCACATCAGGAACTAAAGAAACTGCCATCATCGACGTCGCTGATGCTCTCTCAGGAATGCCGCATGTGCTTTGCGATAAACTTCCTCAAACTTCGAGGGCTGCAATCGGTTTCAAGAAAACAACTGCTAATGACTCCAGACCCCTGCCTCCCGCTATTCGGTGTGAGAGACATTCGGAGCAATCGCCGCTCCCCTGCTATAGGGGATGGCTCCAGTATGCAAGGTGTCCATCCGAACATGAGAAAACTCCGGTTTGCGATTCTCCCAGCTTGTGAAAATCGAGGTTACTCTGCCAAAACGAGGCAGTCCACAAACCGGATCTTCTCAACTGTATCAGCACTTTTGCACAAACCATTTTTGACACGCGGCCAGCCAACTTCAGCTTTTGGTACGCGTCCTGTATATGGCAGAATCGAAAGGCCCGCCGGCAAATTTTATGCTGCACAAGCACGCACACTTGACCTGACAAGCACACTGACTGGATTGCTGGGTGATGCCGCAAAGCGCCCGGTAGGCTTGTCGGACTGTTCGCGTGCATGGTAGGCGTCGGCCATGTCACAGCAACCAGCATGAAACGTCACAAGCTCTTTCCACCGAACCTCTGCTCGGTGACTCAGCGCCTGACCATTCGCAGCATTTTCAGCTGCACGATCTGCACGGCTATCAATGAACATGTATGAAAATCATAAGACAAGCAACAAATAAGCCCACGAAGCCTCGCTCTGCGGAGTGTTAGCGCAGGTCGAAGCAGTCGAAAGCTCCAAAATACTCTAGCCCACGCTGCCGCGGGGTCAGCGCTGACTCCTCGCCGCCACACAAAGCAACTTCACAAGCAAAGCGCCACAACCAGAAAACTCAACTTGCTGCCTCATTGGAGGAAGTGGAGTTTCCAGGACAGCTGCTTCATGCCACCCTCAAAAAGTGCAACCTTGGCCGACAAGCATTTGACAGAAGGTCAGAACTGGACAACCGACGCTCCTCTTCCAACTGCCAATTCAGCCGTCGGATACGTTGGTCAAGTTCCATGTTCGACTGCCGCCCCAGCTGAGCTTGAGAACACTCTGTTGGGAGCATGGTTTGGAATACTTGGAGAATGCAGAGACTTGGGCAAGCAACTGGCTTTGAAGCTGCCGCTGATCTTCTTCCACCTCAGAATCCCTTTAAAAGGCCAAAGTTGTCAATAGTTGGCCTGGGCTGGGGGCCCAACCATGGGTTCTGATAGTACTCATGCGCAAACAGGTAAGGCATAGCAGCCGCAATTCTGAGATCCTCGTTGGCCGGAGAAGGCTGCAAAGGTCCGGCCAAGTCGCACATGTTTGCTCTCTGTCAGCTGAGTCTTCGGCGAACCCAAACTGGCTCATACTCACTTGCACCATGGCTACTCGTCTCAATTTTGCTGGCGATTCAGTGTTGATTCCAACACGTACTCGCTGCTGAGCTCCACCCATGTTCACAGCACAACTAAAAACATGCGTTCAAAGGACATTCATTGAGCATGTCCGTTCTCACTTTCTTGGACATGTTCTGTGGGCATCAAGAACGGTCGTGACGAAAGTGGCTGTGGACAATCATGTTGCACGTGCGATTGATTTCTGTATGTTTCGAAGCAAATAGTATGTTCTTGCTTTCAAAAAGAAAAATACCAGAAGCAAAAACAGGATCTGTAGATAGCAATCCTGCGAACTGCTCGTCAAAATTTGCACGATCGCTTAGTGGCAACCTTTTTCAGAGAACCCCTGACATGGCTGCACAGAACAGCAGCGGGGTCTTATCCCAATAGAAACTTCACATGCCTTGGAGACTCGCTAATGCCCCCTGGCTGCTCAAAATCAAAACTGCTGTAATCATGCATAATCATGTGACATGTCTACCATTTTTTTCACAATCATCCATCCTGGCAAAGATTGGCAAGTGCTGCACTTGTTCCAGCAGTCAGTCAATGCTCGTCACGGCTGCAAACAACTTGTCCAACTCAAGAACAACGGGGTCACCAACACCTTCATTCCGGGGTCTCGTGGCAAAAAGCGCCAGCCCACCACTATCCGGGATCTCCATCAAGGTCCACCCCCTTGCAGGTCCAAATGCCCGACATTGCCCTAGCCTTGAGCCTGTCTTGGAGCGCGTGCTTCATCATTCGCTCGATGTGCCTAAACCCATGACCCGGTGCCGCCAAACAGGAAGCACGATCCGGTGCTCAATCCCAGAAGTGGTGGACCATTCACTCATATTCACTCCATTGATATTATATCCCTTTCCTCGCCTTCAAAGATCATGCAAAGAATGGTTGTGGTGTGGTTGTCTAAAATCCTTAGCACAACAATGGTTGTTTGGTAAAGACACTTAATTCAATGGTTACCGGACATCCCGGGCCTAGGGGGTCCTAAGGCCAAGGGCGGCCAAGTGTGTCTTAGGTGAATGGCCCAGTGGGCCACCGTGCAGTGTCGGCTGACATCATGTTCCAGTCCAAAACATTTACCTTGCAGCACTCCAGGAGTCAAATGGAGTCAATCTAGAATATAACAAATCTATAACTCTAGAATAGTTCAGGAGACTTCCAGGATGGTTCCACACCTGAAATCACACACAGAATAACTCTATATCATCCTGGTTCCAGGATGTTCCAGGTGCGGACTTTCTCCAGTCTGGGACCGATCCATTCCAGGATCCCTCTGGAAAACCGAGAGGAGTAGACCATTCCGACGGTCCGGTCTGCCGGATCGCCGGATCGACCGGGCAGACGTCTGAGGATTCACATGGGAAGACCGGGGTTTTGGAGCCTCCAGCTTCCATACACCCAAGACACTCCAAGACCAAGACAGACCTGGGTCCTTGGAGTGTAGAATCCTAACATCATGGTTCGGTCAAGACCATGAAAACCATGTTTGTTGGAAGCCCAGACAGGTCATGGTGTAAGTTATGATCATCCGACCATTTGGGTGTCCAGACTAGACTACCCTACGTAAACAGGTCTCCTACTCCAGGGCACCCAAACAGGAAGTGCTAGGTATGAAACCTCTTTGTAAAACTCATAGATACATCTTCTGGGATCTACAAAGACCGTGCATTTTGTGAATGTTTGCTTTTGGGCTAGAACGTCTAGGTCCTAGGTGACAGGCCACATGGCACGAACTCATGAAAGACTTGAATCGTCCAGGTCCAGGTGCTGAGTAAGACAAACCACCACATCTACCAGGAGGATCACGCCGTCTGACAAGGCCAAAGCAGCAATTACTTCATCCTGCCAGCGGGATTGGCAGCTTTGGGCGGGAAAAAAGCAAATGCAAGTCATGCCCGGAGTATAAATAGTCTCGTGTCTCAAAACACCAAATACACCTGCACAATGGATGAATCTGTGTCAGCTGGCTGGCGCTTGTGAGGTTTAGGAGCAAACACTCACTGGGGACTGCGGACGAAAGACCAAAGAGACATATCTGCTGCTTTCCTTATAGTTTTGATTACAGCATTATAAAACACCTGAAGTACACGAGGAAGCCACAATTTCTGGCTCTCAGATTCTAGCCAAATCTTACTCGTTTCTGCGGGTAGAACCGCATTAAAGTTAATTGCCACCAGCTGCGCTCCTCAAAGCAACGGCTTAGCACTCGGATCAAACGAGGAACGAGTGCATTCGTTGCGTCCAAACCCTTGATGGGTCGGACGTGCCGGACGTGGCAAGGCCGGTCAACCGGCAGAAAGCCGGTTTCCGTGGGCGTCGGAGTGCAAGACGACTGGAGGCTTGAAATGAGAAGAGGCGAACGAGGAAACACGAGAGGCGGAAAATAAAGGCTTGGACCTTTCAGACATGTATACTTGGACCATCCAAGGGGTGTCGTGTCTGGAGATCCAGAAGTAGTCTATTGGGGCCCCCCTTGGATGGTCCCGGTAGAAGAAACTAAGAAACACATGTCAATTTTTCAGTGAGACAAAGCGTCTGTCGTTGACAATTGTGACTACGGCAGGCACTGACTGTGAAAGAAACCACTCCAGCCCCTCAGTGCGTCTACCATTTCGCATGCACACATGTGTCAGCATCCGCCAGCACGTGGTCCTGGAAATTGGCATGGCCTGGCGTGTCCTTAGTTCATTCGATAAAATCTCTTGCTGAAAAGAGGAACCTCTTCTGGATGATTACAGTACTATTATTATCTTCAGATAAGATAATATGTTATATAATATTTATTTCTGCTTTGCAAACCTTCTGCTTTGCAGAACATCGAAAACACCTGGTCCGCCGAAAAGTCGGCGCCGACCGTCGGCACCGAAATGAAACCCAATGATTGAGCGGCGCGACCGACGTCACATCGAGATGCTTAAGGATTAAATCGGATTGAATCCTATTTACAATTTAGATCAGGAACTTTGGACCTCAGCTTCGTTCTTCTCGTGGCTTCGTCTTACTTGCCGATCAGGGATCCGATCTTGGCCGATCTTTTTTTCTCGCTAATAGGAGGGTCGATGGGGGGAACGCATGGGAAGGCAATCCCTGGTAGATATGCCCCCTCCTCTGGAAGATCATTAAAACACGATTCTGCAATCTGCAAGAAATTGAATTGCTAATGAAAGGAACACCCGTTGGATCATGAAACAATACTCCTTACCCGAAGAATCATTTGTGGAGGTAACTATGAGCCGTTCATGACCTGAACACCTGCACCAACACACAGATACGGAGAACAAAACAATAAAGGTATGCTAGCACCACCTGCTCCATCGAGGAGGACAGCCCATCTGTGCATCTAAGATTCCATGGCATGGAAGAGGTAGGACTTGTCCTGATGAGTGAGGCAGGCTCTCAGCATCTCGTCTCTAGTTGCAGCCACACAGCCACAAAGGTCGGCTTCTAGGGACTCAACCTTTGCTCAGCCACCTACCCTATGGATCCAGTCGTACCTTCTCAGAAGGTATGACTGAACCCGCCAAACCTACACAACAGTGTCTCCAATCACCTTCTGAGAAGGTACTTGGATCCCTATAGGGCTAGGGTTTCAAAATGACACAAGATCGCCCCGAAGATCGCCGCCATCGATGCCTTTCAGCCACCCGCATGCCCGCCACCCGTTGTCCCGAACGTCCCAAACCGTGGACCGCGTCGCACAAAGCAACGCGATACGCGTCGCACGGACCGAGGTCCTTGGAATCCTGTAGCACCAGACTCATCGAAGAGGCCTTGACAGTGATGCCACGGTCCTGCTCATCTTGCCTGGAGTCCGTGTAGCCTCGGGAGGGACCAAAACCACATGGCGGACAGTGCCAAGGGATGGGATTGCACGGGACGGGTACAAGCTAGGCGGAGCTTTCTGACCAAATGGCCTACCAAAATGTGCGGCAAAAAACGAGTCCTTTCACCAGTTTCTTGGAAGAGGCAATCCCCCCGGGCCGAAGTGAGCCAAGATGAGCCAAGGGCAAGAGTTTCTTGCTTCGGCGCTCCTTCGTGGGCGAGCAAAGGATCCAAAGGGTCGGACCCGGGAGTCTTTCTGCGTACAGGATGGAGATCCAAAGGGTCTTCCGTGTCTGTTCCGCAAATGAGACGACGGCCGTGTTCTGTGCCAAACAAGGAGAGATCGCGCACGGTGTCCGGTGTCCGGCATTTGGTCCAGGTCCTGCGCTCACCACCCTCCTGCCAATCCGATCGCCGCAGTGGAGTCCGGACTCCAAAATAACACACCAGGAGTTTCAAAGGTGCGATCCATGGAGGTTAGGGGTGCCCATTAGCCAATATATGGACTAAACACCACCCCTTTGTGACCCCTGGTACATGACAGCTTTTTTACTAATTCATACTAAGTCCTGGAGTCCCCACTTGCCGCGCATGTCTTGTCCCTCTCCCTGTTCTCCCCCGCTTCCCATTCCATCCGCCCGACCACTCCGAGGCTCGGATCTCCTTGCCAGTCTTCCAGTCCTTCTCGTGCGTGTTCAAGACCAGGAGATCCATAAAGGTGGTCTTGCCGTGGTGCAAGGCACCCAAGAAGCAAATATTACCTCGGATGGTTGATGCCTTTGCTTGTTTTTTATCGTGCTTTTTGTCTTCCGGCGATCGCGCGATCCGGCGAGCCGAAGCTCGGACGAGCGCGCGCTGAGCGAGCTTCGTTGGCGGTAGCAAACAGACGTCCAAACAGACGTCCTCGCCGGGGCACGTACCAAGTTTGGCTTATCCATCATCGCAGCCAGAAAGTTAAAGTCGAAGGTGGTGTCCGGCATCTTCTTTTCGAGCAGGTCCTCAAAGATCAGCGTGAGTCCACGATCCCGTGCCGAGGTGAACATGTTCTATTTCTACAAGTACATAGTGCTACCGCGGATTGAGCATGTGTGAACTGTACAGTCTCTTGGGGCTGCCCCCGCACCGACATTGGCAAAAAAGGGTTCGTTTAATAGTACATGCTCACTCTGTCTTGCTAGAGGAAGTCACGAGCCCCATGGGCCAAACCCCTTTAACAACTTACTGATTCGCACATACTTCCAGAACCTGTTTTCCTCTGCTTGGCCAGAGTAGTCCGTGAGAACTCCATGGCTTTCCGCACAAAAACAAGTGCAACGTGACATGATGTAACATGATGTAACATGTAAATATCTGCCCTGTGACATAACCTTAAGGAGGCCCTTTGCTCGGGTGTTTACTCATTCCAAATCACATAGAAAAAAACTGTTTGATGGCTTCAATCTTGAAAAACATATGTCAGCGGCTTCAATCATCCCAAGTTAAAGGCTTAAACTTCACATCTCCAAGAAAAACCACCAATCACAAACACCAGAAAAAAAGAAACGACACCCATCTCTCCTAATATGACACCCATCTCTTCATTCCCTCCCTCCTAACCGTGCCCGCTTCTGCCCTGAACTCAGCGACCGCTCTGACCGCTCTCTGCCCAGGTCGCAAAGTTCTTCGACTGGACCGGCGTGATGATGGGCTCGGTGAGGGGCTGCGTGTCCTCCATCTGAACCAAGGCCTCAGCGTCTCCATAGACCTCTTCGGCATCGGGGTAGTACCTCGGCGATAAGGTCGTTTTGGAAACTGGCAAGAGGCGCAAGAGGGTGGCCTGGGATGGTGGACGTGTTTTCAGAACTTCGGGGCCAGGTGCTTTTTCTGGAGTCAATCTGATTCTGGTGCTTTTTCTGTAACTAGTAACTAGTGCCTTCTCAATTCAAAGTTCCAATTTTATTTGGCATCATTTGGCAAACTATGGCGAACTGACAAATACATTCCAAGAGGCTTTTTATCCTCATGGAGGATGATTGACCTGGCATCTCGGAGAGCTTGTCTTGGGCCGATGATGGCAAACTCAAAACAGGCACTCTTGAGAACACGCGAAGGATCAGCTTCTGCCGTTGATTCGTTTGCAGTTCGCACCCGAAGACTGGGTTGGACCTCCTGCACACCCCGGTCTCCCACACATCGAGTCTGGGTGTCCCATCCATCGACTCCCACAAAAAGGAAGTGGTCCACTGCTGGCCTATCACCAGTTGCTTCTGCACCTTCCATCGGAACATCGCCTGAGTCGCTGTAGACAGATCAACAAATTAATTATACCATCTGCGGACCCACCACGATCAGCGAAGCCCTTCTGAAAAAGACAGGCTCCATCTAAGTGTTTTTGTCAACGTTTGTCAACGTTTGTCGACGTCAAAGCCCCTCCAATCATGTTAAACTCCACATCTGCTATCGAGTCTCATTGGTATCGAGTATCTACCGTTTTCATATCCCAAACGCTATGTTTTTTGGGGTGTCAGTGGGGGCGGCATGTGTAGGCCAATCTGCCAGTCCCACGGAGCGTCGGAGCGTCTTATCATAGAACTCAGCCACTCTCCGAATGGACCCTTCGGCCTGGTGCCAGCAGCAAAACCCCTGCACTGGAAAGGGGTGCCGCAGCAGCGTGTCGAACTGGCCAGAGTGCCAGCAATGAACATCTTCAGCCAAGCCCTTGGCCCTTTTCACATCAAGGGGGCCAAAGGTTGCCCCCGCGCCCCCTGGCCCGAACTCGCCCAAACTCCCAACTACTCCCAAAAAGAAGCACGCCGTTGGCCACAAGCGGCCGGTCGCTTCATCATCGCCCTTGGCATGCTCCTCATCACCCTCTAAGAGATCCTCGTCATCTTCGTCGTCCTCGTCATCGACGTCAGGGCCTGCCATGAGTGTCAAAGGGGCCGTCAAAGGGTTTTGGCTCCCCTCGAAATTGCGCATATATATGTGAGCAACATGGATGGTGTTTAAAAGAAAGGCCGTGTTACTACATGCTATAGCTTCTTAAAGATCTCAAATAACATGAGATTGCGTCGATCGATGCTATAAGCTTCTTAAAGATCTCAAATAACATGAGATTATACGTTGATTTGAGTTGATGCCTTGGATTGCGTCGATCGATCTTCAACACAAAAAGTGTCACCGCACACCATTTGCACATCTCTCTCTATCAGCAATCATTGGCGATGTACAAACTTTGAGCCTTGATAATTTCCGAACTCGTCGTACAAGCTGTCCTTTCAGGACACGTTGCTGCTATTTTCAAACTTGGGACGATGTCTTATGATCAATGCGTGCACTTCAATGAAACACCTGGTCATGTGGAAACCTAAAAGATTCAAAACGCAAATAATGTAAGGCTAACAAAACACCAAAACGGTGTGTTGTTTGGTGTTAAATTCAACGGGAACTTGCCTTAAACCCAATTCTGCAAAAAGAACTGTAACCAAAGCTGTGGAAATTCAATCCAAGCACTTAGAACTTAGAATGACCTTGCTCTGTGATAAGACGGTCCTAGGATTTCTTATCTCCATCCACCGGATGATGTGATACGTTTGGACGTCCACAACTCGCAATATTATGCAACGCATGTTTCCACTGTCCTCCATGAGCAAGGACGAGTTCCTATAGTAAGGGGCCCTCTATTTGAGCCACAAGCTACATCAAATTACAAAGCTGCACACTCAAGGAAAGAAACAACACGCAAACTATCAAAAACTCATAAACTCTACTCTGCAAGAGGATCTTGGATGCCAAAATGATCAAAATGTTTTGTTGCATCGAAGGTTTGCCCCGTTTGCCACCTGTTTGGCTACACGTCACACCTGAAACGACCCCCCCCGAAACACCACGACCCCGAATTCAGTCTAGCTATCTCGGCCGCTTTGCGAGTTCGATTTGATGCTCCGTTCGTCCGAAGTCCGTTCGTCCGGCTGGTCCTTCTGTGCTCGTCCGACACGGCGCGGAGCGCGATCCGGCGGATCCGGCGTGTCCGGACCGTCTTTTTTGGAGTCAGGGCGACGGTGGATATGAGCTCGTGCGCTTCGCCAGCGCGTTCGGCCCCATCTCCACTCTCGGCCTAAGTCACGCGGCGAAGTAACCACGCGGAGCTCTGCTCTGGGTGTTTCACCACAGTCCTCGGGGAAGAAGAAAAACGAGTGCGCCCGGGGCCAACAGGCCCCTCGAAACGAGGGCTCCCAACACATTGTCTGTCTGTCTGTTTGCGGGATGCGATGATGAGTTTCATCGGATTGATATCGGTTCCGCAAAGAGGTGAAACAGTCACCCAACCTGATGTGATGGCTGTTCCAAGCAAACGTCGGGTAGTACGTCCGGTTCACGTCTTCAAAGTACATACCACGATCCATCCAGGAGATCCAGTGAAGCGAGCGAAAGCAGCGAGCCGAGCGAAACGAGATGGGCGCAAGGATCCATTATGATATCATTGATCCTGCGCTGCCAAGGGGTGTACCTGATGATTTGACATCGCTACCGGACATAGATCAAGGAAATATACCCTAGGGCTCCAGATACCTTCTGAGAAGGCGGGACTGGGGTGGGTTTAGAGGGTCCAGTCATACCGAACCTGAGGAGGTACTGTACTTGGAGCCCGAACGGGATAATCAATCTGTTGTGTGTGAATTCAGTTCCTTTGTTCCGGCGGTGACATGGATTGTTTTCGGGTCCCAACTCCCGAATCCTTTTTGGACGCCAGGTTTGTGAGGTCACCATGCTTGGGGTAGACTCACCATGATGACTGTTGGTTCATCAAAAACCTCAGAATGGTGTTACAGTGTCATCTGCAAAATTTGGGGAGTCTTGTGAATCAACCGTCTATACAGTCTACATGAAATAGAACGGGAGAAAACGGGCGTACTTGAATCAGGTGCAAATCTTTTGGCGGCTACCACAGGAGAACTGGGTTTATTCCCAGGGGCAAGACAGTGCGATGTGACCATTCTTGGATTTTTCCATGGGCAGTATGCGACGGGAGACCCCAATGACCCCTCTGAAAGAAGGGAAGTAGACCAGTCTACTCATTGGTTGGAGGTCTCCTTATTAGATTTCGCAGCCATATTCTCTTAGCCGGAAACCATCGATGAACCAGCGAAAGAAGTTGGGCAGCAAAAGGAACCCAAACAGTGGTGGAATTACCATATAAGATCTAATATGGGCTTCGTTTGTATACTTTGTGGCTTTCTGTTGGCTTTGTTCCAGCACATTGACCTTGAAGCGGCGTCGTTTTAGGGTGGGTGCCCTGTTGATGCGCCACAGGCCCGGCGCGCGCTCGCCCAGCTAGGCCCGGGACACACGGGAACGGATGAAGGCGTCCAACCTGCGCTGAGCCGCGGGCGGATGAGAGGCAATGAGACGCCGAGTAGTTCACCAAACTCCGAGACTCCGAGAGATGGATTTGATTCCAAACATGTCCCAATCTTCCCTGTTTCGTAGAGAGGTCTTCCGCCGCTCCGCCCCCTGAGACAAACCCAACAAATCCGTTGCTCAGCTTTCCCAAAAGCATCTCTTAAGCATCTCAGCTTGAGATCCCGGGCCCACGTCGGCGCTGAAGCAAGTCCTCCTTGCAGACTTGATACGCCGGGAGCTGCGGCCTAGTTGGGAATACTCTTTAAGGGAGCGAATCTGCACTGAATAATCCGTTGGGAGAGCCTAGTCCCACGTCTTGAGATGCCTCCCACGCAAATACATGAGCCTTTCATAGCCTTTCTTCTTTGGGTGAAACCTGTTGCACGTGTCTCGCACTGTGTATCGAGGACAACCGTCTACAACTGCTCCATGGCCTATATTATATTTGGGTGTGTATTAAAATGTTTAAACATAGGGAGACCTCCCAAAGACCCCTTGGAAGAAAAAACATGGACCAAAACCCATTGGTTGGGGGTCTACCTCCACTGAACCAGAAACTACGAGTACTTCGCTCCTTCTCATTCTGCAACTTCTGAATACGCCGCCGCATCTCCTGGTTGCCTTGAAGTACCTTGGATTTGTGCGCAGTATCTGAGCCCGCAGCCAGGTGTGCTGAAGGACGGAACAAGCTGCTTCAGCCAGTAGACACGACTAAGTCCACGGCTTCTTCAAGTTTCTCTTCAGCATCGAGTCCTGGCATTGAGAACATCGAACATTGCTGTTTCTTATATTGTATTCTTGGTCCATGTCTTCTTCTTCGACAATCCATGTTGAGTCCCAGATGGACGATCCATCTAAACAAGCGCAATCCATATCACGGTCCTTCATCGTCTGGAGTTGCCTGGACATGGTGTGTGCATGTCAAACATGGTGCTGATGAGTGAAGTCTTGGAAAGTAAATGCCAATGCGACGAGTGCGACCAATTTTAATTCTTGAAGGAACTGGAAAACGTCAAGATCCGCTTCGATTGAACTGCTAACGATAGTTCCAAACATCTTTCCGAACGATACAGGAACCGCATACAGTAACCATCAGTAACCGCGTAGCGTCATGAGAACCCATCTGAGCAACCACAGAAAAAGAACCGCACGAGCGAACCGCGCGACCGACGGAAGACCCCTGCTGACTGGTCGGTAGGACTCTCAAGACTGGGCAGGACTGGTGTGAAGTCGAGAAGGGAACGACGGAAAGGCTTCCACCAGCACCACGGCGAGGGGACCCGGGGTGTGCATGTCTGCCCGGCGATGGGGTTGGTCATGGGGGGGTGTTTTAATTAACCAATTCGACTGGGGGTCCAGGCACGTGATCTATTCTTGTTAACTTCTGGTTCTCATTCGACCGCAGTTGGCAGCTTTCGCCTTGGGAGGCCGCTTCTGCATGTCTTCTGCCAAGCGCAACCTGTGGCAAACGTCGAAGCGAAAAATCCTCGAAACAGGCATCCGAGCAGAAACAACAGAACCAAAGCCTATAGAAGTATTGGATTGCGTGAAGGTACCACATCTATTCTTGAGTCCACCTTGCAGTGCATCCTACAGACTTTTCGCACACAAACACGCCAAGAACACACAGTGGCATCCCAAATATGCGCGGCTGAGGTGCATCAGCGTCTGGGAGCGTCGCCACTCCACCTGCACGGCAAAGAAACAAAAAACCACGTGGCGCGGTTCCGCTAGACCGAGCGGATCCCCGCCTGCTGGCGCTTGAGAAGTTGGTTCTCCGTTTGCAACGCGATGGCCTGCGAGGACGGATGGATGCGATGGCCGGGTTCCTTGCCCGAAAGGATACGGTGGACTCGCCTCGATTTGGGGAGGCAGAAAGATGCAAAGACTCTAGAGGGTCTGGATGGAGAGGACAAATGCTTCACTTCTCACAGACTTGGCAGCTTTGGGAGGGTGATAGATGTGTTGAAAAAAGAAGGCCCTAATATGATCCTCACAAGAAACAAAGAGGGGCACAGTTGGAAGACACCTGCATGAGTGACGGGCGTATACCTTGTGGAAAGACTAGGGGGAGGGGCGTATACAGTATATTATACTCTGATCGCTTCATCACCCGGTCGGTGTTGTGCTCTCTACTCCTTGGAAGCATGATGGGGACCCAATGGACCCAGAATGAAAATGGTGCGCTCTGTCCCAAAGAATCCTCTCAAAACCAGATCACTTCATGCCCGGCTTTTTGAGTAACTCAACATTTCCAGAGGAAATCTATCGTCAATAGAATCGGGTGCTGCTAGATAGCTATCAGTTCAAGGACTGACCCATCTGCCATCCCCTCACCCCATCCGTCCTCTGCACGGAGATCCTCAAGCCCACTGATGGCATCACCTAAAATGGAAGGAGTGTGCAGCATCTGGTCCTTAAATGTCCTCAACACCTTTTGGCAATGCCATAACGACATCGGACAGAAACAAGAATTGCATTCAAATGTGTGCACTGCACGACGCGTCTGGCATGCCTAAACTGGCTACATTGATTGATCTTGCTCCAGTTGGGCAAGTGTGGGCCACCAGGCCTCTTGTGTGGTGAAAATGAACAGCCCTCCGCCAACCCAATTCCTGCGTCTGCCTCAAGCAGCTTTACCCACCAGCGAAATTTGCGCCTTCCAGGCTCTTCTCTTGCTCAACCTCATCAGCCGTTTTTCTCGGTGGAAGCATCCGACAATCCATGGAATCAACTTAGTTCAGCACTAGAAACATCAGTTCACAGGACAATTGGAGGAACACCTCTCAGGTTGTATGAACCTCTCTTTGGGTTGACACAAAAACTCTCAGCGGCGGCCGCAGGTATTGTTTTGGGGCACGAGTTCTGTCTGCGTTCCTTTGGTGTAAAAACAACCGATGAGTTCACCTGGACTCTCCAAGGTCTGTATTTGCAGGTGACAACCAACAGGTGCCCAAAAGCACCTGAAGAACTGGGCCTTTTGGGGTTCCAAAATATTCAAGCCTACTTATTGGAAGTCGGGCCCCTTTAACAAGATAGGGCAATATAAGCGAGCCTCCTTCAAAAGGTCTTCCACCACCAGTAAGAAGGGAACGAAACAGCAGTTCAAATGACGTGCAACTCGTGTTCATGCGGAACAACATGTTTTCTTAAGGCTGCGGCCTTGGCTGCACGTTCCCTCAAACGAGGCTGAGCCTCTTCCAGCGTCTTCAGCTGCAGGGACAGCCTCCAAAACTTGAGTGGCGAGTGGTTCGGGGAGGTTTGAAATCAGTATAGGACGGAGATGGACAAGAATGGACTGTCTTGTGGTTCTTTCCATGTGAATGTGCTTTGACACAATTTTGGGAGGATGTGAGGCCATGTTTTCTGAGGTTCCAAGCATCGACCGTCGAGTTGTTAAGTTGAGGTGTCCGTCGATATTCCTTGTAGTCCTCCCAGTCTTGTCATGTCTCCAAACACACGCCCTGGAAGATTAACATGGAACCTGAAAACCAGTTTGTTGAGGAAAGCAGTATAGGCATTGTGGGTCAGGCCTTCAAGCCGGCATGCCTGTCACTCCGCTTTGGTGTGTGCGAGCTGAGCCATGACATTATCCACGTCGATATGCCCCAGCCATGAGATGATCATAGCAGAGATCAGCCTTGGAACGTGTTCGGCTCCTTTAGTGATGACATCCGCCAACTTTCCAGAAGTCTGTCAAGAGATGAGTGAGGCACGTTTCTTCGAGGAAACGCCTGATTTAGCAGAGTGGGAAGACGAGACATTCTTCTATGTTTGGGAGTTCTTGGAGCCAAGATGGTATAGTCGCTGTGATAGTATCTTCTCTTGGAGTTCCTTCTTTTTTTCGATTTGGAAATCGACTCACTCGACTCTCAACAGGCCTACAGAGGTTCCCACTCGGGCTTTTACCGAAAATTGCGCTCTGAAAGTCGTGCTTGCTGGCAAATTGTTTGAAGACTCTTTTGGTGACTTTTGAAGTCCCATGTGGCCAAAGGGCAATTATATATCGACATCGGCCTGAGCCAACGACTCGTCGTTTTGATATGTCATATTTCGTCATAGCGAAAAGCGCAGTGGCGAGTGAGTTGATGATCCTGCCTTCTCGTCTCTTTCCCTCGCTGCATACGACCCAGTCGCTGCATGACGCTGAGGTGTACAGACTTTCTCTTTGTAAGCTTGCCATAGTGGGCATGGGTAGGATCGCAGTTACTCATTTCGGCTTGATCCCCAGTGGATCTTGCTTCTTCTCTCGTTTATCCTTTTTTCCCGCTTGGGGAGAAAACCTGTTCGGTGTGATGATGTATATAGATATGCCATTCTCATAGTGTCATTGTCTGTTTCCTACCCTGTACCTATCCGTGTGGGGGGTCAACAGAGCGGGATCGATCCGTGTGATGTGGTGTAGAGGAAAACAGTCTTCCAAATGTACCCACAAAAAGTCCTTTTGCATGAAACACAACTTTGATCAAATTTGGCTCTCGCCATCGATGGTCAACCTGAAACTGGAAGAATATCTCAACTGGAAAAAGCTGTGAGACCTCTCAACTGGCCACATCCTGCAGGTAGCTGAGACCTTGCCGCCTTAGGATAGACCTTCCAGGATGGAGTTTCAGACCACCAACTTCATCGACTGAGGGGTCTCTACCGGTGCCACAGGACTCGGCATATGTCCGGCCACTCCACCGAAAAATACGTTCTACAACATGAACCCCCTCCGACTCCAAAAATGCCTGAAACGGAAAGCCATTTCCATCCTCTGAGACTCCATAACCATCATCCAAGACTATGGGGAAATACATGGAAAAACCTCAAACCAACTCCAACGTTGCTTTTCCACGTCGTCCCGGTTTTTGGGTCCGCCACGTCGCCGGACGCCACTGGGCCACCCCACTCTTCCGCCCGGCGCCGGGCCTAGGGACGGGCCTAGCTTCGGGAAACCACCTCCTACGGGACCGAATTGGAAGAACCACATGTGTTCCATATGGGGGATGAGTCAAAACCTGGGACACCCTGGTGTTTGTCTTCTCTGTTCTGCCAATTCACTTGGGTTATTTGGGCATGAACAGACCATCTGGGTCGTGGATGTGATTGGAGCGTGTCCGGACTCGGTGCACAAAGGTAGACGACCTGACAGTTCGTCTAACCAACCCACAGCCAGTTCGGGGCTCCAAGTGCCCACAGCCATGTAACTGGAGGTGGTTGCAGTGGTACCTGAAACCCGTGCTCCTCTTGGTTACCTGAAGTGTCCAACGAACAACAGAAGAGAATGCAGCAACATGCTTCAACGAGCCATTTCGACAAAAACACGATGCAAATCTATGCCGATCTGTGCGGACTTGCCGTTCTTTCCGAGCTGAGCCATCATAACCAGCTCGAATAGCCGTCACTTGCTCACCCCTTTGGATAATATTGTCTGTTCACCTGCTCTCAGGGTCATCCAAGCAGGCAACATGATGCAACATGCGATCAGTTTTTTTCTAGGAGGGCAGTGGGGGCCTCGCGTGACAAGGCTACTTCTTGCACACCAGGCTGTCGCGCCTCAAGTTGCTTCTCATCCTCCATCAGTTCTGCCAGCACGAAGTCTTTCCTTGCGCCGACCGCGTTTTGGTTGGCTGATGCTGACCGCCACCGGGTGGGCGGTCGGCTGACAGATGGGTCAGATTCGGACGGAGTGGAGGAGTTCCGGTCCAACACTGGAAATATTGAGGGCACAGGGAACAAAGAATTGCAAAAGGGTATGACACCCAAACACGGCCCGGTCAACCTATCGAGGATTATATATGGGCTAGGGGATTGTATGACACGAAATTCACTGTACAATAGTGAGGGTCCCCATACCATCCTGTTCTGTTCAGGAAACCCAACTTTGCAGCTTGCCAGGTCATAGCAGGAACCTAGTGCCTCCACATTCCAGCAGTGTCAATGTGTTTCGGCACTGGTTTCTGCTTTCAGCTGGGGCTCCAACTCCATCTTCAGCCTTTCCATGATTTCCTGCAAGGATTGCTCTTGCCTCGGAGGAAAAAGTTGGGGGTTTGGGCGTGAGTCAACACCCAAGGCGCATCAAACATCATCACACCGACCGCACCTGAAATTGGGACACCTGTTCCGGTTTTGGTTGGTTTTGTGGATGAACAGGTAACAATTCCGCACAGTTGGAAGGACCAGGTCTACATCACGGTCGCCATATCATCCCTGGATACGCTGCATCGGACCGACTGCAAGGCATGCCCACGCAGGTGCAAGCAGGTGCAAGCACAGCTGCTGTCATCACACAGTTCCGTGATTCGGCTCTGCGTTTCAACATCAAAATCTACACCCTGATGGCCCCAGTTCCCTGATGGCCCCCAGTTGAGTATCCAGGACCACAACCGAACGCGAGCGACATGGCTGGGCCCCCACCTCTCCTCCCACGAGAGCCGAATCGGGGGACCTCGCCTTGGAAGCCCCAAGCCGCGAAGGACCACCTGGAAATCCGATCTCGATGCTTCAAGCTGGTGGGTTCGTGAGAAAGGGTTGTTCACTTATACACACTATATATTAATATGTATATCTAAGTTTTTAATGTCAGACATTATACATGTTATTGTTATTATACGTAGAGAATCAGAATGACATCTTACCCAAAGACACCAATGTCTAGCTGACATACAAAAATGCACCTCTTTTTTGATAACGTGGACGCCGAAAGGCCCTCCGTATGTTGAACATCTTTAACCCAGAACACATCTTCACTTCATGAGCTCCGCGAACAAATGTTCTTCCTGCTCGAGATACCTCAGGTATGGTATATCATGGTAAATCCAATACCAGCCTTTGTGTATATACTATGACCTATATACTGCATGCATAATACGTTGGATCACTTCAACCTCCGACTCGCCAAACACACCACCGAGGTCCGTCCGTTCCCGGCCTCCTCTGCTGGCTCCGAGGGAAGACCTTCACCTGGGTCCGACGCATCGGACCGGTCACGGCCACGTGGAGGTAACGAGGTATCCATCGTTCTGCATGGAGGTCTGTAGGGATGAGTGCATGTTTGGGATGAGGGATCAGGTATCTCAAGAAAGGGGCCTTTGAACCTAAAGGACGATTTTAGAGTAGTGATTTCGTCATGCTATGCACCTAGGTCTCGGGCATTGGGCACGAAGCTCTGAAATGCTTTGTCTCAGAAGCTCAGAGTCCTGTCGTCGGTGCAGTCGGTGTAGTCGGCACACGACACCCGTTCATGATGTTGCCAAAAACATCGCTGCACTTCAACTGAGTATCATGGGAAGGAACAATTACAGTAATGTAGACATATTACTCTTGATTAGTAAACTCATATGAAAAGGATTGAACAGGTTTTTTCAATCCGCATGGAGGGTTGTTAATCAAGAGTCTACAATTAGGTTCCATGTACGTGTCTAAGATGTGTGGTGTTTCTTCCACTCTATCCAGGAACGCAGTCGGAGGGTATTCACTTACTACACAGGTGCCTCATGACTTTCGAGTGGGGAAGACTTGCCCGCGCTGGAAGCAGCTGTTTTGCCATCCAAGTCCTTCTTGGCTGTGAGCTCACTTTGGCGCGCCAGCCTGCTCAGATCTATGGTCAAAGTCAAAGGTTACAATTGACTCCTTTAGATAGGTTCAGTCAACTGTGACAGCTGGAAGAGCATGTTGCTCCACAAACCTGTGAGCTTCATTGAGCTTCAATGTTTCTGGAAGGGAGGGCTTTTGCACGGTGAAGATCTTGCCACAGACCTTCAAACGGCCAAGCAGCCATGGTCAACTTATCTTCCGGGGCCTTTCAATCACTAAAGCAACAAACGAACGATCCCTGTTGGAGAATGTCCACGACGGCATAGAGTTGTCCGCTTTTTGACACAATGTGACATGTGGTCACAAATATAGATCTGTGGTGATCTTACAGATGCGAGTACCTACAGCATCCTATTGCTGCTAACATGCATGACTTCATGACTTTTGGAACACAGGCCTGAGCAAGTTCAGAAGCAGCTGGGCGGCCCAGCTGGGCACGTTTGGTGGCCCGGGGCTTCGGGCGTTGGGCGCGGAGAGCCACCCAGCACCACCCAGTTTGGGTGTTTATTGAATGGTCAATGGTAAAGTACAGGGTAGGATGGTCTATAAACCACCCGAACTGGGTGGTGCTTGCTGGTCTACCTGGCCAGTAAAGCTCAAATATGCCCAAATCCTCCACAGCAACTGGCGAAACCGCCTACTTTTTCTCACTCTCTGCGTCCGATTTGGCTGCTACTTGCTCGTACATCGGCCAGGACCAAGCGCATCTTCTCTACTGCAAAGAGGATGCAAAGCATGAGCACTGGATCTGAGCCCTCCTGGAACCAGGCAGGCGAGAACTGGTTTGGGGGGGTCGGAGGATCGAGTTCTCAAAACATGCGCCGATAGATGTCAAGCCCCAGTGATGCCTGATCTATGGTGGTTCCCAGTCGAATGAATAGTGAGGTGAATTCTATGAGGTGGTTCCTCAGGTGTTCAATCCCCCCAAAGCCTGCCTGCAGGGTATTCTCTTGATGAATTCTAATCCGTCGACATTCAACCAGATGGTCAGGGCACCTGGGTCTCTTTCCTGAAGATCATGAAGAGCACCATCGCTAGGGTGCTATTGAGTTCATGGACCAACAATGCCCGCGCCAAAAAATACTGGCCCGTTGAATGGACAACTCTACTATCAAATGAATCAAACAGGAGTCACAATGGGGTAGTTTTTAGATGTTTTGAGTCCCTATAGGTAAGTGGATCCTCCACTAGGCACTCCTTTGCGACTCCTGGTCAATCTCTTTTTGTTGCTCTCAGATTTGAAACTCTCCGATCCATTTCTTCCGCACTTTCGCGTCAAACACGAGACCTCTGGGAGCCACACTTTCGCCCCAAAATCCCCCAAGAACTGCCGGCGACTCGTCCGGTGACGAGGCGCGTGAGGTGCCGTGACTTGGGAGACGTGCCGTGCCGGAGACAGGTGACGAGCACGACACGTCTTCGATCTCGGTTCGCAAACCAGTTTCTTCACGAACACGGACCGGTCGACGACGCCTCCAGCGTCACGAGCTTCGACTGGGGAGATGGGAGCTTCTCCAGCTGGCATGCGCTGTGCCCCACAGCATCTGTGATCTTCATACCTGGGAGATGATGATCTGTGACGATCATCAGACCAAGTCGCACCTGCTAGGAGGTGACTTATGATACTTATAATACTAGGGTATTTGGGGGGTATGTTGTTTGTTAACATTACACTGGAAACAGCCGTACGGACGAACCAGCAGCCTGGCTGTTTGAGGCATGAGGAAACCAAACAACGGATGCATCAAGACATCTCCTCGGCCCTGCACCGAAGGACTTTCCTCTGCTCTTCGATGACCGGTGAAACCGAGCGATCCGGTGAAACCATGTGAAAGCCTTGCGCTGAAGCGCCGTGAGATGGTGGCACCACCGGTTGTGGAAGCCCAAGGTTCTCAGGACATCCCATGACTTCCGCGGGTGGAAAACCATTTGGGTGTAATACTTGAATGAATAGGGAGACCTCTCAACCAATTGAAAGTCCACTTGAGTCACGGCAGTCACTGCTGCCAATGGCTAAACGGATGCGGATATTTTGCACGGCCGGGTACACCAAGCCGGGTACATCTACTGGCCCATGGAGTCATCTGAAGCTGCCCTCATGCTGCGTACTACACAGGACTGGTCATTAACATCATGCGAAATGGAACCTCCTTAAATAAAGACATCCCGGCCGTCTATATACCTCATGCCAATGACTAGTACTGCCAGTATAGTGGGTACCTGTTCGCAATGAACACCGGGGAACACAGCCCCGTCCGCGCCCAGGCACACTGATCCTTCCAAGTTCCAGTGACATTGAAGATCGTCGCGCCTGTCCGGGCATCCTTCACCACGAAGCGTTGGCCCCAAGAAGAGATTTGATCCGGAAGGAGCAAGCTGGCGCCTCACGAAATCCATTGAAGTCCAAACAAGAAAGAAAGAGCGGGAGAAGGGCCAGGCCAACCCCCCCTAATCCGCCTCACCAGGCCGGTCTTTCGATTTTTACTTTTTTAATCTGGACAGCCAAAAACGAGGAACCAGTTTGGATATGCTGAGCACAATGAACTGGCTCCTCTATGCTCATCCACTACTTTCCACCGGAACCATTGAGTTGGTGAATGCAGCTGAGTCGCCAAAGATGCCATCGACTGCGATCTCTGCAAAGAGCTCGCCATTGGCGCCCAAGATCTGTGGAGACTTCCACTCTGTGGCATGCAAGAGTTCCGTCGTCACAGTGGCCAGCAGCCTGTCAGGTCACGTGGTCAAACACACGGTGAGTCTCGAGACATGTGATCCGTCCTGGAGTCCGTCCTGGCTTTGACCAGGTTTCAAACCCAACCAAAGTGATTCAATCGCCCTGCATTTCTGTAGTGGACCCCACAAACCCACGTAACGAAGGAAGTGTCTCCACTATTAAGTTTGACATGACTCATAACTTCAAAACCCTAACACTACATGCCGATTCCAAGCGACTCGAACATTGTCAAGTAGACAGTAGACTCATCAGCTAGTGCAAGCCACCGATTGTGTCATGGACTCCCATGCCAACTTTAGGCCCTAGGCCAGAACTCCTGGTGGAAGTGTTGAACCACCTGAGATACAAACAACAACCAGAACCGCAGCAACAACAACAACAACAAGAACAGCAGCAACCATAACCACAGCAACAGCAACCGACAACCAACAACCACAACAACAACCACCACCACAAACAACAAAAGGTGGTTTGCTAGGGAACTGACTGGTGCCCTCACCCATAAACCCTTATCGTTGGATCCGACGAAGCTGGCGCACGAAGCTGGCGCAAATCGCTTTCCCCTCGCCTGGTGTCCCAGATCGTAAGGCCGCCTTCGAACTCATCCAAATTCATCCTTGGACGTTCGAAAGGTGACGACTTTTGGTTTGAAAAGGATCCACGATATTTTTGTCCGGTCAGTATAAGAGTGCCACTGTATGATGATGAGGAGGGTGAGGATGATGAGGATGAGGATGAGGATGAGGATGTTCACCATCAACAATAATTGTAATTCTTACAAGTCACAGCACAAAACATGTTGTGTCTGTTGGTGAGTTGAGGATAAATCCATTCGGTAGTATAAGCAAACATCTTACGGAACATCATAGTGACTTAGTGCGACCAGGACATCAAGCGATAGAACTCGATCGTGAATTTGCTCTGAGTCTTAGACTCAAGTCTAGCAATGGCCACCAACCTCATTTCATAGCAGTGGCCTCCAACCGAATAGCGATGGCCTCAAAGCCATGGCGCGCCATGACGCGGTTTCGGGGTATCGATGTGGTCCGCTTCGGGGTCGACCAGACTCTGTGAGCGCCAGACTCGGTCGGCGGTTGACTCCGTAGCAGACCCCGGGTCGAGTGGTCCACGTGGTCCACGTGGTCCACGTGGTCCACGTGGTCCACGTGGTCCTTGCTTGCTCCGAGGAGCTCCAAAAAGGTCCTTCCAGTGTCATCCAGGACTTGCCACATCAACTGCTGGCGGTCCTTGACGGTTGGCTGGACGGAACCAGCCATGAAATCCCCACACCTCGAAACATGGGGTAGTCCAGGTTTCGCACATCATATTGTAATTGATTGTCTTGTACAAGTGTGTTGGCTGCTGTTGGCTTGACAGGGTAACCTGTCAAGCAAAGAAAAGAACATGAGCAGCAAGTGAAAACTCGCACACCTGCCGCTTCAGAAAGCTACCTTCTTCATTCTACAAAGCTTTCGCGACCTGACAGGGTCTCCCCAAATGGCTTTGAAGGATCCGGCCTACAAACCAAAACACGTTTTTATGGCTTCCCCCAATTCCACAACATCATCTCCACACATGTTCACGCCTCGCGTCTCAATCGGCATGTGCCTCCCCCCCCCCCCATTCTCTGAGCATCTCCGCGGATGGGTTCCCCCAGCTCCCAGGTCAGCTGGCGTCGTAGGTTTCGTGGTAGGTCGCTGAGGAAGGGCCGCTGGGCCAGCTGCAGGGCCTTCAAACCACCCTCGGAGGTGGTGCTGGACCGGTGGGTCACCTGGCACGAACGACCGGGGAAGGGGGGAAGGGGAATCCAAATTCAGGCAGAAGTCCGGAAGCCAACTTCAGAGGGCGGTGGGGGAGAGCGAACTTCAAAGAGACAACACCAATTATCCCGCTATATCCAAAGTGTGTTTGTGGTTTTTGCGCCCCTAAAGGGTTCGCGTTGTGTCTTTGAGCTACAGTTTAGGAAAGGAAACCGCTCTTCCCAGCTCCACCCCTTAGAACAAAACATCTTGCAAAGCTTGTGCTTGTGGCTCAAACAGTAGACTTTCGCTTTAGGATTTCTGGTTTCAAACCGGCCCTACGTGCGAAGATTTCTTGCCTTGGAGAGGTCTGAGTTCAGTCTTTCTTTGGCCACCCACAACCCATCATTTATCTTGTTATTCGTTGGAAGCGTATCCATTACTTGAACAAACAAATGTGTGAGTTTTGCTTACTTGTTTGAATCAGAATCTCTAAATTAATGCTTCATGCGGAACTGAAGAAGAGTAAAGGTGGGTCAGAACCTGCTTCTACGCAAAACCAGTGAATTGACCTTTCAAGGGCCGGGCCCCAACATGTGACATGAACTCTGTTGACACCGCCGGGCCCCACATCTGTTAGGATTTGTCAGGGGCTCCAACGTTGAACAACCTCGCACTAGGCCAATAGAACGACTTTCGTTGTATGTCGTCTGAGAACAACTGTGAAAAACATGCGCGTGAACACAAACCTCAAGGAATGACCATTGGATCCGATTTCAGGGCCTACGGTGCACGCAGTCTGCATACCGCTTAACGATTGTTTTTTAATGACACTAAGTGTGGGCGGACACCTTCAAAAGAGAGAACCCAACACATTACATATCAACATATTTCAACACATTGGTTGCAACATGTTGAAACAAAACCAATCAGTTGGAGGAATCTGCTTGCGCGAGGTACCACGACATATACCATGACTCCGCCCCGCCCGTCCTTCGCCAGACCCAGCCTGACTCGCTAGGCTGGCTCTCGTCCGCCCAGTGTCCAACGGTGGGTTGCGCGGGGGCTCGGCGGGCGCCGATGGCTCCGGGCGCCGAGCAATGGGTCGTGGCAGGGGGTCCTAGTTGCCAAGCGAGCATGCCCGACTCCACGTTTTATTTTGATAGACATCATCTGAACCTGGTGGCCCCTTACATCACCCAAATGCATCCGTATAGCGTATGTTTGTAAAAATAGAACACTTGCTTATTGAATGTGTTTACCCTGATTTAATTCGATCTATTGGAGGCCACCCTGAGGTTTGCGAGGTTGGTGAAGTCTGAGATGCCCAAAGTGGAGCGAGCAAAGGTTGCGATGTTCACCTCAAACGTTGCGAAGTCATGAGAAGTCCGCAGTGTACTGAGGCACCGTACAGCTGCATGCACATAGCATGAATTATATATGCATATACTGGGTGTATTCCTGCGCTCAGTTCACCTCGAAGAAAAAAAGAGAAAACACCCCGTGGTCACCATCCATTTCGGGGGTGCTATAGCTACTGTTTCTCAAGTGCCTGTCCTTAAGCCCTTGACCTATAGGCGATGGCCTCCAACCTAATAGCGATGGCCTCCAACCCTAATATTAACTTAACGGCCTCCAACCTAATATTAGCGGCCTCAAACCTGATACTAATGGCCTCCGACCTAATCTAAGTTGTATCTAAGATAGTTCAAAAGGACCTATACCACCAATTCCAGCCCCAGCAGCAGCAGCAGCCGCCGCCGCTGCCTCAAGGAGAGACAAACACTAAATTTATGAGCAAAGGGAAGACCTGTTCACTGAGCTGCGTTCGTGCGCGATACACAGGTGGACGCGCACGATCGCACAGAATCAAGCGCGCACGATGCAAAGCAAATGCTGAAGACATGTTTAACCAGTTACCTCCTGTCAGGGCTCACAGCGAATAGGGCAGCTACACTGTTGCTACGTCACTTAAGACACTAAAATTGCACTCAGACATTCGCAGAATTTCCTGAAGCCCGAGGCATGTCAGAAAAGAACCGGCAGGTTTTCTATAAACATATTGCCTCTTAAAACTCGAGGCCTTGCAGAAAATAGCAGGCAGGCTTTCTAGAAAAATAACGACTCTTAAAAAAGGGCCTTGCAGAAAATAGCAGGCAGGTGTTCTATAAACATAATGCCCCTTAAAACTCGAGGCCTTGCAGAAAATAGCAGGCAGGTTTTCTATAAAATATTGCCTCTTAAAACTCGAGGCCTTGCAGAAAATAGCGGGCAGGATTTCTATAAAATATTGCCTCTTGAAACTTGAGGCCTTGCAGAAAATAGCAAGCAGGTTTTCTAGAAAACATATTGCGTCCTAAAACGCGAGGTCTGGCAGAAACTAGCAAGCAGGTCTTCTAAAAAAGTCGTGCTTCCTAAAAACTCGACGTCTGGCAGAAAATATCCAGCAGGCTTTCTAGAAAAATAGCGCCGCCTAAAACTCGAGGCCTGGCAGAAAATAGCAGGCAGGCTTTCTAGAAAAATTGCACCTCCTAAAACTTGAGGCCTGGCAAAAGAAATGGCAAGCAGGCTTCTAGAAAAATAGTACCGCCTAAAATTCGAGGCCTGGCAGAAATTAGCCGGCAGGCTTTCTAGAACAAATGCAAGCAGTACCAAGAAAAACTGATTGAACATAAAAAATGAAATTAATTAACCAACAAAAACCATCCAAAGAAAAACAATTGAAAAATCAAGCCACCAAACATATAGTTTAATTCTATTTTCGGTTTACAAACAATTCAAACAACAAAACACCTCCAGGCTAACTTATTTGTACGTTCCGGCTTAGTTCGCTTCAGCCAAATTTTAAGCCTGTTATACGTTGATGGAAAAACGCATCACAAGTTGCAAATAGTTTCTAGAGCAAAAAGTTCTAAATGTAGTTGTTGCTGCTGCTGTTCTGGTTCTATAGCGCTTGTACAGCACCATCTCTATTGGCCTAACAGCGCTTTTGCAGCACCTCCTGTTGTTGCTCATGGCGCTTGTGCAGCACCTCACTTAGTTGTCCATGACGCTTCTGCAACACAATTTTGGAAAGCACTTGCGCAGCACCTCAAGATATGTCAAAATAAACATTCAAAATTCACACCTTGGAAAATCACGTAACACAGCTTTAGTTCTTAAACCAAACCAAATACCACATGCACCTCTTGCAGAATATACCAAACTTCAAAACCGATCATGTTTGCAAAGCCCAATGCCAAAGCGCAAAAACACATTACAAAGCACAGCCCAGCCAAGCTTCTCTGCCCGCGGCATGAATGGCCAAGTCCCGGCTGCCATACAGGCCGAGACCCAAACGCCAAGATCCGGCAGACCCGTCAATGTGGCGAGCATCACCTGAGCGGAGCCCCCAGACTGGAAGTAATCCTTCAGCGATCTCCCATCCTCCAAGAGAAAAGCCCCATTTTGGCCGAGGTCCTTCTCATCCAAATCAGACAGGAGTCGGCGAAGGATCCTGTCGAAGCTTCCAATGCTGTCAGCATTTGTTGATACCAATGGTTACCAATGTATCCAGCCACATCTGAATGCGTTTTGGGAAGGGCGTCTTGGTCAACTTCCCATTCAGACTCAAAGGATTTCCAGCGCCGGCCGCTCGGGAGAACTGCTCCACTTTGCTCAGTTGGCCGCCATCAAATTCACAGTGAAAATCCTTCGCTTCGGGGCCTCAGCGTTCCGGATCTGGCTCGGACAGCTCCTGGATGCATCGCTGCAGCTCCGGGTCCTCCCGCAGCCACTTGTCAAGGGGGTCAGCTGGAAGGTCTGCAGTCAAGACAAAAGAATTGGCTACGCTTTGCCACTGAAGATGGCAGTCCCACCAGCGTCAACATAGACATCCTCCTGGCTCCGCAAACGGACTGCAGGCACCAAATCGCCGGAATGTAAAATCAGGTTGCAGCAGCTGACGAAGCACATCGTTCCCTCCAAGCAACTTCGGAATGTACACACCGAGAGCCGCAATCCGCTCAGGGCAATGCGGAAGAATGCCACACAGCAGTGTGCCCGACCAGTTGCATCTGTTGCGCCAGCATATTCTTACTGGCAAGTTCTGAGACTGTCGAAGGAGTGCATTTGGCAATTCAGTGTCTGGAGCCTAGACGAAGCGAACCGGCAACCCCACCGTCCATTTAACAACTCCAAACCGACGTGCTTTTGCGCAAGAATTGCCATGTTCATATCCAAGCCCAAACCCATGAGGAAGATCAAAGCAAGTGAAAAACATTCTAAAACTGGCAAACTGGGTCAAGGGTCCGCCCAGGTGTCGTCAACCCAATCCTCTTCGTCGACACCAGACGGTCGGAAACGCCGAGCAGGTTCAGGAGCCGGCCTTAGTTTGATTCCAAGGCCCTTGCACCCAAGAATTCAGTTCAACTACATCAAACTAACAATATGAAACGAGAAAGAATGAGCAAACATAGACAAATTGATGCAATCTGACAAGCCTACCAAGTCTCCTCGTGATTTCAACCTCACGTATGGGTTGTAACGACTCATGGCCACAGATCAAAGGCGATGGATGAGCGGACAGGAGATGATGTCAATGGATGTCATGTTTGCGTGTTTCAACTTCTGATGCCATGGTGTACTTGGTTTGAAAGCAACTTGATTCCATGCCAAACATGGTCGGATGATTGAAGTGCCGTGGAGCCATGTTACTCCATGCCAAACATGGTCGGATGCTGCGCCCGGCACCCTTCTTATTGAAGCCAGAGATGAGCCGGTTCCAAATCACTTGGCCCCTGTTTGAGGAGTGGATTCAACTCCAACCTGTGGAGCAAGGTCGGATAAATCCGATTTCCACAGACCAGCTTAATGAATTTAATTCACTCTGCATGACACAGTGCTTTTCATAAGGCACTTAGCATCACTTAGCGCACCAAAAAAAGTTCATAAGACATACCCTCTACTGTATACCATGCGCACCTTGAATACTCACAAGTGGCACTGGATGGTGGCAGCGGCAGCAGGAGCCACCACTGCTGCTGATGGGCAGGGGGGTGGATAGACCTGTTGAGGTGGTCTGTTGAGGGGCACTGTTTTGACCATTTTGGCTCAGTAGCTATTGAACTGTGTTATATAAATACAACTCAGTAATTGCGATGGCCTCCAACCTAATAGCGATGGCCTCCAACCTAATGTTAACGGCCTCCAACCTACTAAATTGCATGTTGGCATGCCTTTCGCGCTTAAAAACACTCTCCTGTCCTTGGATGCCTTGCGCTCGGGCAATGCGCTTGGGAAGAGCGATTCGCGGGTGACCAGGCCAGTGCCGGCAGAAATGAGGAGTCCCAACATGATCAGGATCAGCAGCGTAACGATGATGATCTGAGTCGATGTCGATGGAGCGATCAGAAAGAACCAGTCGATTGGCAAACTCGCAATCCTTCACAACCTCGAAAGAAACAGTGTCAACAATGTCAATTGTTGCCTATAGTATGAAAAGACCTGCTCAATTGACACACCATGCCAACTTGATGCTGAAAAATAAGAGGCAAAAGCAACAGTGAATGTGCCTGTACAGTAGATCCTGTATAGGGTTTGCGTTGATCGTGAAGGTTGCTATATGTTCCTCTCATGAAACCCCCTAAACAAAAATGCACCAGCTTCTTGGCGAGGTCTTTTTTCATCCGTTCGAAAGCCCGCCCTGTCCAATACATCCGGTTTGCCTGCCGCAAGAGCTTCTGCTCTCGTCTCGGTTCGGTTTGGTTTTTGAGCGAGCCACATCCATTGAGGTGGTCTTGACCCGCACAGACTGCAGCAGGGTCAGCAGAGTGCTGGCTGCAGATGATAATGATATGGACGACGTAGAGGCCTGTGTCACCTGGATGCAAGATATAAGAAGGCACGGTTTTTCGTGCTTGTTTCAAGTCGTCATGCTAGGGTGAAAAACACTGGAAGAAGATCCTCAACATTAGGGCGCCCTCTGCTCGCATGCAGGCTGGATTGGATCCCAATGTGCTTCGTTCGATGCCCTTTGGCACAGCTGGAGACCTGTAAATCTTCTAGTCCAAAATAGTCCAACTTGAGAGAGGAGGGGGTGAACGAAAGGTAGCAGGCAATCACAAGTAACCCTGGTAGAAGTCCATGACGGCGTGAACCGGCGCAGGGGGGATTTGATCCAGGGGGGGGCCCCCCCGACGAACAGAATCAACTCTTACAGGACCAAATTCAATGCACAATCCCAACTCCTGATTGTAATACATTTTTGCTAAAGCAAGGAGAACTCAGGTAGCTCAAGCTACCTTTCGTGATGAAGGTCAAATACATGCTTCTGTTGCTTCCAAACTCACGGCAAGAAGCACTAGTCCTCGGTCCCTCGCCCGCCAAATGGCGGTGGATGAACTACTCTCCTGGCTAGCAAGAAGTGTCCTGTCCACTCCCCACTCCCACACTGCCCGTCAGGCAGTTACGCCTCATAGATGGTATGATGTTGAATCAAGAGGTGGCCTCGGTTCGATCGACCCCCTTGACTGAATCACACCGGTCAAACCGAAGGGTTCCGTCACTGCAACCGAAGGAGAACCCACGGCCGGCCACAGAACCGGAAAGGTCATCAGTTCCATGGAAAGGATTTCCAAAGTGCGTCGTATACGTGTTCAAAAAAGTCACCGGAATGACTGCCAAATCCGGAAAAGATGCAAAACGGGCAGATCTTTCACTTTGGGCATGGCATGGTTGTTCACTTTGGGGACCGGCTTCTTTCGATGCATCTGTATGACATATGGTGACTTCCACAAAGCCTTCCTTTCGAGCCAAAACACCACGTGCAGGCTCTTCACACAGCTCCACCATGGCACCTGGGACATGGCACACTCAAAGCGACTGAACGAGGTCGTGTAAAGAACGAAACGCTGGAAGCAAGCAACGAGGGCAGGCCTACCCAGGCCTCCTTTGTGTGTTGTTAACATTGGGTCCTTCGAGCCGAGTGTGGTTTTCAGTTTTCAGCTTTGACCTTTACAAGAACCATGTGTTCAAAGTTCCTTTTTTGCAAAGGACCATGTTGGTCGATTGGGTCATGTGCTCTCCATGTGATTGAACCGATCAAACTTTGAGGATGTTTCCATCCCCTAAAAACCCTCAGCGGGCATCTTCTTCGAGCTTTTTGGGGGTGCAGTTCGACAAGCAGAACATGACATTAAACAAAACATTAAGCAGGAGTTCAAATTGGGTTTGGGCTCCGTGAACGATGCAAATCCGGACACCATGAACCCTCAAACATCTCTCTGAATTCTTTGGGCATCCCATTTTCCTTGGGAATATGTGACAGGAAACATGAATAGACAATTCAATGTATCCTCTGCAGGTTATACTCTATAGATCAAAAACACAACCAAAGGCAACATCGGCAACATTGACAGTGAATTGAAGCAACTCCCAACAAACAGAACAACAGGAACAACGACTCACATGCCTAACTTCCAAGCCAAAATGACAAAGAAGTTGGGCTCCACATGCATATATTCTGAAGCGACTGTGATAGTCTTACCCTTACCCACACTCCAAACGGAGGGTTTTGCATTCCAACATGCTCAACTCAGCATACTCAGCTGGGCCAAACCCATGCTAAAACCCCATCCATACCTCTCCCATCACCCTCAGCCCTCAGCCACTTGGAGTGTGTGTTTCGACTTAGTCGACCGGTCGACCCCCTGTCGCCCCTGGCTGGGTAGACCGGTCGACTAAGTCGAGCAACACCGAAGCTAGGGGCGTCGGTCTCCCAGAACGGAGCTACACACCGTGGTTTGAACGAGAAATCCATAGAAATCCCATCCCTAAACAAATTCTCTACCAGGACCCACTGGTGGGATGGTCTATATGCGGGGGGCCATACAAATACAAACATATACAAACGACACTCGCTTCGAAACGGGAACCATGCCCAGGTGCCGTTTCTCCGGTCACGCCGCTGCGGTCACGAAGCAGCTGCGCATCATCCCGCGAGGCCCCCAAAGACGGGCCCGGCAAGGGGGGCAGCTCGGGCCACAAGGCAGCGGACCGGAGCTGGAGAGAAGCACCTTGACCTCAGACTACTTGAGATGATTAGTTGACGTCATAATCTATTATATTGTGTGATACATATGATCATATGAGTCCTATATATTATATTTGTTTAATGCATCAATGAGACTATTGTTTTTATGTATTGCTAGATTTCGTGGTCTAGAATGGTTTTGTTTCTCTAGAATGGTTTTGTTCCATCAACAACAGGAACGAAACAATTCAGACATCCACAGTTCAGGTTGTGCGGTTCCAACCCGATAACAAACCAGAAATGCTTTGCTGTTTCGGCCCTCCAGTGCATGAAATGGATCAAAGTGAACCCTTCGGGTGGTGGGTGCAGGTGTTCGTGTTCATCACCTGACCCCCAAACCCCCAACCCCCCGCCTTAAAGCCTCTTGTGCTTGCTCCTCTTCTTCCTTACAAATCCATGAACAGAATTGGTTCCACATGGAAAGCTGCAATGCGACTCATAGGTGGCCCAAAGCAAGAGGTATTCCACTCCCTGCTGTTCTTTGAGGGTATTGCTTCATGCTTCTCGTTCATTCTTCTGACCATCACATGGTGGATCAATAACAGCTCTAAATGGCCTCCAACCATTCCAATGCCATTCTGACTGTCTGACAATGTCTGACAGGTGTCCATGTTCTCAAACGGACCGGTCGGATGATGCCCAGCGATGCTGGACAGGTGGCGCTGTTCCTTTCCTTTCCAGGCACCTCCGCCTGCTTGAGCTCCAACTCGATCCCCCTGAACCCGAAGCTTCCACCACTGAAGTCCGGTCGTCACCATTTGACACCATGGGAGGCCCGAAGAACGCTCTTCCCCAGATCTGATCTCGTGTTTTTCCATGTGTTTCTTGGGAAGGTTTGGGGCCTCCAGTCCTCCCTCAAAGGCTTGTCCAACCTGCAACCGGAACCGTGGGTCCCCCGTGGGTCCCCCCATGAGTTCCATGGGTCGTGCAACGAACAAATGCGTCCTCTGTCCTCACCTTTTCAGAGGGTGTCAGTGGATCCATAGGGCATGTTTTCTGTGTTCGTCGGAGCTTTTGCACGGTTTCCAGGGTCCACCGACGGTCCTGGGCCACCCGACTTTCAATCCCTCAAGGCTGCTGCCCTCGAGAACATGGTCGAGGTTGCTGCCCATGGGGAGGGCGCCGGTTTCAACCGGCGACTTTAATGTTGGTCAACAAGAAAATTCACAAAAAAATAGACAATGTTTAAAGGTCAACATCTATAAATTTAACATCCTCTAAACGTTAAACAAGTTGTTCAGTGAGAAGCACCCCCCACAAAGGGCCTATAGATCCAGAGCGTCCTGGTCGGATTGCTACAGCACTATACATCTTTGTTGTCCAGAATATATAGCAGGCGAAATGGGGGACACTGACACCCCTCCGGGCTGGTGCACGCTAAGATTTGCCACGCCATGCGACGCCGGTCTTGATGCCTCATCTTGGCATTGCAGCTCCAAATGCGAGCACTTCAAAGCCAACCTTGGTGAAGAAAACAAAGGAGGCATGATCTTGTCGGGTTCATGTTCCAGATCATGGGATACGTCTCAGCAGGGCTAGTGGACAATTGCTTTCAGGTCATTATAGGATTCGAGTCTCCAACTTCACAGGGGCGGGATTAAAGTCAAGCTGTGGCCACGAATCGGGAAGCACCAATGTGGGTCCCCCCTTGACGGTCCATGTCGTTACTTTGCTGCTTGGTGAAGTGAAGACGCGAATCGAAGTGAAGAGCTCATTTGGGCGCTCATTCAAGCCAATACAATTTGCTGCAACACCATTTCTGTGTCTCTGGAAACTCAACATGTTGGTGTCTCTTTATAGAATTGACTCAGTAGAAGACCTCAATCCAGTACTGTGCGTGACTGTTCATGGGCAAAGTTAATGCTGATCAAATTGATTTGACCCGCTTTCCAGATTGTACAACTCATTACCACGGAAGGACTATCTATATACACAACAATCTTTTCCGACTCGCACTCTCTTGATGCTCGAGCAGGATTTGGATGTCTTTGAGTCAAATACGATCGAATTATATATCTATTCACCTTTCCTGCTGCAAGTTCTCAGCAGGCACCCAGCTTAGTCAGCCTCCGCAGCCTATACAAGGGAAACCTTGGGCATGAAGGTGATAAAGAGATGCAGGCGTCTGACTTTACAAGAGACGCAAACTGGAAGACAAGCTGTGAACGCTCACTTTTTGTTGCGAGCACATTCCACATTCACCACAGCGGTGTTCGACAAATGTGTCCCCACCTTGGTAAAGGCGCTGCAATCGTCATTGAAGACATAGTCTGTGAAGGCATCGTGGAAGCGAGCGTTGGGATCTTGCCCTACAGTCTCGACAATGGCACAGCGGTATGTGAGGTGTGGTGAGGGCACTTTTGCGCAATGTTGAATTTCATGGTTGTCAACACCGTAATGAAGGCCAACCCGCATGAACTTTGCGTAGTCGTTCTTGATCAACGTCACCTCGTCCTTCTCATTGGGATAGAAGGTGATCTCGCCCATTTCATCAAAGACGGTGGTATTGCAGCTAAAGTGCCCTGTCACATCACAATCTTCGGCCCTCTTCTGCAGAAAATGATCTCCCGCCCAGGCAAGGGGAAGAAACATAGTCACGATTGTGATGAACATCACTTCACGTTCACCGCCTTTCTCCAGAACTTGCTGCGCTTTTGGAGTCGAACCAAATGGCTGCGGCCAGAGTCTCGTCATGAAGAAACTACATCTATTGGCATGATACTTCGAGATGACATTGGGCAGGTGTACCTTTGAGTCTCCTCTTATGTACTCTGACTCCATACTCTAAAGGGTTAATTGGAATCCAACACATGCTTGCAGGAGTTTGGAGGATACATCTGTCATGGTTAGATTTCATGTCTTTCACACATCATGGCCCACTCCTGTAACCGACTCCAACCCCATCTAAACATATCTAAACGATATATATATAACTATCTACCCGGAACCCATTGGACCTTTGCTTTGATAGGAAAAGACCATGTTTTTGCTCCAAAACAGGGGTCAATCAGGTTCTAGATATACTGTCTGCAAAAAAAAAAAAAAAATATATATATATATCCATCCCAAGCTCTCCCCAATCTTGGCACCCCCAGACTCCTGGAGCCGTCGCTGGAGCGCCTAAGATCGCGTCCCCGGTGTCGGTCGCGGAGGTGAGCGACCTTCACATGGGTGAAATCCTGGTAGGACATGACACCCGAAATCCTGGTAGGTGGACCTCCCAGGCAGTCTGTTCTGGAAGTTCATGTTACATGGCTCACATCTCCGTCATCTCCGTCCCTGGGTTTTGATCCGCCACATCATTCACCACCCACGGCCGAAGCACCAGCCCTTCCAAAAGACCTCCCTTCGGCCATGAACGTAAACACCCCCAATAGGGGGTCCTGGCAAGATGGTCTGGTTAAAACCTCACCCACCTTCACTTGATCGTCTTCATTTCCAACCACTGCCACCACTTCTTCATGTGCAAGAAAGAAGTAGTTCAGGGTGGATGTTCAGTGCTTCTGGGCCCCACCGGTCGCCTGCAATTCCTCCGCTCCCGAAGCCTCGGCGCTGTCCGTGGCGGTGCCGAGAAGGCGGGCGCCGAACAGGCGGATTTTGCTCGGAGAAAAGGACTCAAGCGAAACCCCCGGATTTCGGGCACGAAATCACCGGGGATGAAGATCCTTTGTCTCAGCAGATTCTAGATCGATTCTGCAGACCAATGAGGCGACATGTTGAGGAAATTCCCTTGGCATGGTGGCGTTGGAAGGAAACGGCACGGGGTTGGCCACACTCTTGAGGTCACAACATCACCCACAGGTCACAGACCCTTATCACATCCAGGGCCATAGGGCCATAGGGGTTGGACTACCGACCCAGGGCTGACCGACGCAGGAGCCAGGTCTATACAGGCCGTGCACTGTTTTGTTCCTTTTCGGATGTCTCGCTTCCAGGGAACCTGCTCTCAAATTCACTCGGACCTCCCAACTAAGAACCTCATTGTACGTCCAACACAAGAATACAACTCCTCCAAACAAACCGGTGTTTTCACCATGTGAATCCGAACTTCTTCCAGATCTCGAAGAAACGAAGAAAACACCTCCAGATCCCAACACCATGTGTTTGCTTTTTGTTCCTCTCCTTCGGTCCCTTCCGGCCGGGCCCAAACCCGGTCGGGCCCAAATCATGTCCGTTGTCCGGCCGCGCCGAAACTCGGGCCTCGGTGTTCGCCTGGAGCGCCTCTTGAAGCTCTTGCCTCAGGACGAAAACAACATATATATTCCCTAGGGCTACCCCAAGCACCTTCTCAGAAGGTACTTGGAGCCCTAGGGATTATATTTATATAACTATATCATATATATACACAAATCAGCCGGTGCGGCGGATGACGCGGATGACGCGTGGAGAGGTTGCGCCGGGTTTGAGACCAAGCACTAAGCACTTAGCAAACTGAGCAAGAAAAGGTTGGTCAAGACGGTCTTGACATGTTCTCCAAGGAAACGCCTAAGCTTCAAGACATTCTGATCTGGTTGGTGTTTTCGACCCACTTGAAAAATATTCAGAGGGTCCAATCATTCCCAATTAAGGCTTGAAAATATAAATATCCGAAACCATCAGCTAGTGATTGCGTTGTTCTCAAGGCAAAACGTGCAAAACTTCCTGCCATGTTGGATCATAAAAGTCCAAATGGCACTTTCAATCTTTGTCGTTCTTCTGCGGCTTGTAGCTCCGCAGCCAAAACGCTCTCCTGCGTGCACAGGCTGAGGATGCTGCAGGCGTCCCATCAACATTGTCGGGTAGAAACAACACAGAGAGTATCACAAGCAATATATGTCCTCAAGGTGTGAACCTATATACAAACCTGCACAAGGAATGTGTTTGGCATATCTGATGTTCACCAGGTTCACCACAACGTATAATTGTCTTTAGTCTTGAGATTTTGGATCAAGTACAAATGTGTAGTGACATTGGATGTAAGGGGTCTCCAATATCCGCAAAGTCACTAATGTCTCGTTAAGTCATCAAGCATGCTTGATGAGCTTCTTCTACCCCTGTACAGTGTGCATTCGACCAAGAATGGCCATGGTACCATGCACGTTATACTTGGAATCAGGGACAGTGGTACAAATCAAATCCTTCACCTCCCAGTGGTCCCTCGTGAGACTGAGTTTCACCCAGTCCAGGCTCTTGGTCGCCTTCGAAACCATGTTGAAGAAAATGATCATCTGAGGAGAAAATACTGCTTAGCCTTCACCGCTGACTGTCACTTTCTGGCTGGGTTCTGCCTCGCCCCACTGGCCTGAACCAGTTGTCCCTCCAGGGCCAGGCGGTGCATCTCATGGTTCAAGCAGCCAGGCGAACGCATCACCAGCGAATGTGTGTTGATTGAATGTCCCGGTTCGGCCGGGCTCTGCGGTATGGCCAAGTTTCCACAACATCCTTTAGACACATTCACTCTCCCAAAGCACAACTGGTCACCTCAAAACAGTTGCATAATGTCTTTCGATTCTTTCACATCAATTGGTCTGCAGGATAGTTTTAGCCGCAGTTGTCAACCAACCATCAACGGACCTTGAACTTCCGGAGACGACACTGTTGAGTTCTGAACACCGCTCTTTAAACTCAAAGACTACCATGTTAAACCACTCGTCTTGCAAGTTGAAATGTTTCAGCCAATATGGCAGCTTAGCTTGATGGCGTGGAAAGGTGGCCTCTTGAAAGTGCATGTCCTCAGAACCCAAGCAAAACATCGCATCAAACATATGTTGACTCCCTTAGTTGTCCTGGAAAGAAAACCACGATTAACCAATAACCTTATTCCACCTGTTGGCTAGTGGTGAAACCAATCCCCAAACCAAGGTTCTGCTTCACTGACTGGGTAGGTATACGTCCATTTGGGGGCTCAATACGCAAGCCATGTGTCCCAGCAATCGCCGCCCAGATCCACGCGACGGTCGCATGGAACCGGAACGATCTGTGTCCAAACGTGTCCAAAAAACCTCGTGGAATGTCCCGAACCGGCCTCACAACCTCTGGAAACCCAACATGTTCTGGGTAGTTTAAAAACACTCAACATGTGCTTGCAAGCATGGGAACCCCAAAACGCCACACAATTTAACAAGGGAACACCATCAAGTGTCCTAATGATGCCTTATTGGCCAAGCTGACCAACTCCCACCCACCCTTAAAGAAATACGCCAAACGCTGCTGGGACATGTCCACCAGTGTGGACCATTTGTTTCAACGCTTTGTCCGATTCCATGGAGCGACCGCCAATCGGACGATGTTTCATGGTCCCAGAGTCCCAGAGGAGTGTAACGGCACTAGTTTGCCCGTGGTTTACGTGAGTGTTTCTTTACCGCAGTTGAGTGATCCTTGAGTAAATCATTCGAAACAATCAATTTTGCCTTTGTTGAACTGAATAATACAAGTCATCCTACGTGGAGACCACTTTCGTCACGGCTCAAGACTACAACAATCAGCTGGGAGGACTTCACGCAGTTTTTGGACTGGCTCCGGGGAAGCCAAGTGCGCGAAGGCCATCACACACTGGCGAAGCCTGCCGCGAGGAGCTCGGCCCACCGCCCACGACATATATATACCTCATGGGACTGGACCTTCGGATGGGCTCGTGACATCTTCGGGATCCATCAATCCATGTTTCCAAACATCCAGCCCATGGTGGATCCTTTTCACCTGTTCTACTCTCGGCCAGACAGACATCAAGTCATCGTTGGCGCAAGCAATAGCCTTGTCTCAACAAAGCCTGGCCAAGAGCAGGCAAACCTATACCTTAACTAGTTGCGTTTCTGCCAAAGTTTGGTGGCTAGCTGTTCAATAGACTCCATACAAGCTAGATGTGTTTAGAAAAAGATAGAAAAACACAAATATCAGTTCACTGCATGTCTATGTGCAAAGAGATTATGTTGGTCTGTGAGAACCATACAACAGGGAAACCGGGTAACCAACAAGCATCGGCAAGATAGCCTCAGACTTTTCCCCCAAGCAGTGTGGTCACACTAGCAGTTCTTGCAGTATGTTTACGCTGGGTGTCTGATCGGTGGCGCCCGCATCCGTGCGCTGCTATTTCGCTGCTATTTACGGCACATTCATTCACCTCGGTTCCGAAATGCACTTCGACTGCACAGGCTTGCACACCCTGGTGGGCCCGAGCGCGTGCTAGTGCTGCTTTTCCTCGACTGTGCTCTCGTTGTGGTGCCGTGCACATTTTCGGACTTGGTGGTCACTCCTCGCGGCAGGTGCGAGAGGTGGTCCAGGGAAGCCTCGTGCAGATTACTTGGCGCAGCACTTGGGACATGGTGGTGGTCTTCAGCGCGCTCTGATGCAGTGACTCGTGACCTTTGGACACGTGGCTCGTTTTCAGAAATCGGAGGAAGTGTTGAGCGAAAGCTGCATTTTGGCATCTTGATGTTGTCTTTGGAAGCGCTCTTGCTGCGGAACGGCTTGGCAGGGCTGCGTGATGTGCAGATTTCGTGGCAGGCGCACGTGCACCACGACCCCTAAACACCTCTGAAATCCTCTGAATCTGAACAACTACGGGGTCATGAATGAAGTGTCATGGACAAAAGAACACTCCTTCAGGCGATCCTGGTCCACTGGAACTTGTCAGTAGATCTTGAGCTCCCCCATGTTCCACATACCAGTCCTGACCCCAGACCCAAAGACAAAACATAAAAGAAAAACAAAGCTTACGGCTTACGGCTCCAAGGGGTCACCAATAGACTCAATAGACAACCAGTCACTACACCCTTTGGTCTTCCTGGGGTCCTGGGACCCCTATCTGCGCGGTCGACGCGCCTCGCCAGGCCTTGGAGTTCGCAAGGCTCCCGGCCTGAAGAGGTCCGGGGCGAGCTCCAGCTGAGAGGGTCCGGTCCAAAGAATCCGAGGGCGGGTCATCATATGTGGTGGTGAATAGAACAAGGACCATAGGACCATTCCAGGAATGGGGTGGTGAATATAGACACCCCCTGCGCCTTTTCGACTCATTTCGCCACTTTGTTCGGGGGGAATTCAACAACACCCCAAAGACAGAACAAGCAGGGGGTCCTGGATGTAGTTAATGGATGTCCATCGATATCTGGGGGTCATAATTACGTACATGGATGGTGTGCACTTAAAAGGATCTTGCATTGTCGGTCTGGGCAATGGGCAAAGCAAGCCCTTCCCCAAAAAAGCAAGACAGAAACTGGTAGATCACCTCAAATCCTCTTCCAAAGTGCTTTTGTCAGGCCATCCCATCTTTGTTTGGCAAGGAGTACCTGCCCATCCAGGAGCCTCATTCTGGAGCAGCTCCACCATGTTCCCGCCCAGCCTGCTTTGTTGCAATATAAGATCTATTGCGCTTACAGTACCGACAAAAACCAGTGTCAAATCGATTCCAGTCTCAAAACCGAACCTTCCTCCCTTCCAAACAAAAACACATCAACCAACGCCGCCGGTCAACCTCTTTGTGCCAGAACCACCACCCCCCGAGCCCCCCGGGCCCAAGTTCGCCACCGCCTCCGGTCCCGACCTCGCGGGGAGCGGGGGCGGCGGTGCCGACGGAGACCGACCGCGGAGTCACAAGCATCCAGGTCCGACACCTAGGGGTGGTTCTTGGAGAGATCACGTTTAAGAAGAAAACAGTATACTGTCACTTAGTGGGTAAGGAGTTAGTATGATGATAGTAAAAACAATCATAAATTATAGACAACTCTTTTTTTTCATGGGGTCTCAACACTGAAGCGTACGTATTCTCCAACGTTCCTATTCTCCAACAAGCGGCTGCGCCTTCCAACGACCTTCCTGCACAGCAGTTGCATACGACCTTCCTTCGCGATGCCCATTCTTACGGGTCTTTGGTTTGGGACACGCGCGCTGGAGAACGCCACAAAAACGCAGCTACATCCTTTGAACAGAACTTGACACCATCGAAAAATGATTGATTCAAGCAATGTGAACGCTAAGGTCCCCGGCCACACCTGAGGAGTGCGATTCATTTCGCGCCACAGGGCTCGGTGCATCTCTTGGTCCCCTTCGCCGGGACCACCACGAGTCATAAGCCTCGACCCACTCGGCCATGGCCGCAGCGAGGCAGCGGGTCGTCTTCTGATCATGTCTGGAACCGGATGTTTCAAGCAACGGGAAGAAGACCTTTAATGCAAATGCGTGTCGTGTGCACGGAAGGAAACTCATATAAATTGAATCTTGTATATATTCACTTTGGGCATATTGCAAAGAAAACACACACGTGTCAGCCATGTCATGTTGGTTAGACTGAAATCAGCTGACACTACTCAGAGTTCACACCGCACAAGCCAGGGCATTGACTGGAATGCAGCGTCTTTCAGCTTCTCAGTAAATGCCTGCACAGCCCAAATGAGTGAATAGAGCCAACGTATATAGAAACATATATTACATACTGTATGTGATAATATGGCGTCGTCTTTACAGTCTTTACATATGCGCATTGTAGTGTTGCTGTAGTCTTTTGTGCCAACATGGTTAAATGGTGTAATATGAAGATCTGGATCCCAAGCCAGCTCCATAGAGCATAGCATGGCTCTACATATCGTCCATAGATTTGTCTTCGCCCACCTTGATGCACATGACAAACCCTATGGTGGCCACGCCAAAAGGAACACACAGCACTCACCATTGCACACACATCGGCCAGAAACACTGCAATGCTTGTCAGGATGAGTTCCATCAAATGATTAGACAATGTAAGACACATCATTTCCCTGTATCGTCGTGTCCACTTGTTACGTCGATTGCAAAATGACTCACATACGTCTGCTGGTGGTTCAACAACCACTCCGCCTGTGGTGGTTCAAGTTCTTTGCCCAGCGCCTGCAAGGTGGTGCAACAAGGCTCAACAATCTCATACAGTTCCTTGGGTCTATCCTATTACCAGTAAGAGTGGATGATGATGATTAGGTTGCAGGCCTTTCTTTGGCAATAGGACAAACCCAACATGACTCAACTAATACCTAAAACACTCGATGGACGGTTCTCGTTTTGATCGCCCCCAGGATCGGCCGGAAGAGCTTGACCCATCGAACGCCAGGTGATGCAACCGTTCATCACAAACACTACCTAAGACCCAGAAGAGCTTGAGACACCCTCATATTAAAAAAAAGCAAGAAAAAAAAGTGAAGATGAAAACCAAGCGCAAACATTGCAAAAACCAAACCCAGCGTTAATCCAGCCAAGCTAGAAAACTGGCTCCGTGCGAGCACAGCACGAACGAAAGGGGTGAAGCGTTGAAGTGTGTCGCTCACCTTGTGAGTGCCTTCTGGTCAGACTTGTTTCAGTTTGCTCCGTTCGGCATCTTCCCCCCTGCGATCATTTTGTAGCATGACAACACTATTTCTGGGCTCAGCTCCTGATGAACGTTACATAGCTTGTGTTCAACAACTCTCATGTCAAGCAGTTGGACTCCAAATAAGCGATAGTATTAGACTGCACAAGAAGGAACCTGGTACAACGATATGCTATGGGAAACCACCTCTTTCCGGAGATTATTATAATCTGAATTACATGTTCTGAGATCAATGCAAAGTCCAGTGCGCAGCGCGCACCCTGCCTGCCAATCAACTTCCCACAAGTGGGCTGGCGGCCTTCCATGACTCGCTCAAACAAACGTAGCAACCTGGGAACAGAACCTTCAAAATCCTTGGGTTGCTTTTCTTGACTGTCTTTCGCAGCTCGAGCACTCTCTCCTTATAATAAGCTGGTGGCATGTCAACCAAGCAAACAACGATGATCACGATGCTGACCGAAGGATTTGACTTTATCCAATCATCACATAATCTATTATCTATACTATACATATTCATATATATATATATACATATAATATTAAAGGTATTTTAAAGTATATTAGTATAGCATCTTCAAAACAAAAAAAAAAATGAGAGGATGCTCACGATCGCTCCCGAAGCCGTGTCTGGAACAAACATCCGAACACCAAATCTCCAAACCGTCGGGTTCACCGACATCGAGCTCGCCTCGGCTCGCGGCTGGCAATCATCACCGCACACCTCGACGCACGAGTGACGAGGACGCCGGAACGAGCCACCAGAAGGCCAGAAGGCCCACGAGGACGCCGCATCGAAAGGAGACGGACACGGAACGGGCGGAACCCGGGAAATGTGCTTCTATGGCTAGGGAATGAGGCTGGCTGGATCTGGGAATCGATTCCAAAGGCCCTGCGAAACACATCCCGAACCGTTGTGGCCGGGACGCCCGACGTGAGGACCGAGGCCATGGAGCTCGCATGGCGTGAGTCCATCTGCGAGGAACGAGAGGAAAGCACTTGGGCACGCTTCTTGATCATGAGAAAAGGATAGAAAAGGAATCAAAAGACCTGAAATGACATGAAAGTGGTCACAAAAGGTCACAAACGCTGCTGTCACCTCCAGTTCTTGGCTGCCATTGGCTTGTCCTTCTCTCTTCTCCCCCGTCTCTCTTCCATCTCTTGCCTGGTACTGCATGCACACCTGACAAGCCAACAAGCCAACAAGCCCATCATGCCAAGGCCAGCCTATGAAACGAAACGCAGCAATTCCCATAGTGCGCATTCTGGACCACTTAAGACTACCCAGGATCATCTGTTCAATTACGTATACCGTTTTGCACCTCATACTCCTCCAAACCGCCCCCAAACGAACCTCCCCTCTCTGCCTGTGGATCGCTCACTGCCGCGGAAAGCTCCGCTAAATCGCTGGCACGCAAAGCCGTAAAGGCCTGCAGGCCGATCTCGGCCGAGTCGCCGAGATCGAAGTGCTGGAGGAGCCGAGTCGCCCCAAAACCATCGACTACCTCGAGACCATGGCCCACCATGGCCCCGAGACCTATCGATTCGTCCAAACGAGCTGGACGCTGAAAACCTTGGATTGAAGGAGCTTGAAATAGATTGAAGGGTTCCAATGGCATGGCTCAAATGTCTCCAACAGCAGAACCAATTGGTTGGCTGCTTAGCCTTGGCTGAGATGCACATCTACAGTCCATGAACATCTTGGTCGATTGTCTTGGATCACTTGACAACTTGAGTGAGTCTTGAGGATTCTTCCATGTTCTTCAGGATTCCACAATTCTTATACATGATTGAACACCTGAAAAAGCCCTTGCCATGCGATGCGAACACCACCTCCATGAACCGGGCTCCCCAGCTGCTGGCAGGGCCCTGCGTGCCGGTTCTTCCGCTGCGGTTCATTCCGCTGCGACCAGGTGCTTCCGCTGGGTGCGAGAACAGAAGTTGTTTCTTTTGCTCTTGTTACGTTCGTAGCTTCTGGCCTCCAACCTAATGGCGATGGTCTCCACCCTTGTAGATGGCCCTGCTGGGCCCTGTGTGTGTGTTTGGAGTTTGGATGCCACAAGGTCTTGCATTCTTTGCAAAGGTTTTTTAGGAGAGAGTTGAGATGACCTACAGTTGATACGAGCATGTCTTGGTGTTATGAGTGTAAAACATGATTCCATCTACAATATCTGTAATATGGGGCTCAAAAAGAAGGTAAGTTAAATATACAGCCTCCAAAGGGCGAGCAACACCAAAAGCCCCCAGGGATCAAAGAGTGGAGTGAGCCGTTTGAAGACCCTACTCAAAGTGAGCATCAGCACACTTTAGAATTGATCGCTGGCCCTTGGGCCTCTAAAATGATTGAACTATGAGTGGAGATTTAACTTTGACCCTGGATCAATACATTCATCGCCCCCTCAACATGGAGATGTTTGACAACTCTTCAGGGTGATTGTTCATGAACAGTACCTTTCGGTGGACTTTGCACCCTTGGAAAGTCTAAATAGCAACCTTCACAGAACCCTGCTGCGTGGGTAACTTTGATTCATGTGTGTGTTTGCTGACAGGGAGGTGGAGGAAAGCAACGGATGGATTTCGTGGCATTTCCGGGCACCAGCACTTCGTCACCCAACCACCCTTGGGTGCGACCTTCCTCACGGGCAGCCCCATTCTACAGAATTCTACACACAAACAACCAAAACTCCCAAGGCTCTGCCCGGCCAGAAAAAAACAACCACTCCCTTTCGCATTCACCTTTCGCATACTCTCCCTTACCAACCGCGCAATCGGCACGCCACCGGTGTCCCGCGGTTCGTTCTCCGGTGACGGTCCGGTGTCCTCCCCTTTTTCCACGGCCCGTTGACCGCAAACGCTCACGCCGCTAAGCGCTCACGGTCTCGTGCACGGGTCCGTCGGGAGGCTCCCATTGGGTTCGACCACTGGAGCGGTCCCAAAAATACCTCGGTGCCGCGCTCTCCGCGCGGGGAGCGCGGCGAGCAAGGGGAGCAGCTCCAGAAGAAGTGGGTATACCAAGGGCGTTCCTTCTAAGCGATGGAATGCGCAGCAAACACAACAAGGTGTGGGAGTCTTTGTTGACACCTGTAGTGTTCTTTAAGATGCATGGATCATTGTTTTGTGTTTTTTTCCATGCCAAGAGTTGTAACCAAAAGTCAGAAGATTCAACTGCAAAGCTCTGCCGAGACTGTATGGGATCTACATGGGATCTCTATGCGGTGGTCGATCCATCGCCCCCCCATCTGCACCAAAGGGCTCGATGATCGATCCAGCCTGAGCACATGACGAGTCACACCGAAGGAAGCTGGGTGTTCAGCAACTCGTCCGTGTGTTTTTTGTATCCAATGCATATTAATGATGTTATTTCTTTTTTATCCGGGTTTTCCATGAGCAGAAACTGCATGGAATCGAGAGGCTTCCCTAGTTTTTGTTTTTTTTCACAACTAGAGGAAGATGGAGACGGATGGTGAATTGCAACTTGTAGAGTGGGGTGCACTTGTTGGATTTTTTGTTGGCAGGATCACTTTTCTTGCAGTTTCTATCTCCCTCAGCATTGATGATACCACAGGTGCATCGTCATCAAACAGGCGCATCAAGGACTCCTATGCATCCTTCCACAATTTGTGGTCTCAACATTTGACAAATGCACTCATATGTTGGACCCCAAAATATGCCTGTCACCGTAGCAAAAGAATCCACATCACCCCCTGGAAGATACGCCATATCAATTCTTCTTGTCAATATCCATATCACCCCATGTTTCATCGCCATGAACCTTCGAGATCCCCCTAGTTTAATCACACACCGATATAAGTGATCCAATCACTTCTGGGTATCACCGGTATGGGTGTCGAACGATATGGGAAGCGTTTGTTCATGCAGAAATACACCAAACTCTGCAGTTAACATTGTGTGTTTGGCCAAGAAAATGTTCTGGAGAGTTCCATCAAGTCCTGGCTGTGGCTCAAGTGAACCCTATTGTGTGGGAAGTCATTTGGCAATTGCTGCAATTCCGGGTTTGACAGAGTTGGCTTTGGATCAAGACACTGTGTGTAACCCTGAAAAGGCTTGTGAAGGGATGGTTACACTCTCTGATGGTTTGAGGAAGGGTAACCCCACCCACACTTTGTGAATGTTCCACAAATGAAAGGATCGTCGAATCGTCGACTTAGCGGCCCACAGCACCACTTTGTTGACAACAAACAACAGATCTGCAATTGCCTAGTAGTCGCCCATGTTCAATAAACATGCAGAACAACTTCCTTAAGGGACTCTCACTCACCAGCTACAGTACCCACTCACTTGGGATCCAAAGACTGCCCCTTTGGAACGGCATGGTGTGCCCTCTCATGTTCTTTCTCATGCTCAAACCTCCAGGCACACAACTTAGTTGACGTGTGGCTAACGTGTGGCCATTGATAACGCACAAAAATGACAATTAATCTCTCCCATGCCACTTGTCTTGAGCCCAGCCGCCTCATCCTTCCCCAGGACCTTGACCCAGTCAGTCGCTGCGCCACCAAGCGCTTCCGCCGAGCGTTTCGCGCCGCTCTCGTTGCTGCTCTCGTCGGTGCTGGCAGTGGTGGAAACTGAAGGCTAAATGGAGGGTGTGTGGAGAAAGGGGGTCAGCAAAAATCGCTTATACGAAGTTAGTGCATCAAAAATACCTTCCACGAAGTTCTGCGAAGGTTTCTGGAATTTCGTTGCAGTCAGTTCTCCTACTGGCCCACCATTCCACGAACTGTCCACGAATAGCCTTGGGTTCTACGAATGTCCCACGCCTTCCACGATGTTAGTAGAATAGGTTTTTGCAAAACCCTTTCTGTGCACTACCCTTCCGTTTGCCTCTGAGAAACGTTGGCACCCAGAAGACTTCTCCTCAGATGGGGGGGGCATCCAGTGTCATGAGAACATGGCAGAAACCCCGCAGAAATACGACAAGTTTATGCCCAAGTGAGGATATCTAGTCTATCATCAGGGATGCATAAAAAATACCAGTGATGTAGATCTTGATTAATGACCCTGAGCTTTTCGTTCTCTTCCTAATCAAGAGTCTAACATGGACATTGGAGCACCTTTTTGGGTCACTGTCCACGGTGTGGGCAAAACAATGACGGTTTAAGGCAGGACAACAAATATTCAAACATCTCCTAAGGGAGTCTAGGTGTTAAATGGTTTTAAGTCTTAATCAACATGTTCATCCCACTCAGCTCCATTAGAGAACCCCTCGCTGGGCTAATCACCAGAACAGGAATTCGACCTCTTTCGCCGCGGCAACGGGTGCAGAACCGCACTGCCACGCTCCCATCCGAGTCCAAAAAGGTCCCCCGAAACGCCACGGATTAGGGAACAAATGGCCGGACCCATGCGGCCCCGGACACTGGGAGAAGGCGACCTCACAAAGCGAACACAGGGATTTTTGGTTGCGACTTCCAGTGTTTTTTGATGTGGTTTTTGTTGTCGTTTGACGGGGTTTGAGGGACCCGGACAAATTAACCTTCAGTTAACAGGATCCCAATCCTCAGCTTCACATGCCAAGCTTCACCTCTCTGACCAGCTTACTCTGTCGTAGCCTGGCCACTTCTGTCTGCCGCAGGATCTCTCGCACTTCTTTCACAGCCTGAACTGCACAGGGGATTGGTTTCGCTTGCGGCCAGCGTCAATAGAACATGTAAACAACATGTCTCTGCGAAACTATGATGGACCCGGAGGAGCCTGGGATTTGGCGATTCTCCTCCGGCGTCAACAATTTGCATCAACCTTTTCGCCTGAGTCGCATTTGTTCCGAAATCCATTTGCTATTTTGTTTGTTGGAATCATCACGCCAAATCACCCTAAGTCCAGTGTGGCAAGGGCCATCATTAGGTCACACAGGAACATACCGACATACATTGCTCCTGTCTATCTGCTTCGCTTGTAGTCATGACTTGGTTTAAAGTCACTCCGACAAAAATCAAGTTAGAGCGGACAAACATCAAGATAGAGCGGGCCGAGTGTTTCTAACCCCCCCAAACATGGATGGCAAATCCGCTTCATATTTGGGGGTTGAAACATCATCTATCAAGTCTACATGTTTGGTGCAGAACTCCTACGTCACACAATACACGGTCACATGCTGCGGTCCACAATCACCTGGTCCCCGCGCAGAAACGCCGCGTCGGCGCCTCTTCCGGTAACCTGGAAATCCACTCGGCGGACACTTGAGCCCCCTGCCAGCGAAACCGCACGTGTGCAGGGTGCGGACAGGGGACACACACATATATATATATATATGTATATATATATATATATGCATTTTTAATGTCCCATTGTGTCTATTATACTATATGTCCCCATAGATATCCCCATATATATATATATACACACACACCTTAAGAACCCAAACCCTAAGAATTCTGCGGGCGCAACATGAAACCTCGTGTATCCTGATGTGACTTCCAACCATCATAAATTGTGTTGTTCTTAGTTCTTACAGGACCACCATAGTTTTGTTAATGATTTAATTTTACACTACGAAAAGAGTTCAACCATTAAACCTAATCTTGGACCTCCAGGGTGTATATACACAGTATATACATATTTTAACATTTTAATATATGTCTGTCATTGTCTGTCAAATCAACTATCTCTTGTGGGTGTCTGGGATGTCGCAGCAGACCGAGTAGAGTTCACAAAGTTACGTCACACCACCGAAGAACTTGTGTTCATCCACATACACGGGAACGCTGTTGTGCGTGCAGTTGAGACAAACCACGCAGAAAAGGACAACTGACAAACAATTCAGGATTCAGGACCATTTCCACGAATCTTTGAGACAAGAGAAATACCCTTCGATTGAGATCTCCTGCGCGCAAAAACATCGACACCAGGTC